CAGACCAACTGAATGGGTGGTAAATCTTCTCAAATGATCGTATTCAGCAAGTCATTTTGAGTCGAGTCACTGAGTGAGATGCATGCACAACGGCAGAGATGAGAGACAATCCAGTGCTGCAGGGATAAGGTATGCATTCGCTTGGTTCCACGGACAAAAAGCCCTTAGGATTTAGATTCTTCCTTTTGTATTGGATTAAAAAAAGCTGTGTAATAAAGACAATAATGAGATGTGATTTGTTCAGATAGATAGATAAGATAATCTCTGCAAATTAACTATAAACAAACCACACCACACCCACATGACTTCACCAACTTGTAATTTGATTTGGAGCATACCTGTTCTACAAAAGCCTTTCCTCTAATAATAAGGAAGAGTGTGAGCATGAGCACAAGAGGTTGTGAAAGCGTGAGTAGATTGGATGTTCGATGTATTGACATTTAATATCCCGACTACCTCTGTAGTATCATTTAGCCATGATGTGTTTTGTGGCGTAAAAAATGTAAGCATTTTAAAATGGACTTCATATACATAGTACGGCACATACGATTATATCTATGTTAGATAATAAGCAGACTTTAGCAGGAAAATGAATGTCTCTCGTGTTGTGTAGCAGCTGCTTTACAGGTCAGTGGGAAACTCTACTCTGAGAGCCGCATTTAAGAGGAAAAATATAAAATGTTGTGTAAATTCCCTTCTTTTGGGTTGTGAATGTGATTGTTGAGACAAATCAGACAAATGATTTACAGAGCTTAACTCTGTGCTGTTGCAAAAAGGAAACAAGTAGGTTTACAACTGAAAAAACTCATTTGACATTTTAAATCTAAAGATATTCACAAAAAACATCCAAAATGGCACACTGAAGCAGTTCTGGACAGATAACAGATACAGGACATGAGCCTCACACCAACACAGATGGAATCCGTTAAGATGAACAGACCTGTTGCTGCAGTAGAGTGAGGATGTTCAACGCATCACCGTCTTCCAAGTTGTCCTGGGCGTAGATCTCCCACAGCGGGGGCTCATCTGGGTATTTCTCCACATATGTGAACTTCAATGTTGCTTCCACAGCTGCAACAGGAACAGACAGCTTGTTCTCTGCTATATTTCAAGTCACCAGCTTTCAAATCTTTTCAAACTTTATCACCTTTGACATAAAACTGCTGACTAATGTATCAGAATTATGAACAGTCAGATTGCTGTAACGCGAGGGTTCAATGTGGGGTAGTTTGGTCACTCAACAACAGGATGGAGATGGATCACTTTCTGAGAAGCACTTTACTGTTCACTGGTCATCTACATCAACAACACACTGCTTCTTGCGCTCATGTAACTGGTTTCTCTCTTATGACAAATGTACTTATTGTAAGTCGCTTTGGACAAAAGCATCTGCTAAATGCAACTAACTAAAAAATAAGAAGCCAGAAAGGTCTGAGACTGAGGTAAATGTGAGAGAACTACAGAGGCAGATTCAACACATCATCATGCAAATATTTAAATGTGTAAATCTGTAAACCAGTCCTGTGTAAACATAAACATGTAAATAACATAATTGTAAACATTTTAAGTAAATTAACATAAAGACATGAATGAACTTCCCTTTCAACCTTATACTGCCATGCGTACACACTCACACATTAGTATACTCACTTTCACCCTGTTCCCCTGCATCGGATGTTACAGTGATGGTGAAGCTGGTGGGCTCATCTGAAAGCACTGTAAACCAAACACACCCAAACAAACATGTAGTCCATTATTTGACAAATGCAACACATGCCAATTACAGAATCTGACAGTGCAGACTACAGCAAGCTGCCCCAGCGTGAATGTCCCATATCCATTCACTGACCTGCATATAAATGAAAGGGTGGGACACGTCCTGACTCATGAGATATGATTATTGATATGCTGATGCCAAATGTAGACATTTATTTACCTGGTTTTACATGTATGTAGTTTGGACCTGTGCCACTTTATGGTTATGCTACATTCCACATTTTACATCATGATATTACAGTAATCGCCATTAGTATAACGATGTTTAAGGTTATTATTCCTACATGTGACACATGCCGAATGTATGAGCAGCACCACTACACGTAAACATGATGGGTGTACGCTATAAACGTGTCCATTTTTGCAGGGTTGTCTTCATTCTGGAAAGAGTTACGTCAAATCTGAATGAAGTTCGTCGTACTTCTTTGTGCATGTCAGACCCAGTGGGAGTCCCACAGATCGATCACTGCCTGTCTGACATTAAATGTGAACCAGTGGGTGCTGGAGGAAACACTCTTCTCCTCTACTCAACAGTCAGCTAACAAGCGTTAGCTCGCTAGCCTGTGAGCTAGCTGTCTTTATCTTCCCCTGTCAACACCGATGGAAGTCTGACCTGTGAACGAGTCTTCGTAGATGGACTCAATAGCTTCGAGTTCATTCCTCTGCTCTTCTGCGTAGTCTGTCATGTTGGTGGAGCTGTGGGTTATGTGGACCTTAATAAACTCATCCCCGCTATGCTAATGCTAACAGACACACGGTCAGTGCTGCGTGTTGCGCTGAGGATCGACGGTATCGTGGCTCTGACAGTTTGCTCTGACTGTGGTTCTCTGAAGGACGGTCCTGTTTACGGTCGCACTGTACTTTCACGAGCTGTGTGTGTGCAGTGTGATTTTGTGACGAGGGGGAGAGCTGCAGTTTGAACACATGGGCCCCACCAGCACTTTGTTACTCTACTTTATTCTCCTACAGCTTCAGTGTGAGCTGATCTGAAATCCATTGATTGGGTCTGCAAGCTTTAAGAGAAACTTTTTTTTTTTTTCAAACCAACTTTATTAACCATTGAAGCTCATTACAAGAAACACTTAACAAGGCAACTGTTTGCACAATGATAATTGTATTCTGTTTTATACATTTTGTTTTACAGGAAAAAGGAAATAAAGCAGTAGAATGACGAATGATCTATGTACTGTAAAGGTCTAATCTATATCTTAAGATAAGATGAGATAAATAAGATAAGATAAGATAAGATAAGATAAGAAGTCCTTTATTAGTCCCACAACAGGTACATTTGCAGTGTTACAGCAAAAAGACATCAGCAAGTAATAAGTTACATGCAATACTTGTGTAAGGAATATAAAAAAAATTATATTCCAGTGTGATGTTGCACAAGTGACAGAAACAATTTTTATTTTTATTTTGTTGTCTTCTTTGGGTTAGCTGTTGTCTGCAGTGCTTGAGCTTGTGGTAAAACATAGTATAGTTCCCGTGGCTAACAAAAGTTGTTATGTTCAGAAATGGTCGTGGCTTTGGACATTACCTGAGGCAATTCTTTTGACAGAGGGTTGATAACGTTGGTTGTGTCTCAATTCAGGGGCAGCATCCTACGTGGGCTGCATTGACAGATTGCGTCACAGCGAAGCGACTAGATTGTCCCAGTTCGAGGGCTCCTCCAAATGCAGCCGACAAATGTGTCCTTTCAGCCCTGAGCAATGGAGGCTCCATCGGGTGGATCCTTCCCGGTCCAACATGTCCCACAATTCTTTGTGCATTAGTGATGAACTGTTTTCAACATTTTTAATCAACCGTAGAACATTTTTGTCAGTAGCTTTGTTGTTAGGCGATGGATGTTATGGCAGAACAAGACCAGACCTTATCACGTTGTTTCGGCCAATGCAGTTTACGCAGCCATTTGTCGGGTCCTGTGCAAGATGTTGCCGCTGAATTGAGAAACAGTTGCTATCTAGTTTGAGATGTATCAGGTGATGTTTACCATAAGGAAACATTAGCAGAGTTTGACAAAAAGGGTATTGAGTGAATATGGCTTACTCTAACCTTTAAGTGGTAGTTTTAAGTGCTTCTCTGCTGTGCAGTTGATCCACAGTTGTTTCCTGTGTGTGCATCCAGAGAAAAAGAGAACCAAGGGCATCACTCAGGCTAGAGACAAACGGCCCAATAAAATCACTTCTGCTTTGTTTTCATTGAGTTAAAGGAAGTTCCCTGACTTCCAGATTTTTAAATTATCTATAATCACTGCGCCATTATGTTGCCCTGCAAAATAACATTTCAAATATCCAAGAAATTTTAAAATGTAATCGTTAAAAGAGTTAAAGGAAAAGAGAATCACTGGCTGGAGTTTAAGAGCTGAACATAGGAACGGACACAGAACTGACTTGGAAAGGTTTAACAAACAATGAATCAGATACTGGATGGGTCTCTGAATTCAGCAAACATAGTGTTCCAACCAGGATTTTTGTAAATCAGAATCCAAAATGAATAAATGCAGACTGATCCTGTTAATATTTGTGGGAAGGCATGTACTCTGTACATGTACTCTGTACATGTACTCTGTACATGTACTCTGTACATGTACTCTGTACATGTACTCTGTACATGTACTCTGTACATGTACTCTGTACATGACTTCACGTTGTTACCACAAGTTCCATTTGAAGGCAGCATCATCATTCATCATCAGAAGCCTCCTCTCGTAACATCAAACACCACACCCACACTAGCACTTTGTGGTGCACTTCTGATCAGATTGGTCACTTAGTACTTCTGGGCAGCTGTGGCTAGGTAAAGCAGGTTGTCCAATAAGCACAGGGTTGGCAGTTCAATCCAAGTCTCCCCCATCCTGAATGCTGAAGTGTCTTTAGGCGAGATTTCGATCCCCAAAATGCTCCGGATGCCAGCAATGTACATGGGTGATGGGTTATAGAGATGTTGCACATACTGTAGATGCACTGGATGAATGGGTGAATGGCAAAACTGTGTGTAAAGAGCTTTGGTGGACATCAAGACTAGGAAAGTGCTATTTAAATACAGACTATTTACTTCAAGCTCTCCCACTTGTGTAGTGTAGTATTGTCCCTCAGTTTTAAGTAGCTTTGGATAAGTGTCTGACAAATGAGTGAATGTTCTTGCAAGAAAAAATATTTTAATTGTTTACACATCAAATATAAACTCAATTAATTTTCTAAATTGACTGATAATCTCAGTTCTTCTACTGTTGATAGGGTTGTTATTAACACAGAGCAGAGGTATAAAGTAGCATAAGGAGATATTACTCAGTTATATTACTCTGGTATATTACTCAAGTAGTTACTTAAGTACAGTCCTTCTTCTGCTGATGAAACAACACACTTGTACATGTCTGCAGTCGCAAGTCAGGGCATCATTTGCACATGTCTGCCTGTAGATTATGAAAGGATGGAATGCTGAAAGACTGCTTATCCGTGCGAAGGTAATTACATGGACATGGATGTCATAATGTCAACAGAAGGAGAAACAGCATACAACCTTTAGCATGTCATATGCCGGCATGTTTAAAGTAGTTGGCTTTAACTAAGACACAGCCTTAATTCTTACATTTTACAAAATAAAACACTTGATGCAGTGTTAGGTGTTAACATTTCATACACTTTTCAGCATTTTATTAATCGGGGGTGTAGCCAGGTTTTAAAGAATACTAAGACAAAATTCACACAAAGTACCAAAGCAATTAAGATTTTTCACTTTTAATCTCTGTTTTTCTCCCAACATGAGCGTTTGAAAGCACAAACACCGTTATGCTGCCCAGGATGGGATACACAGAATATATAATTTAATTTAATAATTGTGGAGCGGATGCTCCTAAAACTGTGGAACCCCTTTGAGACTCCTCCAGAAATACAGTGGTACAGTGAACTATTTTAGTTGTCAAGGTCATTAGATTTGCTATTGTTAATTTGTCATGTTGTCGTGACTTGTCTGACTTGGCATCTGAACTGCAATATGGTTAAAATCTAAATTTGTTTGAATTGATAAACTGGCCCCCCATAATACAACAGCTGGCCCCAGACTGGTCCCAGTGGCTTTAGGCAAAAATAACAAAGTCACAATGAGAGAATCTACTGGCCCCTGAAGTTCAAAGCTTGTTATAAGCCCCCAAGTCTTGGAGATAATTACAATGACGTGACCTCAGTCTTCCCGGTCATGGCTCGGCCTTGACTGTAACTTTATCAATGCGTTACATTGCCAATCCAAAGTAAGACAAACTTTCAAGCACCATGTTAGTAAAGGCTGTAAATGCATACAGGATTACAGAGGTAGGGAGAAGTAGTGGTTATGCACCATTGCACCATTAAAGATTAACATACAGTAGACAGCTCCTCCTCAGTCAAACCTTCAGGGTCCATTCTTACAGTAAAGTGTAACTAGTCTCACCACTGTTTGTCTGTTCCTTCAATTTTTACCTTTTCTGAAATGTTAAGCAGATCACATCATGCTCATAAACGTGGATGCAGGGCACGGCTAATGGAGAATCAAACATATAAACAATCTCTTCCTTTAGCTCATCTCTATTCCATGCTCAAAGTCTATGACAGGTCTTTTCTCTGGTGCAAAGTCCCTGTCTGCCCTCTCCACATACCGCTGCAGAGTGCTGTAATACTGCTCACTCCTGGAAAAACTATAATATGCAGAGACCTCCTCCCAAGCCTTGTGGTTGGGGAAAGGAAATGGAGCCGGGTTCTTGTTCTCAAAGAAGCTCTGCAGGTTTCTCTCAGCCAGCTTGGTGGCATAGTCCAAAGCAAAGGTGTCGAAGAGATCCTTCTCTTTTTCCGAATAGCGTTTCCAGAATGTGAGCTGCAGGTAGCTGACTTTGGAGCGACAGTTTTTACAGCAGGTACCCAGGAGGCCCATGAAGACAGAGATAATGATGATACACCAGCCCAGGATCTGTGGACAAACAAGAAGGACATGGTGACTTTACACTTGAGGACACACATATTATGGTTGAATAAATACAGATAATAGAGAATTCCACTTATACCCTCCTTTATGCCAATAACAACAGATTGTAATACTTGCACACTCAAGCTGCCTCAAATATTAACATGACATCAGTCTGCATTTATTCATTTTGGATTCGGATTTACAAAAAACCTTGGTTGGAACCATAGACAGTATATAAAGAGCTTGGAACACTATGCGTGCTGACAATGTTTTAGTTTTTTTTGCCTAATGTCTGTGAAAATAATCCTGTGAAGTCATCAGGGTTATCTCAGCTCCAAATTTATAAAAGAATGTCTGCAACATAAACTGGGGGTGTGGTATTTGAAAAAAGTACCATCGGACTGCACAGTGCTACATGGTTACAGCTGGAGGTTTCTAGATTCAAACCAGATGGTCGTATCAAAATTGTGTTTTTTCGTGTACTGGTGATTTTGGAGATTTTGGTCTATTTTGCTTCCATGTCTTCTTTCACTCTACAACTTGGAAAGAAAACTTCCAAAAATACATATTTAGATGGTGTTTGTTTTACCCTCTGTCTTGTTTGCTAGCAAGACACAAGTTAACTATATTTGTTTTTGTCTTTAGGCTGATAAGCTGTGAACTCGCACCACTAGTTCATCACCTCTCAGTTCCAAACAAGCAAAGAAAAACCGCCGGAACTGGAACAGGAGCTGGGAGGTGCTGCCTGTCGGATGTGACTGTAATGACTGTGTGCTCACTAGTGCTCCTCCACTAGCCTCAAGATTCAATTACGATTCAGCAGTCAACATTCCAAATTCAGAACAATGCATCTCGGTGCAATGTATCGTATCCACAATTTCCTATAGGCCTATTGCTGCACATGGCTGCTTTTTCATCAGTTAATATCAGTTAATAATATAAACTCCCTTTTTATTTAGAAAGTGCTTAAAAAGGTATTATAGACTGGAATTTACAAAATAAGGTTTTCAATTCAAATATCAGACTACAACAGTAAGTGTATGACAGTGGTCATTGCTCTCCACACTGACTTCACATTCATTCACTTTAGACTTGTGTGCTGCACCTAAAGATTAAAAGAACCCACTCTGATTACAGCCTTTACTGTATTAAGGTGGCCCTGCCTCGTCTGTCCTGGTCTTTGTGTGCACGTGCCAGCCCCCCACAGTTCAAAGACATGCAGGTTAATTGGAGACATTAAATTGCCCGTAGGTGAAATTGTGAGGGTGAATAAATGTCAGCCTTCCGATACGCTGGCAACCTCTCCAGGGTGTAACCTGTCTAACACCCAGTGTCATCTGGGATTGTTTCCAGCTGGATTTTGAATGGAAAATCACATTCACTATAAATGTATCTGTTCACTACTGTGACTTAAGGGCTTCTCCAGTGTCTTACAACAACAACACTTCGATAAAGTTTGTATCAGAGGTTGATTTGTTCACACTTTCAGTGCCAAACTCCAAAAACCCTGAATCCCATGCATCATTCATTACATCTGCCCTGTAAACACCCTGATTGTTAATTTGAACAACATTTTGTACCACAAGCTTTGTTTTGTACATTTTTGAAATAACCAAGATGACATCAATATTACATCAGCATAGTTATTTTCTAAAGTGTCAAAAGTGTCAAAACAGAACTGTTTTCACAGCATCATGTTGGACTCCATGAATAGTCTAATCCTCAGCTTTGACTGAAGTTTGAAATTCATTGTCATGTCAGTGATGTGTGTCTCTTACCTGTGACTGGGCCCTGAGCATCAGCAGCAACTCCATGCGATCATCCCTGGACAGTTTGGAGCGATCACAGGGCACTCGAGCCAGCTCCTCCCGACACTTCAACGTTTTGTTTTTACAGAACAAATCCACCACCAGGTTATCATCAAGACCGCTGACAGCACATTCATAAAATGTTCCATTGAGAAGGGCCACAGAGAGCCACATTATAGGAGCCACACAAGCCCCAGTGAAGATGCTTGTGAAAGCCCTTAGGCAGCCGAAGCAGTTCCCACGGGGGCAAAGCTTCATGGGATTGAGGCAGCAGCCAGTGTAAACCCTCCACAACTTGGTGCTGAAGAACAGACCAAAGACCAACAGCACGGCAGCAGGGCCCAGCAGGAAAATCAGCCCATAGACAAAGTTCTGGTCGTGGTTGCAAGGACACTGAAAGGCAACCATGGAGAAGATTCGCTCCCCGCCCAAAGTCAGGAGAGCCATGAAACTATAGCCAATTGTGGCTTTCTGGTCCAAGAAAAACCGCAGGACAGCATTGAAGTTATCCATGTTGTCAGGGAGGACACGCTACAAAAAATTACCAACAACAACAAAAGACAACTGTCTGTGCTGCCTATAGTCATTTCCTGCTGTCTGTTGTCTCACAGCTGTGGACAAAACACAATTGCCAAGCCTCTCTGTGCTCCTCCCTTGCTGACTCTCTTCTCCTCAGGCTCCTCCTTGGAGTCAACATGACACTCCCTCCCACCCACAGCCATTTACTATAGAGGAAAGTCCCAGCTGGGCCTTTTCTCTCAGCTCACTGTATACATCCCTGCAGCATTGAAAGTGTTGAGGCATTCATTTGGAAAAATCCTGCGGGTCTGGTTCTTAAGATTACCTGATTGTTTGTTGACATTTCTGCATGAATCTGCAACAGATTCAGTCTGCTATTTGTATTCACTCTTAAGTCAAGCAGTAATTAATTTGCATGAAATGTTACAGTCCCTTAAAAGAGCATGCAACCTTTATGAGTGTATGCAGCAGTCCGGGTGACCAGCACCACCCTACCACCACAAGGAAGGGTTGATAGATCTCTTCTTCTAGATAGGTTCAAGGTTCAAGGATTTTATTGTCATATGCACAACAATTACATTTAGCAGTTGCTGGCAATGAAATGCTTGATTCCTTCTGTTTCTTAGTTACCACACCACCGATCATCCAGGTGTTCTGTGATCAGTCAATCATGTTGAGTTGGAGGCGGGACATGACCAAACTATCAATGAGTGGCTGATCTCTCACTACCTCTTTATATACAGTCTATGCCTGTTGAGGAATGATCCTTGCTGGATATTTTAACCCTTTATTGTCACTGGGTTACATTGAGTATGACAACTCAATTTGTTTGTGAGTAGAAATTATTTAGCAATGATGGGGGGGAAGAGGAAATATACAACCATGCAGGATTAGAGTATTCATTTATTAGTACTGGAATGTTTCCATAGAGAACAGAGCAATGTTACAGAGACAGAGGAAAGCAATCACAAGTATCAAGTGAGGGAGGGATCACATCCTCTGAGTGGTTTCTTTCCCTCAAAAGTGACCTCTCAGACTAAAGCACTTTTAAATGCATTAGACAAGAAACTGACACATCCTCTCCACACACTTACCTGCCCACTAACTCACTAATAAATTGCCATTGCAAATACCATCATTACACTTATCAGTTTGCTTTGTCAAATGAACAGTTTGTACAGGGTAACATAGTTAAGACAAGGAAATCACTGATGTACATGTGCTGAATGATTACATGTTTCCCAGCAGAGCACAGGAAGTGGTTTGCTCTTAACCACAGTAAAAATGTGACATGTATCCTGTTAAAACCGGTGCACATAAAGCTCTTTACACATCGTCACTGCTGTTCAGGTTTAAATGATGTCACTGATCTGTTTTTCTTCACACACTGTGTCTATATTTACAAGATTCTGACTATTAACATTGTTTAACAGTGTCATTTACACCATATTGCTGGTGTAAATGACCACAACAATGGCATAGCAGTGAGTGGATAATGTATGAATTTTTATTTTTGGGTGAACTATGCCTTTAAGGGCCCATGGAGGTGCAGTGCCAATTTGAACGTGCGATATGTCCAAAAACTTTTTTAATAAAGATGATCTATGCATTGCTCTGTAGCAGTGGCAGCGGGGACTCATCAACGGAAGTGAGGAGGTCAATCAGTCACTGCATCCAGCTCCAAGGAAAGCACAACAGCAAACAACAATAGGATGGACATCATTCTCCAGACAAACTAATTGTGGCAACTTCAGCTTTATTACTTCTTCTATCTGTATGAAGTGTTTGTGTGTGCTGTTGTTTTGCCATTATACAGAACATCTTCACCCAATAAAGTCCAGAACTATTTTTTTTTTGCATTTCTGTGTCAAGAAGTAATTGTATGGATGCTGATAAGAAGCTAAACTAGTACATTTGCTTAGAGCAAATATGAGGTGACTCTTTAGAGCCACACCTGAACTGAGTGTAATTTAGTGATGATATCAGTGTAATCCATTAGCAGACCTCAAGCTGGCATCCTGCCATCATCTACAAATTGAAGAACAGCAGGGTGGCCGTCGGCACTCTCGTTTGACCTAATCGAAGCCATTCTCATCAACCCATCATCACACTCATGGAAGGTCTCTACATAGTGGTGCAAGGTGCTGTAGTACTGTTCTTTGGAGCTAAATTTGTAGAGGGAGGAGATCTTCTCCCAGTCTTTGTTGGAAGGGGTGATGATTGGTCCAGGTGGTCTCTGGTTGAAGAAACTCTGAAGGTTCCTCTGGGCAAGTTCTTTGGCGTGTTGCACAGAGTGCGATTCAATAAGCTGGCCCTCCTCCTGAGCATACGCCTTCCAGAACTTGAGCTGCAGGTAGCTGATCGGGGAGGTGCACCGAGCCAGACAGGTCAGCAGCAGGTTGGACAACATGACAGAGGTGATGAGCAGCCAACCCAGAATCTGTGGTCACCGTTAACAAATCACATTACATCACATTACAACTTCTAATTTCAAGTTCACAAGTTCTCACATGTCTAATAGTAGTCACAGGTCTCAGTAGCAACATTCATGTATAAGTCCTCTCAAAATGTAACATCATTTACATTTATCACAACACTGTATGACTTCAAATGTACTGTATGTTAAAAGAGCACAAATGATGCTGTCCACTCGTCACACAGCTTTTTTTAGTTTGATGCATGTGTGCCATCATCCTGTATCATTTTTAATGTGTCAGCTTGGTAGAATAATTATCCACCTAATGATGGCCTGTGGAAGCCTCTTGATGCTTAAAATATAACAACAGTCTGACCTTTAAATAGCTGTGGCTAGTTAAAGGTACAGTGTGTAGTATTTAGTGATATCGAGTGTGGAAATCACATCATGCGGCTGAACACCCCTCACCTCACCCTCCCCCTTCCAAACATCCTCGTAAGCTGAGCTGACACTCTCAGTTCTTCTTTCTAACTGACCTAATGTTTGAATTCACTTTGGGAACCAATGAAAAAATAAATATACCCTAGTATTAATTGATGTTAATTTTATCATTTTCAAATCAGTGACATTTGGAATCTTTAAATTATAAATAGGTTACTTACAGGGCTGTTAATGGTCAACAATGCAAAATACAGTTTGAAGTTTAAGTTGCCTGATCACAGCCTTTCATTCTCTTCATTATTCCTACCCCGAATCAGACTTTGTTAATCAGCAGAGTGGCACTGACCTGAGACTGAGCTTTCAGTGCAAGCAGGACATTTTCTCTGTCAGCCTGCGGTATCCTCTTATCGTTACAGGGAAACCTGTGCAGTTTCTCACATGTGGCGTTCTGGTTTTGTCCACACATATGTAGGACTAGGCTCCTCTTGGTCCCAGTCATCAAACACTCATAGTAGTTACCGCTAAGCAGAGCCACAGCAATCCAGGTGAAAGGTGCCACCAGCGCTGTGGTGTTGATCTGGAAGAGGACTATCGCGGCGGACCTTAGCCTCTTACAGCTGCACAGCTTGGCCCTGCGCTGGCACAAACCTGTCAACAGCTTCCACGTCTTTTTATTCAGGATGTAACCCAGAAGCAGCAGAGCCAGACCAGGTACCAACAGGAACACCATACCGTATACGAAGTTCAGATCATTGCAGGGACAATTGAACACTGCTGAGGAGAAAATCTGCTCCCCTCCCGCTGTCAACAGGGTTAACAGCCCAAAACCAAGGTTGGACTGTTTGTTGGCAATGTTCAGAATCTTCTGAAACTTATCCATTTGGGACTGCTGCGGCAGAGTGACAGGTCACACTATAACTGTTACACTTTCACTTCCACCTATTTCCATGTGACTTTCGATACCACTGACATCCCCACCCCCCCTAAAAACAACTGCCACCCAGAGATGTCAGTTCAGTTCTACTGGAGGAAGCACCTGTAAGTTTCAATAAATAAACATGTCAAAGATTTAATGATAAATATTTACAATGGAAATCACTGTCTGTGGGAGATAAAGTTAAGTCACTAATGTCACCAGAATAACAGAGTATTCCTAACAGAGTAAACATAGAAAGAACAAATCAGGGTGAACATATAACAGACTAAAAAGGGGAAGGAAATGCTGGTGGGTTTAGGTCAGCGTGTTACAGTTTCATCACGAATTGTCACCACCACCCTAAAACCAGACCTGGTAATCTGGTCCAACACCTGTTGTGTTGTTTATTTTGTAGAATTCAGGTATGAGGAGGTGGAATCTGAGGCAGGACAACGTGGCTGGAAATCATTAGTTTGCCCAGTGGAGGTTAAATACAATGGGTTTTATGACAAAGATCAAGTCGCTCAAAGAGCTAGGAACCTTCTTAAAGTTTAAAAAAAATAATATTTAGTAATTGCAAGGTATGTTAAAATGGCCAAATCTTCTGAAGCTTGACATATATGCAGTGGGAGTCACGGTGAACAGGAGTGAGGTGAAAATTCTTTGTCACTTCTTAAGGATGTTTTTTTAATAATATTTCAAAAGTTAGGAGTGTTACAGTGAAAAAGTAGCCATATTTGCCTTAGATTTTCTTAAAATGTCTACAGTAAAATCTTCTGAAGCTTGACATATGTAAAGTGGAACAAGAGTGAGGTGAAAATGATTATGCAGTCTATGATATGGGCCAGAGGCTGTGATCATGGCAGCAGGCGGCCGATAAGAGGCGGTGTTTCCTTATAACGCGCTGGCTGCAACCTGTCACTACCCAGCGAAGAAGAATCTGTTTAGAGCGGACAAGACGGATTTCGGTCAGAATATATGACTGAAACACTGGGAATTAAGCATTCATCTGTATTTAAACGTCCCCACCACCGGCCAACGGACATTTGATATAGTATTATCCTAACTCGAATAAACATTTCAGAGCCGTCCTCGAAAACAACCCCAAAATGGCAGAAAATTCAGGTAAGTGTCAGTTTACGCTAGCTGCGTAGCTTGTAGTTAGCTTCATCTCCGTAAACAGATTCGCTGTTGTTCGTGTAGTTTGTCCAATGGATACGCGGTGAAGTACATTGATCAGAATCGGTCAAGAAGTTCCCAATGTGTCACAAGGTTATGTTGCGCTCTGTAGTCTCTGCGACCTCAGCTGCACACACACACACACACACACACACAACGCCTTTCTCGCTTAGCGTTAGCTTAGCCGAGATGCATGCACTCGTTCAGGCAAGACTTCATACACAAACGTCACGTTGACGTGTCCTGTGTATCACCCGTATATGAACGACACAAAATACCCCGAGCCTCAGCATCACCAGCAGTAAGATGGTGTTATCCCACAGGCGCCCAATAACAGTGGGTATCGAACAGTCAGTGTTAGCCCACTGAACCTGTTCTCCCCCTCACATGTGTGCGATGATCAATACAACTGGTGTAAGTTGATCAAATGCAACAGAAGCCGTAGAGGACTATAATAGATTTTGTAAAGTTGATGTGTTATCTGACTGTCCGTATTTTGTCCGCGGTAATAAAATGCCACACTTAGGAATGAGGCTCACAGATTGTCAGTCAACTGTCACGTCATGTACGTCTAGTGGTCACTTTAAGGTTGGTCCAATCAGCCGATCACCAAAAATGTATAGCCTGCAGACATGGTAAACAGGTTCATATGTTGATATATTTCACAAACTGTGTTTACCAGTACCATGACAGTTTCTGAGTTTAAAAACAAAGCTTCGCAAAAGGAAAATCATCTTGTGAGCAGGAACAACACTTTGTCAGGGAGAGAGGTGGAACGGGAATAATTAGACTGGTTCAAGCTGACAGGAAGAAGACAGTAATTCAACACAACCATGTGACATCTGTGTTGAGCATGAAGGCACATCTGGAGGCACAGCCCGTGAAACCTTAAGAAGACTATGTTAGGTTCAACTCATGCAGGCTCATCAACACAGGACGGATGGAGGGTGGATAGCCTGGTCTGATTTTGTTCTCGCACACAGGCATCTTGATACCACCTGATTTTACAGCATTTTCCAAATTAAAGCATTGAGACATGCTTCCACAAAATAGGTTCTGTGACGGAGGGAAAACAACATCTCAGTATAGAGTATAGTAATATATTCTGTTTCTATCAATGGACAATTGCTGAGTTTTAATGTCTGTCCCAGTGTCATTGGTGACCATGTCCACCCCTTAATGCCAATTTGCCATCTTCTACAGGCTACTTCCAGCATGACAAGGCTCCTTGTCCCATAGCAGAAGTGGTGGTTTCTGAGCCAAGGAAGGAACTACCCACTATTAGTATGATGTTCCTAATTAAGTGGCCACTGAGTCACCACAGTCTGTTTATGCTGCTCGCACCGTTTGCACTTTGAAACTAATCGAATGTTATGTAAAGTTGATGTTTTGTCCCTCTTTTTCACTTTGATCAGAACAAAATGAATCAAAACATGACAGCTCATCATCCCCTGGAATGACTGACCAAGAGAAAGAAAAGGCAGCCAGCGCATATGAGGCATTTTCGGTAAATCATCAGATTTCTTTACTAACATACAAAGCATTTGTGTTCTTTGCAGTAACAGCTTGACATCCATCAAAACTGCTTGGGCCAGAGTGTAAGCTGGAAATGCACCATTTTGATATTTTGAGGCAATAAGAACAGATCAAGCTTTATGGAGAGATCTTCTTGATCTAAACATTTATTTTTATGGTTCCAAATATGTAAAATATCCTAGTGTTTAATTACTCTTATTATATAAAGCATGCAATTTGCGTTCATGTAGATAGAAATCTCACTGTAAGAATCACTCTTCAACTTAACTTGTGGTTGTACAGTGTTGTTACAGAGGGGTGGTTCTTCTCTCACAAGTGATCACCAATGGTGTCAGTGTCGTTTTCTAATAATGGTTTTCTCAAACAAATTTGTGCAACAATTCCAAGTATTACAAGGCTATTTCATGACCATGCATGGGACTGAAGTATGGAGATTGTTTTGATTTATAAGCCATTTCAACATCGGTGAGAAATTCTCCTGTTGCAAATCACACATTGCAAGTTACACATTTGGTGAAAGAGACCTCTGTTTTCCTCACAGGCAGGAAAGTATGAAGAGTCTCTCAAACACCTTGATGCCCTGCAGGAGCTCAACAAAGAGGACTACAAGATCGCCCTGAACAAAGCTGTTGTAGATTTTTATAAAAGTGGTCAGACGACCACAGGGACTCTGAAGCAGACCCTAGTCACAATGAAGAATCAGGTAACTGCTGAAATGTGGGTCATGTTTTTCTAATGCTTAGAGTTCAGATTCAAGCTCTAGACAAATGCAAGACTCCCTCATGATGTCTTGCATGTCATAAATCGTCCTGTCTTTATCTTTTAGGTTCACACATCAGCAGAAGATGTCGATGGGTTGGATGATGTTGAAAACAGTTTGCTGTACTATAATCAAGCCATCATCCACTACCATATGCGACAGTACTCTGAAGCCATCTCAATAGGAGAGAAGTTGTACCAGTTTCTGGAACCATTTGGTATGTTGTGGTATTTAACATGACTTTACTTAAGTTTACTCGTTCATATCCACACTCCAGTTCGCTACTTTCAAATAGTTTCTTACAAACTGCAATTGTGTGGTCTTAAAGGTCCAGTGTATAAGATTTAGGTGAAAGGAATGTTTGGCATAAATTGAATGTAAAATAATCCTAGTGATGTTTTCACTGGTCTGTAATCATCTAAATTGTATGAATTGTTCCTTACCATAGAATGGCTCTTTATAGCTTAAAACTTTATATTTATGTGTAGGGGGGTCCTCTCTGTGGAGGCCACCATGTTTTTTTACTGTCATACAAACTGGACAAACTAAAACCTTTTTGAGTTTTTATGACAACTTAAGTTCACCACTGGTTCTCTTTCATGTTTGGAAGGGGAGGGTGAGATGAGGAGCATTCAGCTGCAACATGAAACTTCACCTCTAGAAACCACTAAATTCTACACACTGAACCTTTAAGTTTTGGCCAAATCAGCTAGTGTGTGCGTTCAAAAGATTATAAATCAGTTAAATCTGTCTGTGGGCTCCATGTTTTTTTAAAATCAGTCAAGAGTTGACAATCCTTTAGTGTGCAGCAGTCTTAATTCTGTTCTTTGGTACAGTTAGTCTTGATGTCTGATAAGGTCCATGTTTCACACGTGAGTTTGGCATGCAGTCATTGTGTTATTTGCCCTAGAAGAGAAGTTTGCTCAGGCGGTCTGTTTCCTGCTGGTGGATCTGTACCTGCTCACCTTCCAGCCAGAGAAGGCCCTCCACCTTTTGGCTGTATTGGATAAACTCTCTGTGCAAGGCAGCAACAAGAACGGCAAAGGAGAGGTACCCCATTGCACTACTGCATCATTAAACAACTAAACTACAATCTTACACAATCTGTGTTTTAAAAGCTGTTCCCTTTTAAGAGCGAAGTTAAATCAAGCACATGTAAAAGCTGTTGAGTGAGAACTGTGCTTGATTGCAGAATAACAGTTCAAACAAAGAAGGAGCCAACCAGAAAGCAGAGTTTGCAGCCATGATTGAAGCAGCCAAATCAAAGATGCACCAGGTAAGAGCTGTTAATATCCACCGTCTCTCTGTTTGTCTCCTGTGTGTTGACGGTGGCTGACAGTTATTTCTTTTATAGTACAAGGTGAGAGCCTACATTCAGATGAAATCCTCCAAGGCCTGTAAAAGGGAGATCAAATCAGTGATGAACACAGCAGGGAATGTGAGTCATCACAATGTTCACACAACCGTTTATTAATGAATAAGGTGCCTCTCCTGGTTCTCTGTCTGACCTCTGTTTCCTGTCCCTTCCCTCAGTCTGCACCCTCTCTCTTCCTCAAGAGTAATTTTGAGTACCTCAGAGGAAACTACCGGAAAGCAGTGAAGCTATTGAACAGCTCCAACATTGCAGAGCATCCTGGTCCCATTAAGACAGGTGACAACCTCTGTACCTCTCAGGATTGATGGCGTCTTTTGATATGTGTGCTCTCATAATGCTTTACCGTTAGTTTTGGTTTGACATGTTTTTGGCTGCCAATTCCAAACAGCATTTCACTGGAGATGTAAATATTGTATTATTGATAGATCTTGAGTGTGCTGGTTGATGGATTGTGCTTGTGCTTTGATTTGTCTCATTCAGGTGAATGTGTTCGATGTATGTTCTGGAACAATCTGGGCTGCATTCACTTTGCCATGGGGAAACATAACCTAGGCATTTTCTACTTCAAGAAGGCGCTTCAAGAGAACGACCACACCTGTGCACAGCTGGGAGACGGCAACAACGGCCAATGTGAGTCACAGCAAACATTGCTGCCTCAATGAGTCTATTTTCAAATTATACTAATTCATGTTATCAAGGACAGTAGCTTTATGCATGTTGGATTAACAGTTACAATGGATTCACATCAAAGAATCCAAAGAAACATCTTGAATCACCACTGCAACCTAATCTTCATAATTTCTACTATCGTCGTGTTGCTTTGATCACTGTAATTTAATCATCATTATTATTGTGTAAAGTGTTCTTCTCTTTTGAACGATGCCAAGTGAAAATGTATTAACACGCTCGTACTAAGTAGTAACATGTCCCTTTTTTGTGTTGTTATTTTTTCTCTAGCTAAGAAGTTCACAGGTATCCCCATGTGTGCTCTACTAGCCAACAAGCGCTATGAGCTGCTCTATAACTGTGGTATTCAGTTGCTGCACATCGGAAGGCCTCTGGCAGCATTTGAGTGTCTGATGGAGGCGGTGCAGGTTTACCACTCCAACCCTCGGTTGTGGTTACGGCTCGCAGAGTGCTGCATCGCTGCAAACAAAGGGGTATGGCTTAACTGATGTTGATCCTGCAGTTGAGCTGAGTTTGTTAGTTGAATATTTCTGTTGCATGTGGCTTTTCTTTAACCTTNCAATTTTACAGTTGAATAAAGCTTTCACAGTTTCACTGACATGTTTGATCACATTTTGTGTAATGTCATAGAGTTGCTAGAATGAAATCGGTGAGGATCAGTGAGGCAGGAGGATCCGGACAGTTGGTCACTTATCAGATGTGTGATGGCACTTTGGTGAAAGAAGACACGACACGGAGGAGACAATGCTACTGCTAAGACAGTGGAGGAGAGAGAAGAAAGACACAATACAAAGAGAGAGAGAGAGAGTTTGGCGGCACAGAAGAGAAGGTGCCACAGGCAGGACAGGAGAATCCAGGAAGTGAGGGGTCAAATAGAGAAGCAGAGACAGCGAGGAGGGGGCGGAGGCTACCAGCGCGTCAGGCCCCCAGCATCTTCTTGACCAGGTAGCCAGGGACAGAGTAGAGGAAGAGGCCCAGCATGAGCAGCAGCAGCATCAGCCCCAGGGCCTTGAGGATCAGCCAGCGGTAGTTGTGCCAGATGAAGTAACGAATGGACTTCAGGGGAGTCAGAAACCACATTAGACTGGTGTCCGGGCGACTTTTTCACAATGGAGGGAGCGCAGGAGGAGAGGAATGCAGGTGTGGGCAAAAAACAAGGAGAAGGGCGAGAAGGAGGAGTCACACAAACAGAGGAGGGGAGGTACGAGAGGAGGGGGAGAGACAGAGGGAGACAGTTGAAGAGATGGTCGGAGGAGAAAGAGTGAAAGTGTAACACTGACAGTTTGACAGAGCAGAAAGAAGTGTCAAGGTCAAACGAGGCCAAATCAAACTGTACCAGGTCAGGACTGTTTTTGAGAACACTGCTTTTTGCACTGGACGAATGATTCAAGTCTTTCATGTCTGTGCCTTACTCCAATCCACACAACCATCGTCGGGGTTTAAACGTGGAAGTAACACATGCCGTAGTATGAGTTTGTGACAGACCGATCCTAAATATGTTGCTTTAATTAAATATGCGTCTGTATCTTACTTTGGTTTCTCCAGTGGATCCGGCTCGTTTCGTCCCAGTCCCACAGGACTTTTCTCTGCTTCTTCCGCCGTCACCAGGTGAAGCTCGGCTTCAACTTTACCCTGAAACGACAGTGATGACGTTTATCAAAGGCACCGTTTTTCTTACTCAGTGTCCCCAGGGTGGGAATGAAAGAAGAACCATTCTCCCTGTTACAAGTCAATGGTACTTCAAAAAGATTTTGAAGGTGTACTTTAAGAGAAAATTGTTGCTTTGAGTCCTTCCTGTAAAGTTAAAATGTTTTATTTGATGGGTTTTAATAGAAAGCATGAAGTTTGCAAAATGTATGTTCTGGGTGAGCACGTACAGTAAAGTGGAATATTTTCTAAAAATGATTTAATTTAGACAATTTACTTAAGTAATTATTCATATAACACCATGTGCCGCCTAGTTTTCTTTAGAGATTGTATTTTCGAGTTGTAAGTGGTTTAAAGGTGAACACATATTTACATAGTTTTTTCGTGTCTTTGTGTTTTCAGGGCTCGGAGCAGGAGAGCAAAGGTTTACCTTGTAAAAAGGGTATAGTTCAGTCTATTGTTGGACAGGGCTACCATCGCAAGATTGTCCTGGCATCCCAGTCTACTCAAAATACCATCTACAGGTCAGTGTCTACTCTGACAAGCTCATATTCCAGCCCTGAACCCCACAAATCAAATGGCACTAAAGGGTATTCATCAGTTTACTGAATGTAGTAACATGAACCGTCTCCAGAGGGTCTGTAATCTAATTAACTAATGCTTTCTAGTTATTGTAATGCCAGGATTACTACCATTAACAGAACTGATTGGTATGGTCGGGTCAGAACATGGAATGTATCGTATCATCATATGTATCCTGGTATCATTACGAATAACAGGCGATGCTTACTTGTTACCTTGTTGTTATTTGTCCACATCAGTCGGATGGTTACAGATTTTTCAAGTTAAGTTTGGTACCCAGCCCCAGTAGTTAGGCAGCTAAAATTGATTTCTTACTATGATCCTGCCAGTTTCTACAAAATTAGAAAACAATGTTCCATATTGTATGACCACATCCCTTTATAATATGTTGAGAGTTAACATATCATCAAGTCTATATTGAAGCCACATCATGTTATCACCCAATATTCAAACCACAATATATTTCATTGTCCAAACGTGTTATATCTTGTACATGTCTCCTGCTCTGTGTGTGTTTTTCTACAGTGAGGGCCAGTCAGCAGCGATCCCCGTTGCAAGTATGGAGTTTGCAGCCATCTGCTTGAGGAACGCTCTGCTGCTGCTGCCTGAACATCAACAGCAGGACACCAAGACAGAGAACGGCTCCAAGAGCTTTAGTCAATCAGGAAGCACAGAGAGCGGCAGCGAGAACAGTGATGCCTGCAGGTCAGACCCACATGAATAACTTAAACCTAACTAGTAGCAATGAGAGTCTCAGAGCACAAAGATCGCTGTGACCTCACATCACCATTGTTGTCTCCTGAATGTGTGATTTTAAGAACATCTCTAAAGAATCCTTTCAAATTTTACACAAATGTTCAGTTAGACTCACAGATTAACTGATTTTGTTGGTCAAAGGTCAGAGTCACCTCACAAAACCATTTTTTGCCTTGTGAGTGCAATATCTCAAGTCTAAGTGACAACTGGTCAAAGTTTGAAGAAATTCCTTGAAAGGCCGACCTGAGACATCATGTTTAAAAGCATGAAACATGTTTTGTAAGGTCACTCTGATCTTGAGCTGGACCTGAGAGCATACAAAGATTATCTGATAAGATTTCACTGGTCAGGTTACAGTCACAATGACTTCATATTGGTTTGAGTACAATAGAGCACCTGGAGGGACTGAAACTGCACTGCTCGGTGGAGGTTTACAACCTTAGTGTTTGTCTCAGCTAATGAAAGCACAACATTATGATGACTTTTACAAATGCATCAGTCTGCTCCAATTCTCACATTGAAACAGCAAACACACATTACCAGTGTTAATCACATAGTAATAGTGGAACTGTTTCACCTAATGATCAATTCTACCTTCTGAATCAACAGGGAGAGTTCAGTCCCTTTTCCCTTTTTTGTACAAGATCAGCTCCATGTTGCCTGTCTCATTCACAGATACTTTGAGTCAGTTTGTGACTGTACTGTAGCCCAGTTGAGTTGGACATGTGTTCTAATAATGTTGTTGGTATGTTTTGTAGTGGGAAAGGTCAGGAGGCTGATAAGTTCTTATCTGCAGCTCCATCATCTCCTCTCAGAAAACAGGAAGTGGAAAATCTCAGGTAATGAGGCTTCTCAACTCTTCTCATTTTGTCTTCTCACCACAGTTCAGCTAACACCGTTCATTATCCAGTAATACAAAATAACCTGTAGGGGGCTGCAGAGGAAACTAATAAACTGTTCAATATGCAGGTGCTCCATCCTGGCATGCAGTGCGTATGTGGCATTGGCACTTGGAGACAACCTGATGGCTCTAAATCATGCAGAGAAACTGCTGCATCAAACCAAGGTGTCTGGATCGCTCAAGTAAGTTCTAGCCCTGTTTCTCAAATCTACCATTTGGTTTACCTGCTGTCTCTCTAAGGCCGCCACTAGTGACCACGCTGATGCTTTGAGATTTGATCCAGAATCATTTAAAGGGCTGATCAGCAGTGTCTTCCTCTACTCCGAACACCAACATGTTCTTTGTTATTATGTGCGTCCAGGTTCCTGGGTCACCTCTATGCTGCTGAAGCCCTCATCTCATTGGACAGGATCTCTGACGCCATTGCTCATCTCAACCCAGAGAACGTCAGTGACGTGTCAATGGGAGTTCTGAGCAGTGAACAAGACCAAGGTCTGAGGGTTTTACTCACTACTCAAAAAAAGACAACATGTAGACTTGTCATTATTATTTAACATGTGCTTTGTGTTTGTCAACAGGGTCTGACAAAGGAGATGAGCCTGTCGAGTCCTGTGAGTCTGCTTTGTTTAAACTATTAATGTTTGTTTCATACTTGAAACAAACAGAACTCTCACCTATAGTAGGTTTAAATAGGAATAATAGACATTAAAAGTACATAAGACAAACAGGAATAACTCTAATGTACACTTGCTTCCTAAATTATATCATAGAAGCAAATCAAGACTAAAGATTAAGCAGAAATATCACATCGTATGTGTCCTATGTGTGTACAGCAGGGAAGCAGACTCCACTGTGTTACCCAAGCAGTGTGACAGCAGCTCGGGCCATGATGCTCTTCAACCTGGGCAGCGCCTACTGCTTGAGGAGCGAGTATGACAAGGCCCGCAAGTGCCTGCATCAGGTAACCGAGGCAACAGCGACATAACTTTATGCAAGTTCTGGAAATGTGACAAATCATTAAATTTTCCATCGAACCTTCTAACCACCTGTCTGTATGAAAGGTGCTTTTTAAATAAAATTAAGTGTCATGTACATTACTTTATAGTAACTGTGGGTAAGTTGAAGATGTAGAATGACAGACATAGGACACAGTTATCATAGTTATCATAATTATTGCTCTTTAGCTGAGTCATGTAGCAGCTCATCAACACAGTCAGTGGCAGTGTCTGCAACACACCGCTCATGGTCGTAGTTGAGCTACTGAAGCTCCTCTTGTTGGAGTCACAATCCAGTCAAATCTTAACAATGTGACAGGATGCTCACATTTTGATTTAATCAAAGCAGTTGGCTGACCCAGATTATTTTCCAGCACTTCTCTTTTTGATTTCGGGCCAACTAAAAGATTTCTGTTTTGTCCTCATTTGGCCTTAGGAAAATATTTGCTCATCCATGCTCATCCAAGTGTCATCATCTTTTGGCTCAGCAACAATGTACAGTTGTGTATAATCTGCGTAACTATGGAAACAAATATTGTGCACTCTGATGATGTCACCCTGTAGCAGCTTAACAAGCTTTGAAGCAGAAGATTCTTTGACTACTTTCCAGCAGTGTGTGCAATTCAAAGTTGTTGTTTTATACCTTTGAAAACATATTGTTCTTGTTCAAATTATTTCACAGTCAAGTCTTATTTTAGAGCTCATCCAGGTGTGATTTGTGTTGTCGTCATTAGGCAGCATCTATGGTGAACACCAAGGAGATTCCACCGGAAGCAATCCTGCTGGGAGTCTACTTAGAGCTACAGAACGGTGAGAACTCCATGAGACACTCACTGTCTGTACAGCCCCCCTTGAAGTTGTTAAGATTCTGCTCATGTCAGTTTTGCTTAGTGGTGTGGGAGCACAATATATATTTAAACTATTTGTCACACTTTGATATTTCAGATCATCAAACTGATTTTAATGTTTCAGAGAGATAACCCATGTAAACACACAGTTCCATTAACTAAACAAATGAACAAATTGCTGCATCATTGATGGAACAATTAATTCTGCCCTCTCTCAGCAGTTCATGACCTAAATCCTCACATGCAGTTGGATTATTTAGAAGGACAATGATCCAGCAACAATCCCAAGCGCATAAGCAAGTCCACTTCTGAGTGACTCACAGGAAATAAAACCAAGGTTTTGCAGTGGCCTTGTCTAAGTTCTGACTTGACTGGGATGTTGTGGCAAGACCTTTAATGGGCAGTTCATGCTCGTAAATAAGGGACTTGTTATTACTTTTTGGTAAGCACAGGTTGGGACAGAGCTTTCAGCTATTACTGGCCTATTGACTCTCTAAACAGTCCCAGCAGATTCTTCTTTGTCTTTAGCCTCTGTGTGTGATGGGCTGGTTTTAAGTTTTTCCCCTCAGTATGCAAGTGAAGGGTTATTATCAGGAGGTTACATCCTGCTCTGTCTGTGTTGTCTCCTCAGGAAACACCCAGCTGGCTCTGCAGATCATCAAACGGAACCAGCTGCTGCCCACAGCAGTCCAGAGGGTCTCGCCAGACTCCCGCAAGAAACAGGTCCAGCCCTTCCAACTGCCCTCGTCCTTTACACAAGTACAGCGCAAATGAGCCTCCTCAGCTTCCTCTGACCCCCCGAACTGCATACACACACTAACACAACACACAACCCTATTTATGAAGCTGCTTCCCCTCAGCATCAGGAGCCGAAAGAAATGGAGATTTGGCTCTGTTTGATGAGTGAAGAGTTCTGCTCCATGAACTGAGACCAGCTCACATTTTATTTCCATTTGACAAAGGAACCAGTGTGTTGTCTGAGCAATTAAAATAAATTTTATTTACTGTTAAGTTGTGTGACTCTTGAATATCTCTCATTTTGCTGTGTAGGCCACAGTCATCACCCGTTGAACGCTGGATTGATCCTCTATAAATCCGTAGGCCAACTAGGTTTATAAATATATTAAGGATTTTGGTTTACTTTTTCTGAGGTGGATTATGACATTTCTCTGATTTCAGTATACAAAACACTAGTTTACATCGCAACTCTATACATTACTCAACAAATACAGGTGGCATAGTTGGACTGTGAATCATGCAAACCATAATACCAGCATTAAGATGAGCAAAATACAGTCTGGCCACTAAAGCAATACATTTGAATGTATTACAATATACTGTGTGAGATGTTATTGCATATAAAAGGTTGCACTGGAGTCATAATGTAAAATTTTGCATAAAATTTAAAAAACGTATTACATTAAATCACATTATAGACTGTTTTTTTACTTTGCATTTTTACTACATCCTCCACTGAGAGTCGACAGAATCAGGGAGCGAATGTGATGAACTATTAATTCAGTTGGTCCTCTCCCATTGATGGGAGTCAAAATTAACATTATAGTCTGAAGTTGCCATTTTATTTTATTATAAGTTCAAAACTATGGCTGTGTCCAAAATCGCTCCCCATTTACTATACGGTGCACACCAGCCCTCATTTTATTTGAGTGTGCACAAGGACTCCACCAGACTTGCCCTCAAACTACATGATTGAATGAATGAAGTCCACGCCATGGACACGATGCAATATGCTACATTTTTTAGATGTGAGAATTATAAGCAGTAGTGATGCTTTAAGATGAAGAAGGTAAAAGGTTTAAAGTCTCACTCACTATGTAGGGTCAGCAGAGGCAGCAGTGAAAGATGGAGATTTCAGACACAGCCAGGGATCAGATTTCTCCACCTCCCTGTGTGTTTCAATGTATTGTTTAAACAGACCCAGCCACAAAATAAGCATGGATCCATAACTGAAGGACTCAGACTCTACACCAGCATCTGAAATGTCTCATGTTTACAAAATCCCCAGTCCGGCTCGTACATAGCAACTTAATGTTTCAGGTGCTGGATCATAAGGTTACGTGACACAATAGAGTCTTTGTTAATGCCCGGTGAAATGTCTTCCCACAGTCACATACATTCCAGTTACTGTTGTGATCTCTAGAAGGAGCTATGGTTTGAAATAACAAACTTCTCAACTATTATCTTCCACATTCTGTCACTTTTTCTGTGAACAAGTACAGAGGCCTTTAGATGTGGTCGGACTTATTTCAAGCAAACCGAACTTATATCAGTCGATCATCGGTGGTGTGGTAACTATTTCTGTTTACATTTAGCTCACAGGGAGTGTGTTTAACAGAACCATTATTTTATTCCTTCCCAGTGCAATTCACACAGCGACAATAAATATTGACTTTCTCAAACCAAGCCTATGACAAAGTTCTAACTCTGAAAACCTCAATCCTATTGCACATGTAACACTGGTTCCCAACCGTTTGGGTTCTCGCCATTACAAGTCAAATATTGCCAACACAGATTGTCTAGTTAGGAGATAAGCAAACAATGGGGAAAAGTACAAAAACCCAAGTTTATGCAGCAGTATTAATTAATGTGAATACTAATATTGGGAAGCTTTGACATCTGCAGACCATCCAATCCTCCTGTTGGGCTTTTCCAGCAGGAGGATAAAGTGCTTTTTATTGGACAAGCCCACAGTGGTCAGCTTGAATGAACCACTTGAGGTTTCCCTTGAGAACCATCAGATATGACATCTGTTGACCTGACATCTCCCAAACAGTCCTGTTACAGATGTGTATTTGCTGCCTAAACACCAAACTGAAAAATATGTCTTTCTAACTCTTGACTGAGTGAAATCCTGCAGCTGGAGACTGCTCTCTCCAGCTCAGCTCTTCCAGTCCCAGGGAAGACACAGGTCCCCATCCTGCATGACAGAGTAGAAGTGAGAGACACGGATGTGTAGGCCCTGCATGAGGGGGGAGCGCTGCTCCAGCAGCCTTTTACAGCACAGGATCATTTGACTGGAACTGACACTGGGCTCCTTGGACAGACTCCTCAGAGACAGACTCTGGAGACACTGCTTCACCACAGCATCCTCCTCTGCCTGCAGCCTGGACATACACGAAAGCAGGGTTTAGGGTGCAGGTTCCCAAGACCTGGGTCAGGACCTCTCACAGTCGCCTACTGATCAGATTAGGGACATTTGACTCACTGTTTTTTGCATTGGGTGCGCTGTCTGGCCTCGTGGGCGTGGCTCTGGAGGAAGACCTGCAGCTTGGGAGGGTCACAGTTGGTTGGGATGATGAAGTGCCCCATCTCATGCAGACTAAGGTTAGAGCGATCACTGTAATTGACACAAACAACAAGTTATTTAGAACATTCACAGCAGTGAGTCATGACTTTGAGGCATGTTAATGTGACTTCTTACTTCCTCAATAACATGGTGAGCCCCTGCAGGCTTCTGGGGTGCAGTCGAAGGTGTCGGGACATCAGGCTCTTATGGAAGGTGCTGAGGGTGCTGTAATGCTCAGTGATAGGCTGAACTGGTCCCAGTCTCTCCATGTAGACCACCTGAGCACCACCCAGCAGGAGGCTGATCCTCTCCTTCAGCCAGTCGGTCTGCTGCTGCAGGCTACGATAGCTGTGCAGCTGCTGAAACAGCTGGAGAGACAAGCAGGGGTCAGAAGACAGAGAGCAACACACAGGTAACATGTGAGAGCAGACGCTCTGTAGCTGCATTACTTTGGTCCACTGATGATGAACGTCCATGGTTCCCAGCATGACGTGTCCAGAGGCATTCATCCCTGACTGGTCAGCAAACATAACCGTGTGTCCTGGAGAGACAGTGCAGGAGCAGATTAAAGAGGAAGTTCACCAGAACCAGAATGAAAAGGAGATGTGATGTCACACATGGCTAATAAATGAAAACAGTTTCTTTCAAATGTTTTGAGGTAAAAAATAAATACATTCGTCAATATGAACATGTTTTACAGTAACTTGTAACCTCTGAAGAAAAGAGGTGCAAACTGTGGCTAAGAGATTCCAATGTTACTTATACTCTGTGTCATGTATATTTTGGAGTTGCCATGGTAACTCATATCACACTGCGATATTTCTAGGTTCCTATAATCTCTTTATGTAATTTCAACAGCCATACCACCCAAGTGGTTTGCCTGGCCATATTTGCACTCAGCCGACTATAGGGCCCTTTGTGCTGATCAGGTAAATACTGTAAAACTTATTTGCACGTGAGCTAAAAAAAAAAGTGATAGTCCACACACATCTATTTTAAATGAAACACTTGAAGACACAGGTAAAGGATGGAAATGAAAAACATAAGGAGACAATTAATACAAATAAGAAGCATCCCAGAGGATCACAATGACTCAAGAAATGCATACTTGAATGTGTGAGCTGTTTGGCCTTCAAATAAAGTGAAATCCCAAGCTATGGTTAGACAGACAGACAGACCCAGAAGAGAGACGTGGATTACTGTCCTCGACTGTGACACTGTACCTTGCAGGTGGATCAGGGCCTCTGGGCTCTGCTGTGACAGACGGCTCAGACTCTGAAGCTGAGAGCATCTGTGGGCCACTCCCCAGCTGCGCTGCCACCTGTACCAAACATCATTATAGCAACATGCTGAATGTCGTCATCGTCACGATAATGTAAACAGCTTCTAACTAGTTCATGTACAGCCTTAAATTTAAGCAACAGTTCCAGTGATGATGAGTGTACACAACTGTAACTATTCTGTAATTTAAACCAACACTATTAGATTTTCTCTCTGTTGAAAACTAAAGGGCCAGGATACTGGATCTAGTAAGCGGCTGCTGATTATTATGAACATATGGCTTATCAGATTGCTCCTACAGCACTGACTCAAACCATTTTCCATATGTCCGGAAAATCGAGTCCCGACTTTCTCTGGAATTTGCCTTTCACACATTAACAACACAGCAGAAGATTCAATGCTCAGATGTGTTCACAACAACACAGAAATCTCCAGAGCTTGTTGCGTGTTAGAAATGTCATTAAAACTCACTCGATCTCCTGCTGTGTTCTCACATTGGCTCCTCTGTACTTGCTGCAGACATTTTACAAGAGGTCTGGACTAAGAAACTCTGCAGAAAGTCTGGAGGCTCTCACTCGGACATTTCCATTCAACCACACAGCCCTTCCAGGGAGAGTTCAGAGGGTCTCTGGAGCTCAGTGCATGAAGGCAGCTTTAGTGTTGAAACAGTGCAGTACCTGAAACCAGCCAGATCAAACTTGTGACACAGCTCCCTCTTCAGTCTGTTCAGCTCCTCTCTCCGAGGAAGACTAGCATTGAGCTTCTTTGTTGCTTCAGGCTCATTTTTTCTCAGCCACAAGCTGAAAAAGAAAAGGAAACATGAGGCTACTCTGACATGACGGACATTAACATGTGAATCACAGAAACATTTTTCATTTAATGACTTAATTAGAATTAACCCTGCATGTTGGATGCTAACTAACCAGTAAAGTTTACAGTCCACATCTATGCCCATACAATGAGATATATATGCATATGTACATTATATTATATAAACTGTATATGAAGAAGTTCAGTGAGGTTCAGTCTTGCTAACCTGAGTGTAGGCTCAATTTTCCTGGCCTGCTGCAGCTCCTGCTCAGGGTCCCTGAAACCAGTGAAGGTGTAGTAGCTCTTATCCCATTTGATGGGTCTATAGAAAGGCACTCCTGCCTCACGAGGATTTTGAGATGTCTCTGCACTTGCTTTCAGTCCTTTCATGTGCTCCACAGACAGGCTGCAGGACTTTAACACATTGATCACTGTGCTCAAGACATCATGTGTGTGTAGGGTGAAGCTCACTGACCGGAACCCTGAGAACCCGGAGGAAGATTTTTGATTTCTAAATACAGAACTCAAGAAATATATAATGAGCAATATTAATGGAAGTGTTACCTGGGGTGAGGAGGTCTGGCTGCATATCACTGTTGTCTTTCGTGTCCCTGACATAAAAGGTGAGCTTCATTGGCTGAACTGAGCGTGAGCCAGTCTTCTGCAAGTTTTCCAGATAGCCATTAAGTCTCTTTAATGAGTTCTCATTCACTTCCTATAACACAAAACATTAAATGTTAGTTTGGTTGTCAGCAGGTTTGCCTAAAAACGAATGAACTCCCTCAAAATTTGGTAAAGAATGAAACATGGGCCAAGAACGCAAACGCACACACACAAACATTTACACACACTTATACTTCTATATTAGTAAGGACACTCATTGGCATTATGCACTTCCCAGACCGTTAATCTTAAACATCACAACTAAATACCTAACCCAAACCCTTACCCACATCCCATTCTAATCCAAACCCTAAAAACAAGTCCTAACCCTCCAACAGCTCATTGGAAGTGGGTCAGAAGGTGAGGACCAGCCAACATGTCTCACTTTCCTGAAATATTTGTAGTGGTTAAATATAAAGAATAAAACTAGTTTACAAAAAGATATCTGTACACACATACATAAAACCTTGGATTCCTCTATGTGCATCTACTGATAGATTAACAGTAAAAGTTGAATCACATCTGATTTTCTGCTTTACAACATTGTATTTATTTGCATTTATGAATTGATAAACAATCCACAATACCGTGACAAACCTACCCGTTCTCTGGGATGTTGACCAAAGAAGTCTGGATGGACAGCAAAGTAAAACGGTCTGAGTGCGTTGACAGTATCCGCCCCTGACAGAGCTCTCTGCTGGACCAAACGTGTGGCCACATGTTTCCTCTCCAGCCTGCAGGGGGGGGAAATTGTGGTTTAACCCAATTTTTTTTCTTCCAAACTATTTTCTGCCTTGTTCCTCTGTGGCTACATACTGGCTGTGGGAACCAGATATATTTCTCTCTGTCACATCTGCTTTCTCATGCTGCCAAATCTCAATGTCAACATATCTGACAGTGATTGTCCTGCCCACATTACTTAATCGAAGTAATCTCATCCTTTACATTTTGTCAAAAGGTAAAGGATGCACTATTGTGGAACCAAACTTATTTCCACATTTTCATTGTAAATATATCATTATTATTGGAGTTGAAGGTGAATACATGAGTCTGACCGAATACTTTGTTCACCAAGTCCCAGGAGCTGCTGGTTGATTTCCTTGTGACTGTTTTTTTATTTAAATTTTGGTGCCACTTGATTGAATACAAGGGGACTGTTGGGCCTTGGCGGAGATATGCACTGTAATGAATGCCATTTTAGTTTGGTTATGTCCCACACCGTGCCACAGGTTGGATTGATTGATTGATTGATAAAATCATACACACAATCACACACTCTATGAGCATTTAAATGCGTCTGCACACTTGATGTTAGTGTCGTGTTTTTTAGGCTTTACATGTTGTTTACTCGTTGACTCTCATGGGTAGACATTCTTTATTGTTATTTTCTGCATGACAACTTTGTATTGTCAAATTTCGGGAAACTTTAACAATATTTATGCAGAAGATTCAAAATAAACCCACTGGGTTTACTACCTCCCCCTGCAAAGTATGTTATTACTTGACTTTTCATCTGTATTGCTTAATCTGTACTCAATAAATCTAATCTGAATTTTGATCCCCACATAGAAAACTTGTTTTGCTCCAGATTAGGCCCACACTGCCACACAGTGATCTGACCCACATACTGCATGGAGTGATGGCACTTATACAGTTGACAAGATCATTGTTTTGGGATATATGCTACTTTACAAGTGGGCAGATTTTTCAGACACTGATCTTCAGTGTGGAGCTGAAGTTGACTCAGCTGCAGATGTAACAATCCACTCTATGATCACACAACATCTCAGAGCAGTGTTACCTGAGGCTGCACCGCAGGAGCGAGCTCACAGACATCGCTGGTGCTGCTGAGTATGAAATCATGACCTGTCCCAGTCCATGAGCAGAGCTGCTGTCAGAGGAAGATCCATGTCACCCTGCGTCTGTATCATTCCTTCAAGCCGACGTCAGGCAGCCAGGAGGAAATGACTGACTCTGCAGCCATGGTCTTCAAACATGTCCCCACACTCTACATCGTTCCAATCCCACCACCCTGTGTTAGCTGCCGCGTTAGCTAGCTAAACGTGCAGGGTGTCACAGTTGAGGCCACACAGTTTGACAGACTCACCACAGCAGCTGCACTGAGCTCACACAGACAACAAGCAGCAGCTCGGAGCGTCAGTGCTGTCAGGATCAGATCAGTGCTTCAGCCTCGACTGACTTCTACTCAATGACAACAAAGCTCCAGTTAGCATTTTCAGCTAGCATCATCTCTGCTATCTGCTCTGTCTACAGCTGATCACACCACAGCTCCACTAATTATCGAGAGGAGTTGTGAAGTTAACGAAGTTACTGTGTTTTTATAATGAGTGCTTACGGACGATGACCTTTTTTCTTCTTCTGTTGCTTCTCCCGACGGGCCATCCCATTCTTTTCCTCTTATTCCTTTATTTACCGACCCCTGCTGGACTGGAGTGAGAAAGATGCAGCAGATTTAGAAATGTTTTATGTGGTTTCACAAGTGGACTGTTGGGCACTCTATCCATCTGTCTGTCCATCTATCTATCTGTCCTTCTATCTATCTATCTATCTATTTATCTATCCATCTGTCTGTCCATCTATCTATCTGTCCTTCTATCTATCTATTTATCTGTTTATCTATCTGTCCATCTATTTATCTATCTTTCTGTCCATCCATCTATCTATCTGTCCATCTATCTATCTGTCTGTCTATTTATCTATCTATCTTTCTGTCCATCTATCTATCTATCTATCTAATGTGTCTATCTTTCTGTCCGTCTATTTATCTATATTTCCATCTAACTATCTGTCTGTCTGTTCATCTCTCTATCTATCTATCATCCATCCTCTGCCCTCAGCAGGAGTTGCCAAAAATAAAACCTTAACAGGCGAGCAACACCCTCCACTGAGCCATTCTAGTTGGATCAGGAGAAAGACCGGGTCATCAACTTACCAGTTGGTGGTTCGATCCCCAGCTGATCCATTCTGCCAAGACACTGAGCTGCTAATTTCCTCTGATGCCTGTGCTGTAAGTGATGCGGGAAGGTGCTGCACATAGATACACTGTGGGAATGTGTGTGAGAATGGGTGAAGGCCAAAACTTTACAGTGAAATGCTTTGATTGGTCATTAAATTAGAGAAGCGCTCATAAATACAGAACATTTACCACATTCCCACACTCCACCTTCCGGTTAGTCAAAATAATAAAACCATGACAAAATAATACTAGCTTGATCGTACCTACTGAGAGGGTGAACTTACAAGAATACACACAAATACTTTTAAGAGACCAGAACTGTACTAAGAAGCAAGCTCCATATACCCAGGATATGTTTTATAGCTTTAGTGAACTATAATTGGCTGTCCTGAAAACTACTGCTACAGACTGGTTTATCAACAGTTAACTGGTTCATGAGGAAGAGGTAGAGCATCACAATTAACATTGTCAGAACCCTGAATAATGTCATTGTTATATCAGCACTATTTAAGTAAAATATCTCAAAGGGCATCTATTTGCAATTTCAGGCTGCACCCACAAAGACCTGAGAGAAACAAAGATGAGATTTAAGCTTCAATGGAAATGTGCACAAACTTTTACTGGACAAAAAGCTTCAAGAATGAGAACTTCAGACCAAAACCAGGCCTGCATGTAAACAGTGTATTGAACAGGTGTATTGTTAATGTTCTGGTGAGACACTAAATCATTTTCAGGTAGTCCAGTCTAAAAAAACAAAGGAAGAGGTTCAAAGGCTTCTCAGTCAACAACAGTTTTTAATTCACACAAACAGGATTTCACAACTTGCAGTGTTTATAGTGGCAACTATTTCATACTTTGCCGCAACAGTCGCAAGGTCAACAATAGAAATACTAAGTAATTAACTCAATTAGCTAAGGCAGCACATTGCCAGCTGATGAGTTGTATTGAAACAAAAACTCTGGTTTGACAGGTATATGCTGGGTTATCTGCCTCATCTTCATAATACAGAGCAGCACACAAGCACTTCAATGAACCTTTCAATGGCAAGAATCTGTGACTCTCTACTGCAGTGGATCTGTGAGGAAACATAACAACAACTGAGCTCTAAACATGACACTGTTCTACTTGGCAACAGATAGAGAAAACAGCTCCAAGAAATGTACCCGACACATTTTACAAAGAGCTAATGATGATCTTCCCAAAGGCATTATTAACATACTGTAGGTTTGTTGAGTCATATCTTCACTTAAATAAAAAAAAAACGGATGAGTCTTAAGTAGAATATTGTAAGAGTATTTTTCATGTGCAGTTATTATACAATAATACGGATTCAGTTTGATCTTTTGAGCAGAACTGTGTGTTTACCTGAGTGGCAGTGAGAACTAGAAATACAGCACTACGGTTGTATACCTCCGCTAACCAGTGCAAATTCCATCTAATTCATATAAGATCACTGTGACTTTCGACGACCGAAATCGTATTAGTTCATCTGTGAGTCCAAGTCCATGTGTGCCAAATTTGAAAGAATTCTCTTTGGGTTTTTCTGAGATATTGCTTTCAAAAGGTGTGTTCTGGGAGGTCACAGTGACCTTGACCTTTGGCCACCAAATTTGAATCAGGTCCTTCATGAGTACAAGTGAATCCTCCGACCAAATTTGAATCAGTTTTCATAAAGGCGTTCATAAGAATCATAAGGATGGACAGACAACATGAAAACGAACCACCTCCGTGCTGGTGACAGGCAGGGGCCGGAGGCAAAGTAACACAAATACTGAAGTTGTAAAAATATTAAAAACACAGTGACCATCCTTATCTTCTCCTAAGTCACAATGAATTGTCTATTGCTGTTGTTCTGGAGCAGGCCATGACTTAAGTGCATTACTACGACACAGAGGCAGTATCATGCTGGAGTCCACAGACAGGCACGTCATAGCTGGTATTTTTAGTCATCTCGAGTAAATAACAACAGCTTCTTATTGATATGTGTGAAACTGATGAAAAACCAACTGCAGACCTGACAGTAAAAACACACAGGTTCCATTTCAAACATTTGGTCACAGGTCACACTGTTTATAAAAATAAACAGACAACAGTAGGGGATCTTCCCGGAAACATCACATCATGATCTTTTTAACACACAAACAGTCTGAACTGAGCTTTCTTACTATGCAGACACTGTTTGGTCATGTGTATTAGTGTCCACTACTTTTAACAGCACCAAAAAATGTGGTCCCCCCAAATTAGCTCTCCTTTAATACATTTGTTCGGGGATCACTCTGTAACATTGTGAATGTAGTGTGGATCCACATTATCACTGTAGACAAAAATGTCTTAAAATGTATGGATCTCTGCAATTCAGTAGAAAAGTAGATCACGGACCTGCTGAAGATTAATCGTGACATAAATTTGTTAGATCGCCCACAAAATCTATAAAACCTTGAAAGAGAGAGGAGAAGAAATGTCATCGTAAGCTGCTTTCAGAACTAACACACGACCGATGCAAAACATCTCCGGATGAAAAGTGGTGCCATGCACACGGAGGACAGCGACAAAGACGTCAAGAGAGCTTTTGGTGATAAGAGCTGACGCCGGTTTCTATGTGCTGTAAACAAAACCATGTGATCTCCGCAGAAGAATTCATACATTACATCCTGCCTCGGCCTGCTGCACCCCCCCCTTACCCGAGCACTCTGGAGATTTCAGTGTTGTTGTGAAATCTCCTGCTCTGTTGTTCATGTATGAAAGGTAAACAGCTACACTGACCAGTTCCTGTTTATGAATGAATGGGACTAAGTCACTTCTGATAATATTGGTCTCACCATGTTAATAGTTGGAACATCACTAGAATGAAGCACGACAGGTCAAGAAACACTAGCAGATAATTAATCTAGCTGAAAACACACAGAAAGTGAGTTTATATAAATGTTGCTCACAATTCCTTGCTGCAGAGGAGAACTGGTTTATTTCCAGAGTAACCTGATTTATATCCAGACTATCTGACTACAGAATGTAAGATCATCAGATGTTCATGTTTCTTGGTATGTTTGACCTCTTTTCAGTGACCTAGCTGCAGTCACTGATCCCCAAAGGCCAAAACTATGGATCTACTAACTCGGATCTGAAACAGACCTGAGGAAAACTAGAGAAACCTGATGTCGTAATATAGATTAGCTTTCAAGAGAAACACTCTAGTTCTGGAATGCAGCTTTTGTTGATGTTATTAATTACCTCCGTCCCATTGCCAGTTCCCTGTTTGACTTCAGGCTTACAAAAAAACTACGAAAAACTATTTTATTGAAACTTGGTGGAAGGGTGGGGGATGAGCCAAGGAAGACCGCATTCATTTCCCAGGAAATAATACCTGGATCTTGATGACTAACTAATCAGGCGCATTCAGAGGACTGAGAGTTTGATTCCTGGCTCCTTTTCTTGAATGCTGAAATGTCCTTGGGCTCTGACACTGGCTCTGCAAGTTGTATACATGATAAAAGTGTTTTGAGAGGTCGTTAAGACTAGAAAAACACTGTATAAAAGATAGTTCATTTACAAACTTTTAAAACAATTTATGTAAAATGTGTTCTCTTCAGGACACTATGATATGGTCACAATTATAAGAACTAAAAGTGCACTCAGAGAGCACACACCTCTTCCAAGGCTAACAGCTAATCTCAGCATGTAAAAGAAAGTCTTCTAAATTTGATGGATTCTTTCTTCGGGCATGCCCCACCCCTCCACTAAAATTTTATTTTATTTAGTACTTTTTGAATAATCATGCAAAAAGACAGACGAATAAATCGACTTCAATGAAATCACAAGAAGGGCACTCAGAGATCGCATGCTCTTAATGTTAAAGACAGTAAAAAAAAAAAATCCTGCATCTGCCAGAGGTTAATGTGTTTTTCCTTGGACCATACCCCAACCTTCCATCAAGTTTCAATAAAATCAGTCGAGTTTCTGCCAAAAGAAATTGAGACAAACATCAATAACCATAACGTCCTTGGTAGAGGTGATGAGTCGTGAATAAAAACGCCAGAAACTTCCTTTAACATGATGAGTACAATCTTCATATAACTAATATCAAGACTGGGAAAGTGAAACCTTTAAATGGATTTGTCAATAACTTCATGATTTGTGCTATTTCACCACAAAATGCTGCTGGTTGGTTTAAGTATAATAAAAGAGGACGGTCAAAACATCTCGTGTGATATGAATGATACGTAATGTAATGTAATGTAAGATTGTATGTTTAGTGTCTGAGGAGCACCGTGCCAGGACTGCGGCAGCTATGTGACAACAGCGGCCAGAAAAAGGCAGAGGCAGGTGTATCGTGATTCTAGAGCAGATCAGATAACACACAACAACACACAGCTGTTTTAATGTCTTAAAACAGCCCTGTTCAAAATTCAAATTGATATAGACACATTATCAATTTAACTGGTTTGAGTGCTAATGGGAATCAGTTGTAAATCATTGTAATTGTCTGTTTGCGTTGTTTGTGTTGGGAGTATGTGTTGCTTTTAATTTCTCTTCATTTCCGTGTAAACTAGGAGAAGGTCGTGTCTAGCAGACCTGTTTCCCTGCATTTGAGACTGAGATAAAATACTGTTGGGAATATGGCAACTCTGTTTTTTGGTTTCTTTTGGTCTATATTAGTTTTACTTGAATTGATAATGGTCTTTATCTTTCACATGCTGAGACACTTAGTGTTAAACTGATCTTGGTGCAAACACGTTAAATGGATCTGTTCCCCAGCCCCCTGTGAAACCCACCCGGTGGTCACATGTGCTCCGGGTGGCTCTGCAGGCAGGAGATCATCTCTCGGACCGGCCTGCCCTCAAAACAAATCTGATAGACTGCTGTGAAGAGAGGGAACCTGCAGAGAGAGGATGGAGGGAGTCAGACGAGACACAGAAGAGAACAAGATTAAGCATGACGGTGCACGGATGGCTCAAATGTGCAGTGTCAACACCTCAGCTACTTTAGAGGCCCAGTTTTTGCATCAAAGCACCATTTTCAACTAGTCATATGTTAATGTCCTCTGATATCCTCCTTGTAGGCGCATTCACATTCTCACAGACACATAAGAAAACATCAGACACTCAGGCACAAGCGCGGGGTACCATTCACATCGCTATGTCCGATGGTGGACTTTTAGGCTCAAAACATGGTGAAAATGACACCGTTTCGATTTGAATATAAATGTCTGGGCTTCTGGACACTTGGATGACACCACCCGAGCAGTATGGAGGCATGATGTGTCTCTTTTCTGTTGTTCTTTAATGTCTGAAGAAGGAGTCCCGTTTTCTTGGATTTGGCTGCAACACTGTTTACCCCTGAAACTCCAAAGGTGTTTTGTGGACTCAAACACTTCACCCGCCCCTCCTAAGCTAGGCTAAAGACGTCCTGCCTCCAGCCATGTCCTGGACACAAAGACATGAGGCCGATATAAATCTGTCAAACGCCCTCTCCATCCACACACCAACAGAGGATACACACAACACCTTTCAATACTTCAAAATAAAAACAGAGACTGGTGTATACGTACTTGTCCACCAGGCTCTTCTGTTTGAGGATGTGATAAACCTCAGCTGATGTGGCAGGACCCTGGAGCTTCTGACCGTTCAACATCTCCTGCTCCAGCTCCTCAATGCTCTGAGAGCAGGTGAGACAAGAAGAATCAAATTCATCATATGGAAGCAGCTTTACATTAGAAATCTGTTTTCCAATGAATTCCACTTATAACACAGGTTTTAAATCAAGTGTCACTTGTGAGGACTGGTCAACAGTCACAATAGAAAAACAGCAAAAGTCCATAACATCCACTGGTGTGTGTTACACAGTCACTGGTTCACCTACCTTTCCTGTTTTAGCAAAGGCCTCTGCCACTCTCCGGTTGCGGCCGCCATAGCATGTAGTGATGAGGTCGGCCACGCCGCAGCTTTCTAGAAAAGTTGCCGTAGAAACAGAGTCGTTCTTGGAGAAGAGTTTAGCGAAGGCGATCATCTCCATCAGCCCCAGACGAATCACAGCGGCCTTGGTGTTGTCACCGCACCGCAACCCATCACAGAAGCCTGCACCCACTGCAACGATGTTCTGTCCCCAACATAGAACACATATATTCACATTCACTATATCAACAGCACCTTAACAATGACTTATATTGTTTCAGACATGTACTTTTTTTAGTATGGTCCATGTCCCATCTACTGACATGGAGGAGGTATAGAGTGTCTACTGGAACATACTATCAGAGTGTGCGTACCTTCAGTGCTCCACACAGCTCCACTGTATCAGCATCATCCACCACTGTGATCCTGAAGTTTGGAGTCTGCAGCAGCTCTTTGAACAGCAGACCGTTCTCCATGATCCTACTGCCTACACACACACACACACACACACACACANCACACACACACACACACACACACACACACACACACACACACACACACACACACACACACACACACACACACACACACACACACACACACAGCTCTTTAAATGTGCAGTGTCTGTACCCTGACAACCCAATAGTTGGAAACTTTGCTTGACACTTCTTTAAAAATAGACAACAAAGCCAAAAGATTACACAACCTACTTCTTATTTTTAATCCCTCCTCCTCAAATAGACACCCCTTAAATTGAGGCTATTTGCAGCCCACATTGAAAACTTTGAAAACTAAAATGCAGGCACACTTCAATAGACAACTCCAATACTGTGTGTGAAATACACAAAGAAAATACTTACAAAGAAAATACTTGCAAAGAAACTACCAACTACCAAATCAATGTAGTGTTGTACAAAAACACAAAGTAGTGTATAATGGTAATGCCTATGGACAGTACAGGTACAAGTAAGTAAATAATGAATAAGTGTGACCTTCCAGACTTTTTATTTTTTATATTTTAATGTTCTGTAAAGTGTAATAGCAAAACATCTGCTCCTTATTTTAACTGTACACAGACATATATTCTACTTACCAATTGTGGTTTCACAGAATTTCTCAGCTGCTACTTCATTGGCGATGTTTGCTCCCATGAGAACACTGACATCAATCCCCATCTTCTCTCGAATGATGTCGGAGATCAGCTTCAGACCCTCGGGGCCTTCATCTATCCCCTGAAAGACAGACACAGAGGGATGTGAGGGACGTGTGACTGCAGGAAGCAGGTGAGAGATGCTGGATGTGGGAGGGAGACGTGGAGGGAAACAGCAGATTAGTGACAAACAGATTCAGCACGCAGACGTTTAGCTTATACTTGAATACTGTGATTATGCCATGCAGATGCTAGGAAACACAATGATAAAAAAACATTTCCATTGGCCTCCTCCTCTGTGGGACACACGCACGCTTTACCATAGAAATCCAGAATCTTTATGATGTTTGTATTCCGTACAAAGGATCAGACTGTTGTGTGAATTGATCATCACATGAAGGTTGTGGATATGAAAGATACAAAGATACTCCTGAGCAACAGTCAAGTAACAATAAATTAACTCACAAGCTGCTTTTAGTGCTGACTGACAAACTGTATTCAAATGGTAAATGGTCTGTATTTATATAGCACACTATCTTGATGGCCACTCAAAGTGTTTCAAAGTAAAGTTTTGCCATTCACACACACATGCAGCACTTTCTCTATCACACATCACCAATATACTGGTACAGCCATCAGAGGTAATTTGGTGTTCAGATTCAGAATCTTGCCCAAAGACACTTTGGCATGTGGAATTATTCTCAAGGATTTGTTTCATTCAACATGAACTTTGCAACAGCTGGCTGCTCACTTTCTATTCTGAGGGAAACTGAGAGTAAGTACAGCTTTGGTCTATTTTAATCCCAGGCCTGCAGCACTCAAAGCCCCCTCTCTCCCTAATGGCCCCCTCCACAGTTTTTAATCTGCTTTTTTACCTGGAGAGAATTGAGGATTCATTTAAAACATGTGCACACACACACGCACACATGTGTTGTCATGGCTTTCATCTCTGTAAACTGGGCAATGGTGGAAATGTGGGTCTGAACAAGTCCAAAAGTAAAGCAGACTGATTCATTACAAAGTAAATGTTCTGTCAAAGTCAGAGATTTACAGCCACTTTAGCTCTGGACTGATCCAGAAAACTTAATCTGATGAAAACCTGTGTTAAACAGACATTATAAGGTAAGACAAGGTCAAAGTCTGCAGAGTAAATACCTCCACTGATGAGGTTATATTTTCATCAGTGTTTGTTTGTCTGTTTGTGTGTAAGCAGCACACACAAACACACAAAAACCAGTACACAGGTTACCAAGAAACTTGGTACGAAGAGTGAGTAAGACGTACAGGTTAAAGAAAAACGCATTAAATTTTGGTGTAGATCCAGATCAGGATCAGGAGACAGATCCAGGAATTTTCTCTTTCTGTAACATTGGGAAATGGGGTGTTTTTCCAAAAAATGTCTGTTTAGGGAAATTATATTTATCAGTAACATTGAAAATTAAAACAATTTCTAACAGCTCAGACTCACAAGATGATTTGAAAGCCCACTTCGTGCAGTGAATGTGACTTTGAGATGCATGAACACAAATTCAAGGCCATCGATGGTTAAGACGATAAAAGCTGCTTGGGCCGGCTCCAGATGATGAGCCAAGACTCGTGAGAAATTTCAATGAACTTATTCTACCACACAGGGACTCCCACTGAGCTGGAATCTGTCTTCAAAGGAGAGGACAGGCTGCACAACTAAAATTGCACATTCAGGAACTGTGAGGTGGTGTGGATAATATGCTCACACACTTTTTTCACTGAAGTATTATTACCTTGATGAGTGTGATTCCTCGAGCTCTGGTGGAGACGCAGCCAACCATCTCGTCACAGAGCTTCCTGATGAACTGGTGAGGGACAACAAACACCAGCAGGTCAGCTCCCTCTGCAGCATCACAGAGCTTCGGGACAGCTACCTGTGTGGGAAACAAAAAGACACATAAACTATGCACAACGCGGGCTTTGCATGTCTTTGAAAAGCTCTGATTAGGTGATTCAGAAGTTAAAGTCCTAAACATCAAGGTGAAAAGTAGGCTGAACCTGTCACTTCTGAACTGCACAGCATTTCATCGACTACATCTCAATTATTACTGTATGTTAACTGCAACTCGGAGCCCAAACACATACAGTTACATACAATATAAGCTTGCACAGCATCAAAGTGCTGCAGATTCCAGCAGACTGGAGGTTCATAAATTCTAAAAGAGTAATCCTGCTGTCTCTTACCACATTCTCTGGCAGTTTATATCCAGGCAGGTACTTGATGTTTTCATGTTCCGTGTTGATGATGTCAGTGAGCTTCCTGCCATTAATGTTTTCTTCAAACACCCACATCTTCACTGTGGTGGCAAAACTCTGCAGGGACCTGGCGTTATCGCCAATAATCCTGGCGATGGCCGAGCCCCTGCAACCAGAGCACAGGTCGAGAGGACAGTTTACCTTCAACTGACACATATTTATACAACAACTACTACCTTCACTGTTTTCTGTATCCAATGAGAAGTGTGGATGGTGTGTGATAGAAAAGTGCAGCATATAAGAGCACTGAATGAATGTGTATGTCAATGTTACTTGTTGCGTAAATGACTCCAACATCTAAATGCAGTCCAGTTTGTGCTTTCAGAGGTGTCTGTTTGGCTCAGATGATCATTTTGAAGGATGTAATTTGTGTTGACAGTGCATCTTTTATTTTGTCCGGCCCATTCATATCAGTGGTAGAGGCTAAAGAGCAGAAACCTCTCTCTGGATATGTCATGAACCACATGCTCATCCAGCTGAACAAACACCTCTGAGACAGTCTGAACACAAACTGAACTTTAGATAAATAATGAATAATCTCAAAACAGAGCTGTCTAAAAGCACTGCAATATTACATAACACTAAGGATATCCAGGAGCAGGCAGCATTATAGCTTATGTGACTTATAAGAACAGGCAAGTTCAATAAAATAAGAGTTAGCATGAGGTGAAAGAATAGATGCTTTTCTGTAAAAAGGGTAAATATATGCAATAATTATGTTGATGAAGTAAAAATGTGTTTCTCACTTTCCATGTTTAAAAAAATACTAAAAACAAGATGTTTAACTAACGACACAAAAAAGGCATAACCACAATTATGTTTAAATCAATGGAAATGTTGTCTGCTTGATGGACTTCATTTTAGGACATAATAGGGTTGCCAGTTGAATTCTTCACAAATCCTTTGTGGATCGAAATAAGTGAATCGAAGGAGGATTTACTGCAGAGCTGTGGAAGCATACTTGATTTTACTCACTGGACCAACTGAGGGAGTCCTAAAAATGCTTCACTGTTTTATTTCCAATAGGTGTTGCAATGCATGCTCCACCTTTTGTCTAGAGGTGATGTTAGGAGGGTGAAGAAGCTCTTGAGGTCCAATCCAGGACCACTTCACTGAAGTGCCACTGAGCAAGGCACTAGATGAAGTGTCCTCCATCTCCTGTTGTCCTGCAGCAGAACGTGACCTCTGACCTCCACCCAGATGATCACCACCACACCCAGCCCTGCTCACACACATGCACTACACCAGGCCGAGTGGAGGAGATGCACTATCCCAACAGGTTGCAGTATTGGATCATGTCCTGCATCATCCTCCTCATTATCATCCTCCTCATCATCATCATCCTCCTCTTCCTCACCAAGCCTGTGGCAGCTTACCAGTTTCCGGAGCCGACTATACACACTTTGAGCGGAGACGCCATGGATGAAGATCAGCGGTCCTCTCCGGTTCGTCTCCTCACAAACACAGCGGCCGAGTCCGTCTACTGCTGATGACGTCACATACCTCGTCGCACACCAGCCTGTCGGGAGTTGTAGTTTATTTACATTTTTCCTCGTTGACGTGGTCCTGCAGATTACATAACAAGATGGTTATAGAATGGCTGCCTTCTACTAAACACTTGAAATAATATAAAGTGATATTATTGTTTTACTATTGAGTATTATATGGTAATTATAGTATGTAATAAACAACAATAATATATATAATATTTTATATAATGCACAGCAAAAATAATACATCATTTATAGATATTATATATTGGATAGTAAATGATATATATTATTTATAATAATGAATATTTAATGTATTAGGATGAGAGTATGATGTGTGTGCAGACACAACACAGGATCGTGTCTCTGTGGGGAACAGTTATCTGTCCAGGTCCTGCTGATCAAGTTATTATCCACAGTGCATAAATGCTACATATATTGATCAAAACTGCTACATATATTGTAAAAAAAGGACAATAAATACATCAGTCGACTTGATTGATCAACTATATCCAGATAGAATACAAATGAGGGCCACTTCAGGCAATGATGCAGCACTTCTGACCACTTTTTGCCCCGAACAAAATGGATGTGAAGTGGCCCACTTGTGAAGTAGCAAATGTGGCCCAAATATCCCAAAACATAAGTGGACCTTTTTGGCAAACATACGGTTCTCTAAACAACGTCTAATCTAGATGTGAACCTAAAGTGGTCCATGTGCTAAATGGTGAATATGGCCCAAATAGCACAAAACAAAGTTGGGCCACCGATGGCTCCTTTGTAGACATGTGGTATTGCTATGGCTTACTTGTGGCCCAGATCTGGAGCAGCCTGTATCTGGGCTGGATGATAGTGTGGCAGTGAGATAGTGTGAGCCAAATCTGGAGCAAAACAACTTTGCTATGTGGGGACCTCATTTAGTCAATCCCTCCTGCTACCTCTGGAGACTTCGTTATGTAACTCCCAAATCTTCCCGTCAAAAAGTCTGCGAAGGACACATGTCTTTCACCTGCTGATGATATCAAATGCAAATCACTGTTCAGTCCTCCAAACCTGTGTGTTTTAGGAATTGAGAGAAAACTATGACATATAAGTAGTCAAAAAAATAAATACAAACAAATGCATAATTCTGACGTTCCTATAATAAATGTGTCTGTAGCATTACTGAGGGACAATCATGCTGCCAGCCTGTGATGCTGTGTGAGCTTTCACTGCATTATTGATTCCCTGTGGCTGGAGGAAGGGGGAGTAGCCCCTGCTGGAGGGGGAGTGACCAACCCGGGATTTCCAAAATAAATACGCAATAACGTCACAGAGAGAGAGACACACAGAGAGAGAGAGAGAGAGAGAGAGCACCGCAGTAAATTGGTCGGAATATCCCTCCGTGTAAACCTTGGCATGGTGTAAAACACCAGCAGCTCTCTCACTGCTGCATCACTTTGTCCGAACCTGCGATCAACCTTCACACCTCGCTCCTGTGGCTCCGCTGTGCCCCTGGTCCATCGCACTTCACAGAGTGGCGACGAGTCCCGAGCAGCAGCATGAACCGCTCGGCGCGTCACGACAGCCCCGCTCGCAGCCCCTGCAGGAGGCAGGAGCAGCCGCACAGCCCGGACGCTGCCCCGCACCGAGCGGGTTGCAGGACCGGGGACAGCGGCGCAGGGTCCGGCCCCTCGCACCACAGGACAGCCCGCAGCAAGCGGCACCTGGAGGGGGTCCTGAGGAAGTACACCAACCTGCTCCACGGCTGGCAGAGCAGGTAAGTGTGTGACATTGTTTTCATGATGTTTGTGTAATCTTCCTGTTGGGTCTGGGTGCGTGGCATCCTCTTCAATCTAGTTTAGAACCATGGCACTAGAAGTATCCTGACTCAAACCTGACTTGATTCTATCTTTCTGGTTGCTCGCGATTGCTGAAAGGATCCCGTAGGAGTCCATTCCCCTTAAAAGTCTGGAAGGGAAATGTGAAATCTTATTGTTTTCCACCTCCCTCCCCCTGATTGTCCAGCTATAGCTCAGTAAATATGGATTTTAAAAGTAGAGGAGTCTAAGACTAAGGTGTAGAGTTACTCCCAGAACTTTATTAGTTTATTAGTTTAGCAATATTTGACTAAGGTTCGCATCACAACCATCTTGGGCCAGTGTTTCAGTAAATCTGTGAAGGAGGTCCTCAACCTCTGCACTCATTCATCTGTATGCGCACCTTTCCATTCATTCAGCTTCAACCTGTGGTGATGTCACAGTGAGAGGAGATGTGGGGGTGGAAGTCCCAGTATGAGTCATCCAGGCTCAGGAAAGCCCTGCGCCCCTCTCCTGCATCTCAACACTCCCTCCCCCTCCTCCTCCTCCTCCTCCACTCTCTTTAACCGCTGACCCTCTTACTCTCTCTCTCTCCATCCCAGTGAGTACACAGGAAGAGCATCTCATTGTGTAATGAGCTCCATGATCAGTGTATGTGGTGAACTTACCTTTGCACACCCTGTCTTTTACACACAATGCTGCACTAGACTAATTCACTCAGAAACAAAAAACATATTGGATTGTGAGTGTGTGTGTGTGTGAGTGTGTGTGTGTGTCAGCAGGTTGTGTACGTGTGTTTAAATATAGTTTGAAAGCTTGAAAGCTTCATTCTTCACAAAGTCCTGAGGTGAGCTTTCATTTTGCATTCTGTCAGAGTGAGTTGAGCCTGGAGACAGACGACGCAGTGAAGCAACCGTATCATGTTTGTACCATCGCACTGATTTTTACTTTGTTGTTATTCTCAGACTGTCAGAGGGATTTAGCTGTTGTTGTTTGATCTGACAAGATGACAAGAATATACACCAGAGAGTTATAGCGGCATTCAGTTCGGCTGTCAAACACACCTTCTTGATTAATATCATAGTCTATTCTTATATATTTGATTAGGTTTTTTTAAGGTCCTCATTAGCTGATGTTGAGACAACTGCTCTTTCTGGGGTGCACACGAAACATAAAGAAATATGATCTCAGTTAAGACATTTAAGAAACATAATCCCAGAAGTATCACACTTTCTGGATACATATTAGCCTATATCTGCAGATTGAAAATGTATACCTCCAGCATTTCCCTTCCTGTCCTAATGTCTCACAGGGTCAAAGGGATGTGGAGTGAAGCCTGTGTTCTCTCCATCCTGTCCCTTCATGTGGCTCTCCTCTCTGTCTTCCAACCCTGTCTCTCTGCTCTCTGTCCTCCTCTGTTCACTTTCTCTTTATTCAACTCTTTCCTACGGCACTGGTGTAAAAATGGCTTCTAATCAAATCCCAATTACGGCGGCAGAGAGAGCTCAACCCACTGCAAATAGTAATAAAACACAAAGCATTGAACTACAGTCATGTTTGTCACTTTTTTTGGTCCCTTGGAAACATTTTTGCAATTTGTAGCTCGTAGCTGTGTTTGCATGTGTTGGGACTTTGCGGCAGATGTATCATCAAATTTGATGAAGATGTTCTCGGAGTTTGCTTGTGTTGTGACTTTTTGCAGTGCACGTGTCGATACATTGTTGTTGTTTTCTTAATTTGCAAGTGTTTTTTCGATTTGTGTGTGTTTTCTTAATTTGAAGTGTGTCGAGCTCTCTCGGCCACTGTACACAATGCCCTCTAGTAGCTGTAGGATTCATGAGCGAAGAGGAACGTTTTTACATAGTGTCAGGGCCACTGTACTGGGAGGTTCATTTCCTGTTTGCATCCAACAGCTTTTCTCTTAGTCACGACCACAACTGTCCCCAAATGTTATTCGCATGCTTGTAACCATGACAACAAACGTAACCTAAATCTTAGAAAGTAACATGTTTAACCCAAATGTTTCCTCGATCTTACAACCCTAAGTTGTATATGCATCTAAACCTAATCTAACATTTGTGTCATCACATCATAGATGTATTTATCCACTGGGATTATGATACCTACTTTGGAAGAAACAGAAAAAGGGTGTTTTCCTGTTGGCGATAGGATCTAAAACAGTGCAAGTACCAACAATGTATTACATTGTTTTATCTGGAGGACTGTGCTAGTGTCAGCAATGTTTTAGTAAATCACATCTTATTTTTCTGCCATGTTCCCTGCTGCATGTAGCAATAAGAAAGGAGGTGTGAGTTGGACTTGATGATCCACTGCAAACTACACAGCCACAGGACACATGACAGCAGTGGAGGGGAAGAAACAGATTGCAGTGTGAAAACAGGCTTAAATTATTCATAGTGATCTCTTTCTTCTTATCGCTGGTTTTCCTTGTCTTCCATCAACACTTTGTGTTTTTTCTCCCTCTATCCTCGCAGCACCTTCTCCTCCCTCTTTCTCTCTCTCTTCCTCATCCCCGCTTCTATCCCTCCCTCCATCAGATGTTCTCATCTGTGCTTAGAGATACCACTCCCATACTAAAGACTCCAGGGTAAAATCATTCAAGCCTCAGTAGCTTGCATATGAGCTCCAGTGTGAGATGGAGTAACATTTGTCCTTTCTCTAATCACGAGTGAAGAATGCTGACTTGTTTTGATTCCTCCTACTGCACAGGATGTTACAATGAGTTATAATGTCCCACTCCTTCATGGTGCTTCTGAAACCAAAGATAAATGTTAATACCTGAACAGGTAACAATGCAAACACAAATCCACCTCCAACACAAAAACACAGTCATGTCAGAATGTACGTTAGCCAGCTTGGGGGGCATTGACTGAACCTTCCCCTTGCTCACCTGGCTGCAGTGATAGTAATCCAGGACAATGACATGTTGGGTTTCTCCATGATACTGTGAGGTCTCTATATGTGCCTTGAGATAATGTAATGTAATGTACAAATACAATTGAATTAAACTTGCCTCCCCCTGCTGTTAATCTGTTTGTCAAATGGTTGCAGTGGTTTGCTTATACTTTAATTTTTATTGATTAATTATTAGATGTCCTCTTATTTTCCTTTCCCGAAAATACAGACTACTGTTTTTGATGATATTCTGTGGGTCATACGTATATGAGTGACAAGAAATAGTGATGTTTTCCATTTCATTCCAAGCAGAGTTGAAAAGTAAATGACAAATTTATAACGACAGTAAATGTTTTGGGGTAGAGATGATTACGTTGTCATTTTGTCTCTTAGTTTTGCAATCTCATTAAAACCCCAGCTGTGGGGTCTCCTTTAACAGCGTCTCAGGGGCAGTATCAAGTGCAGTTCAGATACTTAATGAGTCTCTGTCGTAGTAAAGCAGGGACTACACATGCAAACTCAATGCAAGTCTTTTTAATTTTCTTAGTAAATCTGGCCCCTAGAGTCACCAGGCATTTTCGCCGTTCTGTGCAGCTGTGTGGAGGCACAGCTGTGCTTCGACATAAATGCTGACATCAGCATGCTAACGTGCTCATGAGGACAATGTGAATGAGCAGACTATGTCAGTACGCTAACATATGCTAGTAAGCACCATCAGGAATGTCTTTAACTTTGCATTTGTTTGGGCACAAAACAAGATGAATGTTCTCACTTTTTGGAATAACCAATGTTGTTAAAAATCCTTCTGTGAAGAACATTAATGTCCTAAATGTCATTGCAATCCAACCATTAGTGTCATTTTGCTCATGGTACCACTAGTGTGAAGTAGGCGAGAACTCAGATGCAGAGAATAAACTAGGGTGTAAACTAAGGTGTAACTAAACAAGAAACTCACAGGGAGACATTGTATTGGGCCAGATTTGGCCCACGCACTGCTGTCACCTGACCCCACATACCGCATCATGTTTGCTATCTGGGCCACATAATAAGCCACAGAAATAACTCATGCCAACTGAAGATGCCAAAGGTGGCCCAAATTTGCCACATGGGCCACTTTATGCTCACATCACACCTTGCCAATGAGCACTGCATGTTTGCCAAAAAAAAGCCCCACATTTGTTTTCAGATATTTAGGCCACATTTTCCATTTTACAGGTGGGCAACTTTCAGCTCACATCCATTTTGTCCTGGCCACAAGAGGACCAGTAGTGTTGCATCATTGCCTGAAGACGCCCACATCCATATGCTATCTGGGAAGCATCTTACCGGAGAACTAATAATTCATGCTGCAGGTGATTAGTCTGATGCAGCCAAAAAAACTCAGGCAACAGTCCAGTCACAACATAGCAACACTAGGAAAAACACATGTGACCATCTGGCAAAAAACACAGGGAATACGTGTATCATCTTTTTGCAGGATAATGGACAGGAAGTGGACAAAAGGGAATTTTAGAACTTTGAATTATAATTGTTTCAATGGAGACATTTCTTCTCTCAAAACGATATTTTGTTACATAAGAATTATAAATAGCATCAAATTCTGTTCTGGATATATTATTTTCCCAATTATATAATCGGTATGCATCAGTGTTATTTAAAAAATGTTTTTAACTGTTTAAACATTGTATTAATAGAAGTAACATTACACTTTAATGCTTTCCCGTCTCTTAATTCTGTGAAATGTGTCGTTTATTGTTACTTTTGGAAAATATTGTCTGTGTCTGCTCCTGAAATGCTCATTTATCGTAATATCTTGTAGAACAATCATGTTGGACAACATTCTATCAGCACTGTATCTGGATAAAAAAAATCTTAATCCAGTGTATTAGTTTCAGTCCAAATTCAAAACTTTCAAGCTGAATGTGTTTCTTGCATCAAGCGGAGTGTTTACCTACAAATTGTCAAATACGTTAAAGGATTTTTACTTTGTTACGGTAACATCTCAATCTTTTTGTTATTCTCCTTATCTCTCTCTCTTTCTCTCTCTCTCTCACTTGTCTCTCCTGCAGATATTTTGTACTGGACCCAGATGTTGGTCAGCTCCAGTATTATTTAAATGAACTTAGTAAAAGCCAGCGGCCTCCCCGCGGGAGTCTGCCTCTCCTCGGAGCAATGGTGGTCTCTTGCAACGAGTTTCCCTTCATGTTTACTATTCAGGCCACTACTGGGGATTTTTACAAACTCAGAGGTGAGAGACTTTATATCTTGTGCAATAGGAAACATAGTGAATAAGTTTTGTCAAAGTAATTTCATTGTCAAAAGGGCCTTTTTCTGTCCTTTAGATCTTATAGAGTTTTGAACTGAACTGGATGTTTTGGATCATATTTCATCATGTAACCAGTACTTGAAGTATTTGAAGCACCACTGTTTTAATGCAGATTTATTTTCAGTCTGAAAAGCTGATAATTCTCACAAGATCACACCTTCAGCTTCACCCTTGCGCTTCTCTGCACAGTTAACACAGATTAACACTTTGCAAATGCAAAAGGAAATACTGCAATATAAAACACACTCACACACCCACACGATAAATAAAAGAGATATTTATGGAGCTCCATGTGTTAGGCTTTGGAAACACTCTACCAGTATGATTAATTACTTGCTGGGTATTTTTCATGAAATTAGTTATTAGACAATGACAGAAGAATTAAAGAATTCTCTTACAACCGGCGTGAGCAGTAACTGACACAACCTTCAATTTTCTCATTCAACTATACACTGTTTTCTCATTACTGCAGGAAAAACTCACATTCACTCTGTGTTCTGTTACTGATAGCACCAGACGCCAAGCAACAAGAGTTATGGATGACTCAGCTACAGTTGTGTTCCAGACGGCACTCTGACAGCAGCGCCAAGGTACACACTCACACAGACACACACTGTATCAAGGCCCACATAGAGAGACTCACAATGATGTAATCACCTTATGACTTTAAATTTAACATTGATCCTGAGACTTGAGACATTCTATATCACTCTTCTTCTCTGCCTCTTAATAGGATTACAACCATTTCAAATGTACAGATAAGTGCTTGGCCAGACAGCCAGGTTTGGTTACTGGATATAATGGAGCCAGAATGTTTTTCCATCCACTCAGCTGCTTTACTCTTCTGGACTAAAACAGCTGGACCAGCAGCTGCCGATATTACTCGTGGTCTGTGTTCCCCATTTTGCATAGCGAGGTACATTAAAGGTAAAGCTGGCCATGAGAAATGACTGGACTAATCACAGTTTCCTGTCTTTTACATCCTGTGTGATGTCATCAATCAGTAGGTGTACAGTAACAGTACAAGGCGTCCAAAGTGGTGTGACACTCACTGTCCTGTCTTTGATAAAGCCGAGAAACAAAAAACACATTTAATAGTGCAGTATCTCTTTGATAAGGAATTATGAAACATGCATCTAAACTTTCCTGAACCTGATTTTTACTTAAAAAATGATTTTTACTTGAAAAACCTAATCATCTCTTTTTCACAGACTCATCTCTTAAAGTCTCTTTTCCTTTGTTCCCACTTTCTTCACCATTCAGGAGAAGGCAAACATCATCTTTCCTCCTTTTTGGTGCCAAAATGTGACAGTCGACATACACGTGTCCATACGTGTCCATCCAATGTAGTTAATAATAATCTACTTGACGCCAGCTGCAAAATTTAAATTACTCAAAATGCTTTTATTTACATGCAGGTACTAATCCACTGAAACACTAAAACAATGTGAGGACACAGTATGAAAACCATGTGATACCACAGCCAGACTAGTCTCTACTGATTCCCCGGCTCAGCCCAACCTGCAGCAGGCTGTGCTCCATTAAAGCAACACTCAAGGACAATTTTAGATGAAATAGCTGTAACATGTTTAATCACTATTATGATGAGTCCACTGTAAATATTTTTAATTTCCAGAAGCTGCAACTTTAAGTGCACATTTTCAAAGGATAATTTAAGAACAAATGACAAAATATAGCACATTTTTGCCACATACACCCCTTCTCACAATCTCTTTCTCACATTCCTCTTTTCCCACTCACGTCTCCCTTCAGCTTCCTTTTCACTCCTTTTCAAATTCTACCTCCCTACATGCTGCTTATCATCTCTGTTTCTCAAGTGAAAAGCAACAGCTACAGAGGGTGTCGCTGATTCTGCATGCTAGAGGTCTCACCAGAATCAAGCTGTTTCAATCACAGCTTCCAGTCTGCGTCTTGTGCCGAGCAGATAAACATTGTCGCACTCCCGCTGGAGAGAAAATGAGAAAATCTGCATTTGTTCTATGTGCATCTTCCTGTCAGTCACTGGCAGTGGAGGTGAATTCATTGACATAAACTTCACTGTCTAAAATGTTTTTAAAGATTAGACAGCTGTGGTTTGGTCACTGTGATTATGATGGTACAGTTTACTTCTGTCTGTGTGAAGGTGATGAGCCAGACTGAAGGACAGCAGAAGAACCTGGTCACCTCTATTGAGTCCCTACCCTCCCGAGGTGGACCCCTCTCTTCTCTGGATGAGGTACCACGCCATGAATTGTCTTTACAGGATAGAGAGGGTACAATTAGCTTATGAGGACCCAGTATCCTGCACATCCTCAGGAGGTCATGAAAACGGCTTTAAAGTCAGGATGTGGTCACACACGTTTGGTGCAAATGTGGCACTGCAGCTATTCTGTGCTGCATACAGTTACATTAGGTGTCATTTTGAATTTGAATTTGACAGAATTTGTCTTCTGCTCTGTTCAAAAACATCTCATCTGTTTGCATCATGGAATTATCACTTCACACATAGATTTTTGCTCATTTTGTCTTGTGTCTGTGTGTTTGAGGACAGATCTGACATTACAGTAAAACAGCGTCACATTTTAATGGTTTTATTTGAATATTCACTTCACGAGCTTCAGCAGTTATGACAACATTAAACTGCAGCATTCTTTTAGCACAACAACAGGACAGTCAGTAAACAGAGGGGTTGTAAAATGCTCACACTCACTGGCACCTTTTAGTAAAACCCAGTAAAACCCAAAGGGAGCACACCTGCAACATTAATCTTGAATGTGGCCATTGTGGTTGTTTGGATCTTCATTGTGGAGATGTGAGGAAATGACCTGCTGGACAATTTGACTGTCTACATGTGTGATGCTGTATATCCTTGTCCATTTAGTTGAGTCTGTACATTTTCTTATTTCACCAATAAGATGACACAGTGTGCAGCTTTCCTCGAATTGTGCATTACAATAAGCAGGGAAATTGCCAAATTGACCCAAACACTAGTTTTAAGACATCCATCCATACTTATTTAACAATTTGTCAGTACACCTAAAGGAATCCAGATACCACAAATTACATAATGCTGAAGTTAGGTGTTTATAATCACAATATATAATTCATTCTCTTACCAACACATGTAGCACTTTGGCTTTTTTCCCCTCGTAAGCTGAAATTTTTACATTTTCGTTTCCCCCCCCCCTCAATTTAGGTTGCGCCTCTTCTCCTGCTTCTCCTCATCTTTCTCAATTCATGTTTTTCTTCCTTTCCTTTCCCCACTGGTCAAGGATCTCCTCCTTTTAAAGGCCACCTCTGCAGCCACGTTGAGCTGCCTGGGGGAGTGCCTCAGTATGCTGCAGCACAATGTCGTCCAGGCCCTCAACCAGAACCAAAACCAGAACCAGAACCACATCCCTTGTCTGAGCCTCAACCACAGTTCAGGTGGCTTGAATCAGGCAGTTCCCACAGAAAGAGTTAAGCCGTGGAGTCAGCGCTGCAGCCCCGGTGTGAACCACCTGGAGCCTGGTGGCCTTGGCTTCAGAAGTCAAAGCCCAACCCACAGCTTGAGTGAAAACCGGAGTCCTACTCACAGCAGCTGCAGTGGGGGATCAGGAAGTGGCCACATCCAGAGTCACGCAGGTGAGTGAGTGGATGAAAGGATACATCATTTTGTCTCTTTGTGATCCCTCACTATGATGTATGTGGCGTTTGCCATTGGCTCTCATTGTCTTCTTACAGTGTTTCCAGCCTATTTAGCAATGTAACTAAAAATAATGTATTTATTTCTACTTTATAACTTTGTTCTTCGCCCTTTGTTTTGCTCATCACTCTGGCTTTGTGTTGATGGAACTCCACATTGCACATTGGTCAGTGTGTTGAGAATGAAAGATACTGATAATATGTTTTGGGTCAGTGGGCTAAAGGCAAGATAGATAAGATAGCTGACTGATTCTTTGAAGCAATGTGAAGTAGGCAAAGTGGAGTCATAAGTAGCTATGATGTATTATGAAATTATGCTAATCAGAAACAGGAAGCTGTGAAATTGACTGTGGGTACTGTTACTCTCCAGAAGATTTATCTATCCACACCTAGGGACAAAATGTTATATTTGCACATTCAATCCACCTGAGGTAACAACGTCTTTTGATCACCCTGTGGCCTTTCCTCTAAATTCAAGTTCACATTTACGCTCTAATTCTAATGCTCCAAAAATAGCATCATCCCCAACGTGTATGACAACAGTTATGTGAGTAATAAAGTTACAAACGTAATACCTGCGTTTAGGAATAATAAAAGTCTTCACTTTGCTATCTTGATACTGCCATGTTGACAGGAGGAGTGGTTTGGAAAAGAAAAACTTTGATGATTGTGGTCCTTATGTTCACTCCCACCAGACAGTTCCACAGGATGTTCCAGAACGTCTTCTGAGAAGCAAGTGAAAAATGGCCTACAGACACCTCCCCCTTCCTCCTGGCCTTCAACCCAAGCCCACACAAAGCCAGTCCTCCCTTCAGAGGTATTACAAACCACATTACTGAAGTATACATTGCTTTATTCACTGTACTAATTTTACATCACATAATCCTAATTTACATCTTTTCTCAATCAGTGCAATAGTTACATCACTTTTTGTTTGGATCAATGAAACACTGACTTTTTGATTAACTTTGTTTATCAACCTGCTCATAGTTTAAAGACTCATTTATTGCACTCAGTAACCAGCCGCTCTCACACAGCACAAATATGTTTGGGTCAGAATTTCAACTCTGAGAGCAGATACAATTTTTTACATTGTTTCTTTAGGTGATGTTATGTTTACTAATACTAATAGTAGTAGTAGTAGTAGTAGAGGTAGAAGTCAGATGTATTCTTTACTATGCTCCAAACTGCTTTTTTCTAAATCTCTGTTCTATAATATCGTTGATTATATCTGCACACTTCTTATTTGTGTGCAAAACTTGGCCCATTTTTAATCCGTAATACATAATGTATTGCGTAGGCTGTGTTGGCAGGAGTTTGTATTATTTTTAGACCTGTGCTTTTCAATACTTGACGTCCTGGCTGCTTTTAAGTGACATGTTTATTTATTTTTTAATTTCTTAGATTAATGTTGGCCTTGTCGCTAAAGCGGAAAATCACCTTCAAGCTTTTTGAAAATGACAGGGAGGAAAAGTTTTAAAAAGAGCATTTGATCACACTAACAGCAGGGCAGCTCATTGGTGGGATTGTTGTGCAAGCAATCAACAATCATCAGCCCAAACATGTTTGTTATCACTCTTTGGCTCCTAACAAGTCCTGCACCATGTGTGGTGCAAAATCTATTCAAACGTCAAACTGTGCAGTTTGATTGAGAGAAGAGTGGAATTAAATCATCTTTTGTAATCTTTTTTTGCATAGAAATTAATTGATGGGATGTTCAGAGAGTGGGTGACATCACATACTGAGTTGGAGAGGATGTCGAACTGTTCTGAATATGGGCTCAAAATGTAATCTTCTCACACCCTCTGTTGCCAGGAGTGAGACAAATTTGTTCTCTTTCAGAGAATGTGAACTTGAAACTTGAAAACATCCTCATACATTTTGTTCTATGAGCCACTGAGTCTTTACAAAACCATTCAACTGCTCTACAGGCAGCAACACGAATTAAGAAGCAGATTTAAGAGAAATGCAGTTATTTTTTACTCATTTTACACATTGTTGTCACCAGGAACACAGAATTGCTCATATGTGTGCAGATCTAGTAGCACACGGGTGAAACTTTGACAATTGAAATTGTGGTTTTTGACTGAAGAGCAGGAGTTCAAGATTGTGCTGAGCCAAATCACACTAAAGTCTGATCCTAGTTACTTGGTAGAGAGTCACCAGTGTTGCGTGGAGAGCACAACTTAGTTCTTTCCCTCAACAAGCACATTTCTCTATATCTTATTAATTGACTGCAATAGTTTGTGTGTGTGTGTGTGTGTGTGTGTGTGTGTGTGTGTGTGTGTGTGTGTGTAAAACCATCATTGCAGTAGCACGTAATGTCTTTGGTCTCCTGTCTTACTTATCTTTTATGTTAATGTAATTACTGCTGTAGTATTTGTGATCGAGCAGTAGGGGGTGCCACACAACCAGCCACCACAAGATAATGACATAGTTGTGCATTCATCTGTTAGTTGCTCTTGTGGTTTTATAATTTACATTGAAAGATTAAAAGATCCTCCCAGATATATAATTCAGGAAACGATTTACAAAAATGTTCAGGCACAGATAAATTAAAATGGCAATATTGAATGGGATTCAAACTTCAGGCAATGTTGTCCATTTGTGTCAACTTCATTTACTGTAATTATTTAAGCAAAGTCATAATTGTTTGAGTGCCCACAATCACTAGAATCAAGTCATTAAAAAGATTAGTTCACTGAATCGTTAAGTTCTTGACCGGAGCTCCCACTGTGCAGTCCCACTCACTCACTCAAAACCCAGACAAATGATCTGTACTCCTCATGATCCCCAGCTTCAGGAACCAACAGAGAGTACTGTCGCCAAAGTCTTCATATGCAAGTGCAGCCATCTTGGCAACCCCCTTGGCCACATATTGCAGATTAACACAACCAGGAATCTATCTAAATTAATGGGGAGTGAGCAGCAGCAAATGTTTAGAATCAACACTTAAATTTAACAGAAGTCACTCTGGTTGCAATTAAGGGTTTAAACATTTTATTCTCAGGGATTATACCTATGCTTATTCCAAATCTGTCTTTACCTGCTGCCCCCATCAAGTGGAAATATACTGATCATCAACTCTGAGCTTGGATTTTGTGTAACAACTGCGCAGGACATGTATCATAACCACCACCTTCAGGTTTCTTTAGGGGGTTGGTCTCCTCCCCTATAGGATTTCAGAGAAAGCTAGACTCAATGTGCAGGAACCTGATTCTTCACATATTTTTACAGTTCACTGCTTTTGTTGCCTGACTATCAACCATAACATGAACATGCATTCACATTTCAGCCATTTATCAATACAGTGAATTCAGTCCAGCTGAAATTAGCACTTTTCAATCAAGTCTCATCCCCTGTATGATGCTGATGTGTGTTCAGAAATCCCAGTTGTATGTTTTTCTAACCTTTGGGACTGTGATGCAGAATCAGTGTTGGGCAGGGGAGGTACTTCCTGCACAGCAGACTGCAAAAAAGATAATGTCAGAGGAAACGAGAAGATCAGGCTGATACTGTCGATCTCTCATTGGGGAAATTAAAACTGAAGAGACACTGGCTCTGGTGCAGCAGCTGTGTGTTTCAGAAGGCAGTGGACTGTGACAGTTATGGGGCTTGTTCTCTAGCATTCTGTGAAAACACATCTTCATAGAAGCTTTTGTTTATGGTGTGAACACATCCAGAGCTTGGACGAGTGACACGGAGCTGCCACAGAAACCACCTTTGCTGTTTGCTCCATAGGAATTAACACTTAACCTGCAATGCTTCATGTTGACCTGAATTACAGAGCTTTTATTTTGAAATGTTGTGAACTTGGTTTGATGATTGTGTCAGACCTCTGATGTAGCTGCTACACAATGCATCAAAAAATAACAGCAGTTACTAATAAAAATATAATAATAGTGATAAAGCACATTAAGTTTCAATGTATATGAAAAACATTGACTATAAAATCTCCATTGCAGGTAAACCAGGTAGCATGAACACAAGTTTTTACTTTTACTCTGCACTACTGTAGTACTGTAGTTCCGAACATGCACTGCACTAGAATTATACAAACACCAAAATCCTGATTTGTCCATCAGGTGGTGATCCGTGGAAGAATTCAGTTTATCTTATAAGCTGCTGGTTGCCATGACAGTGAACAGGGAATTAATAGTTCAACCTGAATCCATCTGATGGGAGGGAAAGATTATCAACCGATTAGAAAAGAGCTGACTGAAGTCTCATCTTTCATCTGATTCCTCCATCAACCCACCGAGCAGTGTCTTTTAAGTTAAAAGTGAAATCATTTATTATCGTTCATGATCTGTGTTCGAATACTCTGTCACATCATCCATCTACCTTCAAATGTCTTGATAATCTCATCTCCCCTCTGTGCCTTGGAAACAGTCATGTGTTTGGTCTGCAGACAAGCCTTCTCAGGAATGAAGACCAGTCATGGGATATGAGTCGGATTAGGAGGAGGGGTATTCACATGTACCCACAAGCACTCAAACTCTGTGACCTGCTTCTGCTTTTGATATGCTGAGCCCACAGCAATGCCTTGTAAACGGCCTGCAAAAATCAAATCAGTTCAATCATGTTATCCAATAGCATATCTTCAATTTTTAGTGCATTACACAACATTCCTGAATTACACGATCACAGCAGGTCAAAGAAAGGGGGTGATTGTTTTCTGAATTCAATTTTTTATTTTGAGATGAATTATACACATAATTTTACTTGACAGTTAAATGTTACCCAACAGGATAAACATGACACTAACACTAATTTCACTCTCTCACAGTCTTGTTCTTGCCAGTGGCAAGTACCATCCTAAACAGTATCTTAATCTCAGTGTGAATCGCTATAAAGCACTGTAACAGAACATGAATAAAGTTGTACAGTGAAATATATATATTTTTTAAAGAATATAAATATACGTGCATCACTGTTAAATAATAAATGAATGTATTTGAAACTCTGAGAAGTATAAAATCAAATTTTGGTTCATTCTGAAACTGTGGCAGGTCAAAGGACACATTTGGGTTCACACTGTTAAAATAATGTGGCCCAGATCACCTCAGAAGAGTGATCCAATCTCAAATATGCCCTCAGTGCATCGTGGGTGCGTTTACACCTGTACATAAAGCGGTCCACCGGTGATCGGATCATAACTTCTAACAGTTGATGTCTCTCAGCCTCCCCTCGGTCTGGCTCATGCTCTTGCTCTGCCCTCAGTGCCCTGTTCCTGGTGTATTCACTAATCTTGGTGCCATGTGTATTTAGGACTCTTGTGATCTGAAGAGTACATATGTATATTTGTGCCTTTGAGTATTTTTAGTGTTCAGACGAGTAAATGAATTAACAGGGAAGCAGCAATGATATGTCTCATTGTAAATAAAAGACCGAACTCTAATTCAAAGTAATGTGTCTGTAGTGTAAGCAACACTTTGTGTAGCATTTACAGGCAAGGGAGGGATGAATGTGACTCTGGGTACACCTCAGAGCAGGCTTCTTTTAAACCCTTTACATTGATTAATTTGAAAAAGGAATGCCTTCTTTTTAAAAGGAGAGAACTGTACTGTGTGATAAAATGAAACCAAAACTATTCCATGAGGTTTCAATTAATCTGTTTGTTTGTTTGTTTGTTTTCTAAATTACAGAATGCATGTCTTAGCTGGCATTGAAAAGTAATTTGAGTTGTGTAGCATTACAGAATTGGCAATAAGGAGAGACGAGGCAGCAGCTGCACTCAGCCCTCAGCGCAGACAGGCCTCCATAGTGGTAGTTACACAGATTGTTCCACGGTGGTGGATGGAGGTATATAAAGAGGAGGGGGATGGGACAACAGAGAGCGAATGAGTGAAACAGCCAGGAATAGAGGAAAGTACCAAGGAGGAGACTGTGGGAGATAGAGAGAAAGAGTGAGAGAAAGCAGGAGGCGTGGCATTAGAGTAGGATGGGTTATGATGTAGTGTGTATATGCAGTAGGCAGGGCTTATGTACAGAGGGAGGCTGGCTAATGGATAGAGAGGATTGTCAGCATCACTCTTAATCTGCCTATCCAAAGTACCACAGACGGAGCTCTCCTTTCCTGCCCTGTCCATCTCCCCCCTTCCTGTCTCCAAGTCTTCTTACCTCACTTTCTCCTCCTCATCGTCTCTGGGCCACCCCTCACTCTGGCTCTGCTCTGTTGATGTGGTCATATTTGTTTTGGGACATCAGCCAGGGTCTGCCCCCTCGTCTCTCTGTCCGTCTCTCTGCATGGTGGACATGAAATCCAGCAGGACTTCCACCAAGTCAGCGGTGGTGCAATGCCAGCCAAATAACGTGAGTGTGAGATCACTGCTGTGTGTGTTTGTTCTCACTATGTTCTATAACCATGATGTTGCACTAGATCCTGAAGCAATAGCAGCTGGTTTTACATCAATAGGACTATATTGTGTGTTTCTGCATCTGAAGCGAGACCGTGATTGTGGCTTGGTGGGCAGACAGTGGAAAAAGATGTTAACAACTTTTTAAAAAACTTATTAAGAGGAACTGGGCACACACACATAGAGTTGCCTTTTGTGCCAACATGGGTTAGGGTTAGGGTTAGGGTTAACCCTAACCCTGTCTGTGTAATGCTATAGGAAAGTATACGGGAAATAAAGCCAATAGATGAACATGTACCAGGTTCACCAGCTGACATGTCTCTACTACAGTTGTGCAAATATAAAGCTAAAATATCCTGGATACAGGTGCTGCCATATTTGACGTCATTTTTGTAGACTGATACATCAAGCATTAGTAGTAGTAAGCCATGTCAGCTGCCCAGAGCCCTATGAATCTTAATAAATGATTTCATAGACTTCAGATGAAAGCAGTTTAGTTTCGTCTCTGTGAGTCCAGGATGTGTTGAGCCCAGCTCAGCACTGAAGGCGTTCCTTATGACAGTATCAGTTGTTTCAGTGAATGCACCAAACAACATCTGCTCAAGGGACGAAGACCTCGAGCAGCTTCTGTTAGCAAAGGAGGACGTCATGTGAGAGATACAACCCACAGAATACCACAATTCTGATGACTTATGATGATTTGGTGTATTTGGGCTGAAGCGCTCAGTTTTGTACAAAAGCAATTCGAGAGTTACATTCAACCAAAACATTAAAGGATGAAAGTTTACGATTGATGAACTGTAAATAGGCAAAATTCACTGATAGCTGTGGAATTGAGAAACACAGTTCAGAGAGAGGGCTTATTTCTCTTTTCTATGTCAGTCAGGCAAGTTTTCCTTAGCACAATGGAAAATACACCAAGAGAATACTCTACTCTCACTAAAGATAATTCACAGTGCAACACTGTGCAGTTTGTGATGAATGACCAGCACTACAGAAACAGGCCTGTCCTACTTTGCATTTTCCATCATCCAAGTTGTTCATCATTACAAACACCGGTGCCACTATTTTAGTGTCACCCACCACCAGTGCAGACAGTAACCCAGAGGTTTTGGAAAAGCCAAAAGAAATTGAACCGAAGTATGTGGGCGCCTCAACATGGAACACAGCCATTAATATAACCATTAGTCATGGAGCCTCCATGCCTGTCATGTTTTATTCCTCTCAAGATTTGTATGAGCTGTGAATTATAAAAGAACTTAAATACTAAATACTTAAATACTTGCTCCCTGTATAGATTTCTCATAGGTTTTCTATAGGAGGTATTTATTCACTGACCTATTTATTTAACCCTTAAAGAAGGAGTGAACTTCCTCTTCCATCCAATGCAGGTAATGTTTTGCTATAATGTAATTTCCAAAGAAGGGACTGTGTACTTAAATGTATTATTCTGACTAAAATAATATGCCAAACACCTAAATATGTCACCGTCAATATTTACACATAATTCTCAGAGAAATCGACAAAGATGTTGAAAAATGCCGTCGCAAGGAAGGTAAAGAAAGTGAGAAAAAAATCCTGGATATAGATCTGCTCCAACGAACTGAGAGAACATTTCGTCTTTAGCTCTACCATTTTTTCCTTCTCCACCAGCAGGGACAGCAGCAGGGACAGCAGCAGGGCCAGACCAGCGGTCCTGACACCATAGATCCCGATGACGAGACCACAGACACAGAGGACAATGATGAGGAAGACCTGGGAGTTCTGGACGACCAGCGAAGCATCATCATTCACCTACTGTCCCAGCTCAAACTTGGCATGGATCTGACACGAGTAAGAGGCTGGTTTTGTCTTCATCATTTAGGGTTAAAGTAGTGAGTGAAAAAATAAAAGCATACTTTCATTATGACAAAACAAACCTATGTCATATATTAATATATACTTAAGCCTACATATTTACTTGTACCGTATCATATGAATCAGTTAGCCCGCCCCCCTGTGCCTTGCATTTGTAGTCAGCGCTCAGATGTCTTCTGTTCATGTGATTCGGTGACTCTTTCAGACCAGTGAGCTCAGTCTGATTACTGATGGGCCATTGCTCCAGATCACAGAGATAATGTGCTGATAAACAGCAACAAGAGGGGCTGAATACCTGAGACCCTGTAATTTCACTGCAGCCTCATGTGAGGGGTTGTAGGCAAGTTATGAAAGGGCATACATTACATTACATACTTTATCCATCTATCCATCCATCCATCTGTCTGATAGACATTCCACCTTCTCTATTCTCCGGTTTTCTGTTTGTATCTTTTTTAGGCAAAAATGTTTCCTATAATTGTTTTATGCAGATGAGATTACATATGAATTTTGCTGCTGATCACATGTTCTGCAGGCGTATCATGTTTGTAACTTCTCTGTCTGTCTCTCTCTCCCAGGTGGTGCTCCCTACCTTCATCCTGGAGAAGCGCTCCCTGCTAGAGATGTACGCCAACTTCATGGCTCACCCTGACATGTTCCTCTCCATCACCTCTGGCTGCACTCCAGAGGAGCGGATCATTCGCTTTGTCGAGTACTACCTGACTGCCTTTCATGAGGGTCGGAAGGGTGCCGTGGCCAAAAAGCCCTATAACCCCATCCTGGGTGAGAACTTCCACTGTTCTTGGTATGTGCCCCGGGACCGTGTTCGACCTCTCAGGACCACTGGTCCCAGTTCAGCCCCCATAGCCCCCTCTAACATTCCCAGGTCCTCACAGAGGGGGACAGATGGCAGCAGTAGAACAACGTCCGACTATTGTGTTCGCTTTGTGGCCGAGCAAGTGTCCCACCACCCACCTGTCTCAGGCTTCTACTGCGAGTGCAAGGAGAGGGGGATGTGTGTCAACACTCATGTCTGGACCAAGAGCAAGTTCATGGGCATGTCTGTAGGAGTCTCCATGGTTGGGGAAGGTAAGAGAACATGCAGCCTGTTTTAAACATGACTGATCTTGAAAAGTTGTTTCTCCATTTGTTTCATATTAAACCTAATAAGTTTACAACGCTAGCTAAAGCAGTTTATATTTACGAACCAAGTCTCTCTATGTCCTGTCCTTGAGATGTAATGCACCATCAGTGGGCAGGGCCAAGAGCAAGACTACGAGTGAGGCACACAACCTCTGGGGGCAGGGCTTGATGATGCTGTAACAGGAGGCAGGGCTGGACGCTGACAGCAGCAGGGCCTGATGTTACCTCGGGGGTGGGCCAAGACTATAGCAGAGGACATGCGGTGATGTAGCTGCAGGGCGAGGCCAGACCTACTGATGAAGGGTGCTGTCAGCATGCCCAGCAGTCAATGACCCTCTGCTGAGGAAAAAATAACACCTATGAAATTGTGAAAATTCTCCCAGGTTGTCTGTAGTGACATTTCAGCTATAGCATTATGAACTAGAATTAGACTAGAACTAGAACTGGTATTATCATCTTGACTGATCCGATCTTGAGTGGACAGCTCTAAGCTAAAGTAAATAATAAATGGACTGTATTTATATAGCACTTTTGTTGTCTTATCAACCATTCAAAGCAGTTCATAGAAGAAGTTACATTCACAAAATGCTTCTAGCAACGCTTTTTGTATCAAATACCCAAATTGCGATACAATATCTTGCTCATGCGGAGCCAGGGATTGGCTCACCAACCTTCTGGTTAGTGAACAACCCTCTCTACCTCCTGAACCACAGCCGCCCACAAGTGTGAACAAACCCAAGATGCACTCGAGATCCAATCACTCAGACCATATTCAGAGGTGAATATGGGACACATGAACACAAATGTGTCTGAGGCCACATTGAAGCTGACGTCCTCTGACAACAGCAACAGTTTCACAATGAACCAAAAATATTCGTACACATAGATTGATGCGATATTTTTGTTTTTGCATATACGTAAAAATCTTGTTTCAGTGATTTACTCTGCTCCTCCTGTCTCTGCTCTCTCTTTCTCTTTCTTCCTTCTCACACTGACAGAAACACCAACTTACACACACACACACACACACACACACACAGATAATGTACATGTTTATTTGCATATAGAGCAGGGAAGTGACAAGTGATCACTTGGTGTTACAGGAGACACTTCTAATGCCAGGTGTGAACTGAGATTCTTAGAGCTGTCCACTTGAGCTGATTCAAATGACGAGTAAATCCTTTTGCAATTGTGTTAAAATAAATGCTGATTCCTCTTAGACCCTGCTGCTCTACTTGGCTGATTGCTTGATGTTTTGTATCAGGTAATAAATCAGGAGAAGATCTAATGAGAAAGTTTCTGCATCACCAGACATTATAATAGCTACATATTACAGGAGAGAAGTGAAAGTGGAATTAGTATGGAACAGCACAGAAACAACTCCAGTTTTTACCTAAAGATAAAAAAAACTTTAAAGGCTCATTTTACAGATTACAATTAAATCTTATCATCATGATCAGTTTATTCGTAGTGAGAGTTTAAGTTTGCGTGTTGTTAGATAAGATTTTAATCTTTTCTTCTTTTTTCCAAATAGACATAGTGTTCTTGCTCATGGCATGTTCATGTGTTCAGTTAACTGCAATGTAGTACCACATGTCTCTACCTCAGGGAGCCACTGCTAACTGGTGCGAATATCATTGTTTGACAGTCTGCAGCTGTTCACTACCTTAACGTGTTTGTGTGTGTGTGTGTGTGTGTGTGTGTGTGTGTGTGTGTGTGTGTGTGTATGTGTGTGTGTGTGTGTGTGTGTGTGTGTGTGTGTGTAATTAGGCCAGCACTAAAGCATAAGGATTTGTTAGCTGAGTTCTTCTGACCATTAGTGGTGCAGGAGATGTAAACATTGCGTAGATGTACTATGTGGTTTTTTGTCCTCATAGTTGATGGACGGACCATTCAACCATTAACCGACACGATTAAAATGTACTATTTCGAATCGATGTGATATATAATACAACCTTTTTTTAAATAAAAACATAACATTCATTTGTACAGGGGCAACATGAATATGGGGGAGGGCTTATTTGGGGGTTTATTTTCACACATGCAATATACTATAGTTCTGAAATTACTCCACATACATAACAATCAGAAACAAAAGCAACAAATAAAAATATTTTTAACTATATTCATGATTGGCTCATATATTATCAGCATTGGCCCATCATGCATTTGGCCAAAGATTTTGATCAATATCGCACTGAATGATATCTCCTGACATACATCATCTCTCATATATATATATATATAGAGAGAGAGAGAGAGTGTGTGTGTGTGTGTGTGTGTTTGTGTGTGTGTGTGTGTGTGTGCGCGTCAGCAGAGGAAACAGCTGTTAGTTACATAAGCGGCAGTGAGGAAGGGGGAGCAGAGCTGGATAGCAGCTCACGAGGAACAGACACAATCCAAGCTAAATCAAATGCTAAATCACAATGTAACTATAGATGTGTAGCTACACTGGTGCATGTTGGAAACTGGAGACAGAGAGTGAGTTCAACAATTAGGTTCATCTTCAGAATTCAGGAATGTCTGTGGTCATTTTCATTGCAGCTCATCCACTACCATAGTGGATGGACTTTTCTTCATTGTCTGTGCAGCTTTTCACTTTGCTTTACTAAATAATGTCTTCATTCCCACAGTAACTGTACATTTAATACAGAGTGTTGATTCATCTTGTCGTCTCTGTCCTGCTTCTCCCAGGTGTGCTGTATTTGCTGGAGCATGATGAGGAGTATGTGTTCACACTGCCATGTGCTTACGCCCGCTCAATCCTGACTGTGCCATGGGTGGAACTCGGGGGAAAGGTCACTATCAACTGTGCCAAGAGTGGGTACTCTGCCACTGTCACTTTCCACACCAAACCCTTCTATGGAGGAAAAGTACACAGGTAAGCAGAGTGTCTGCTGGCTCTGTGTTCCTAAATAACATGGGTATCCAGTTATGTGCCAAAATGAGCTCTAGCTCTTTAACTGAGCCACATCAGCCTACACACCCCAGCTGCACTTCTGCTGCCATGTAGCAAAACATGTAGCTTGGAGCAAGAAACTATGGATGCAGATACACAAGAAACAGACTGGCACCCAAGGGAGATTGTGTAAACCTGTGTTTACCTGTTAATTTGTTTCAGCAGGAAAAAGGAGCCCTGGGTGTCAATACAAATACTAGTGGTGGAAACATTAGTCGGATCATTTCCTTAAAGGTTCAGTGTGTAGAATTTGTACAAATTAGATGAATAAACACTATTGAAAACATCACTAGGGTTATTTTATATTTCATTTCTGCCAATAGATTCTTTTAACCTGAATCTTACACAGTGAACCTTTAAATAAAAGTGCTGATTTCATGTTTTAAGTTTGTCCTGTATTCCCCTCGGTGTCCCTCGCTGGCGTCCCACTCTGCTCCTTTCTGTGCATCACTCTCTGCGTCCCTCTCTGCGTCCCTCTCCGGTTCCCTTCTGCGTTCCTCTGTGTTTCTCCTGTGTGCCCTCCTGTGTTCCTCTCAGTGTTCCTCTGTTTCCTGTTTTATTTTGTAGTCCCTGCTCCTGGTGTGTTTTCCCATTAGACTTCCTGCCCTCATCATGCTCACCTGTTTGTCCTGTGCCACCTGTCTCCAGTTACTCATTAGTTCAATGTGTATTTAAGTCTTTGTGTTCCCCACACGTGGTTGTTGGTTCATTGTCATTTTTGTTGTCTTATGCCCTCGCTGCACTCACCCTGATCATGTCCATGTGTCTCGTCACGTTCCCCATAAGTTTGGTCATGTCTTCCCTGTGCCATTCACCTGTCTTGCCTGGGAGCACATTTTGATTTATTGAAGATACCTTTTGTTACGTTTTACCTTTAAATAAAGGACACTTTTTGTTACAAACTTTTAGTTCTGCATTTTGGTCCTACCCTGTCCCTTTTTCTACTGCATTCCCCCCACCTACCTGACAGTGCCTGCATTAGTGGATAAGCAGTATTTTGCTTTTGTAGCTGCAGCAGTTAAAGCTAGTTTTAACTACTTTATACAATATATAGTTAGGTGGTTTGTTTCATTGTTCCCACAAAATGTAGTTTGTCTGCTTGGATGTCAACCAGAATATGTGATGGGAAGTAGGATTACTGTAACAAGTCACACATGAACAGCACCTGAGAATACTTAATTGATGGACTTGATGGAAAACTACGATATCAGGAGAGAATGAGCAGGATCCATTTTGACCAATGAGAACACTACTTTGCAACATGAGCTGAAGAACTAGATGATGCTACTACATCTAGATCAGTGGTTCTCAAATGGTCGCGACTCAAACTTTTCAGTTGTGTGTTGAATCTGTACCTCCAGTAGAATAGATAAAAGCAGCTCCAGTCTTTTCTTTCACACTTTCGTAAGGACTGAATCTGACGTCCAGAATATCACAGATATTCAGAGCCTTATTATAAGTTGTGTTTTTTTTATTTGAGGTGTCCAGAAAGAAGAAAAATCAATCAACCTACCAAACAAAGTGTTAGCAAGTGCAAGGTATTTGGTGAGATAATTTGAGAGCAGGATTCTGAGACACTGTCCTCATTATCATTGGTTTCTGCACACCCCAAGATTCATTCCTGAATGGTAAATGTTGATTTCTCTCAGAGTAACAGCAGAGGTGAAGCACAACCACACAGGAAACATTGTGTGTAAGGCACAGGGAGAGTGGAATGGGATTCTGGAGTTCACCTACAACAACGGGGAAAACAAGGTGATCGATACCTCCAAACTGCCAGTCATCAAGAAGAAGATCCGGCCTCTGGAGAAGCAGGGCCAGTATGAGTCACGGTTGGTGTTCTTAAGTCACACACATTTTCAAATGTCTAGTAGAAAGAGAATGTCCTACAAAACACAGTGTCTGCATTGATCTGGGTTTGGCAGGATTTCATGCAACAGAAATTTAACTGTAAATCTTTGGACGCCTGTTCCAAATACATGATTCTGAACACATGTAGCCTCACATGGGAAGTGTGTCTGTTCACATGAAATTCAAACAGTTGTACACATGAATGAAAGATGTGACGTGAGCAGTTTTTTTATTTCCCAGACAAGTCAATGTCAATGACAGCTATTCTGGTTCTGTGTTTCCTGTGTGTAGGTATCTTTGGCAGCATGTGACCACATCGCTAGAGGCAGGAAATATGGACACAGCCACAGAACACAAACACTGGCTGGAGGAGAGGCAGCGCAGTGAGGGCAAACAGAGAGCGACGACCAAAACCCCCTGGAAACCCAAGTATTTTATCAAAGAGGTGAGGAGCAGCACACATCAGTAACACCCGCTGCCTTTGTGACCACCAACAGGTTCATAGGTTGAAAAGGTTTTTATCATATTTTGCCTTTTTAGGGATTTTGCCAACTCAGTATTTAAAACAGCATAGTTATATAACAACATGTTGGTAGACAAGTTGTATAAACTTTTTTTTCTAACCCTGGGAATAATGAACTGAACACTACAACACGTGACACGCTGCCAACATTCTAGTCTGCGTCTGTTTACTTTGTCTGTGTACAATTCAATCGTATTGCTTGGTGTTGCTAAGGTTAGTCAAATAAGTTTGATACAATGGCACAATTTCCAATTACATCGCTAAAAGTGCTTATATGATTCTTCAAAGATATTGTTCGAGCTGAAATAATCAGTGTGATCATCGTAACTTTGAGGACTGCTTTTCTCTTTTGCAGTTTCATGAATTCTTTCTTATGGCTTCCTCTCTTTGATCAAATCATTTCTACTTGATAACCAAATTATTTGTGTGTGTGTGTGTGTGTGTGTGTGTGTGTGTGTGTGTGTAGGGTGAAGGCTGGGTGTACCACAATCCTCTTTGGAAAGCTCACTGACCTTGGAGGCAGGTGGCGGCCAGTGCAGCGATCAGGGCCGGAGGATGACCCTCAAGGACATGAGGAGGGAGAGAGAGACAGATACAGACAGAAATAGAGACGGATGAGATGTGCCAGAACAAGAGGTGCCAAAGACTTTGTGTAAAATGGACAAACTCATAGTCCTGTCTAATCCTGTTTGCTCAGCAGTGAGTTGAGACTGATCTTACACGGGTATGTTTTAATATTACAGGATTCAGACACATACCTGGATTTGACGACAGAATGGGACTTTTTTTTCTTATAATAAATCCAAACCAACAGCTACTGCCATTCTAACTACTTACTTGTTTGCACAATGTACTCAGCAACTTTTGGTCACAACTGTTTTGCACAACTAACTGTAAAATATATATATATATCAATCAGCCAGAGCATTATGACCACACAATGTTGAGGTGACATCACAGGACAATGACACATGTCAACCTCTGGGAAATACAGTATTCATGGGTGAGTGAACAGTTGATAATCGTAGAGTCCATATTGCAGATGTGGGAGACATTTGCAGTTGTAAAAACCTGAGGAAGACAACTGGGTCGGAGTATATTCGAAAGGACCAGGGAGCATGGGATGCTGCTGGTCAGCAGTGGGGAGCATCCATCACAGTGATCAGAGCAGGAACCCTGGAGGATGTGCAGGAACAAGTCTGATCCTCTGTTCGTCCATCTCTCAACTTATAGGACTGAAAGGATCTGCTGCTAATGTATCGCTGCCAGATACCACAAGGACCTTCAGAGGCCTTGTAGACAACATGCCTCAGTGGATCAACTGTGTGGAAGACAAGAGTGGTCATAATGTTTTGGCTCCTCAGTATAGTATAAGCAGCACTGCACATGTGTGAGTGTGTGTCTGGGTGTATGTCTGTGAGAACGGATGAACCATATAGCCAGTTTGAACAAGCCTGAAAGCACATTTCATAGAACCCAGCGGGAGCCGGGCAGAATGTAATAAGACTGGTTTCATTAGGAGCTGAAGCTATAGCCCACTGAGCTTCTACCTGAAGCAACTCAATTTTATAGATTTTTTAGGAGGGAAACAATTTCAGATCTAGGCTCATTCTTCATATTCACCCGGGGAATGCTACTCACTTAAAAACACATACATATATCACAGTAAGGTTGACTGCTAATTAACCTCAACATCTAATGAAACCCTCCATTCACTCATGACTACACATACAGCGACCCCAAACCATATATGCTGCAGTTTTATCCAAGAGTTGGAAAAGTCATATTGTAGAAAAATACTCACTCACTTCCCTCGAGTGGGATTTCACCATGCACATGGTTTGGTTTTTACTTGTCTTGGTCATCTGATATGTGCCTCTGAAATATATCTGCATCCACCCAAATTCAACAATTTTTACAAAAGCAAAATTTAATAATCGATAAAAAAAATTCTATCAATCAAGTTTATACCAGACTTTCATTTATTTTAGTTTGTATCCCCTGGGAGATGTTTCCATCGAGAAGTAGTGCAGTGTCATCATGTGGATTTGACAAATAAGCAACCAAACACATTGTCCTCCATTTGACTCAAGTCAACAGACCTATGCAACACTTACTGTAGATGGTTGTTCTTCGGGGGGCTGGGCTTGTGAAATAAGAATCTCTGTATTTGTTTAAAATAAATCTCTCTTGTCAAACCTGCTGTCTCATGAATTGTTCGACGCTTCATTGTTTGTTTTGGTGCTCAAGAGAGGGGGAAGGGCAGTTTAAGATAAGCTGTTTTCAGACTTGACCTCCACAGAGTGTCCGTAGAATTGGGTCTTGACTTTCTCCAGATTTAGCCTTTTATACACGCACAACGCAGCAGGAGATTCTCCACTCAAACACGTTCACAACACAGAAATCTCTGCAGATTCAGCACTTGTCAGATCCGGAGATATTCTTTTTCTTTTTGATTTTTGCATCTGTCACATTTTAGAATAGTCACAGCACACCCCCTTGCTCCCGTTGAATCCTGCAGAAGATCTCCTGCTGTGTTTTCACATTAGCTCGTCCAAACTTTATGCTGAGTTTTTACCGGTAAAAAACCCTGCTGCAGAAAGTCTGGAGGCTCTCACTCTGACATTTCACACATCCAGCACCTGAGAGAGTCAGAGGGATCTTTAAAGTCACTGCATGTCTGGAAGCCAATGTAGAGACAGATAAACATATAAGATATTCAAACCTTTAGAATAAGTGAATCTTGTAATATCACAATGCACAGAGTACTCCATGACAAATAAAAGTCCTACATTCAAACATTTGTTTCAGGAAAAGTATTATCCACAAAACGAACTTAAAGTAAAATACACAGTGCCCAATCCATAGTGTTAGACTATATTATCATCCAATATATGCAGTTCATAATTGTATTTTTACTATTTACACATGACCGTTGCCAAGCTGGTTGAGTGACACTATGGTAATGTAAGCATCTTCATGCTGCACACTGTTTGAGCTTTAATCTGCGACAACACATTAGATTTTGTAAACACATTATGTTTTACATTTCAGCTTCACAGTAATTCATGCCATATAAAGGCCGAGGAACCCCTGGAGTACCTTCACCTCATAATCTGTGGAAACATATAAAGACATACAGTGTAAATTATTGCCTTTGTGTGGAAACTGACCCACAGTGCAGCAGTATGTACTTGCTGCCATCTGGTGAACAAAAAGAAGCAGTACAATGAGCCAGTGAGGAGAATGAGAATCTGATACGAAACAGGACGGCAGCTTCCTCAATGATGAGCCAACTAAGATGATTCATAACTAACTGTGATAAAGGTAATTTACAATATTATTGTAATATGAATAATATTTAACATTATATGTTTATCCTCATTTTAATGAGCTAGTTGATGGTAAATGGTAAATGGAATGTATTTATATAGCACTTTTCTTCTTTCTTAGTAACATTTACCCATTCACACTCACACATACACTCCACTTTTTCACACACTGCCGGTGCAGCAAGGAATCGAACTATCAACATTCTGATCAGTGGACAACCCACTTTTACTCCTGAGCAAGTCCAACACTTTTGCTGTCATCTTTATTGCTGACAACATTTCCCATGTGCTGTTGTAACACAAATGAGCAGACTGGTTTCCTCAGTGCACTGACCCTCAACATTTCAGAAAATGTACAGGAGAAAAGGCCAAATTAAAAAAAACAGCTTAAGTCAAAAAAACAATATTGAGGTTTCCATCTTTACTGTTGTCATGTGGAAACAAAAAATGTTACTGATTAGTCCACTGAATTAAAATTCTTGCAATCATTTTTAAGGGAAAAATTTTTATTATATTAAAATATATAATATATTATTATTTATTTATTTAAGCCCTTGGGATTGACTGGCACCTGTCCAGGGTGATATGAATTATATTTGCTGCTGTGTAAAATGATGTGTAAAAAACATGGCAGATTAGAGTGTTAATGTTTGATTGTGGTATCAGCAGTGATGCGTCAGTATTGTTGTTATTAATCTCATTGACCCTGAACAGGACCAGTTTATTATTAATCTATTATATGGAAAGACTTTGTCACTGGATGGGAAAAACAACAAGACACTCAAAGCATCAAACATTTACAGATAAAACTGTAAAATACATTAGATAAGATGACATAAGATGATGTAAGAAGTAGTGGGCAGACAATCCAGTTGACCCAAGGCCTGAAGCCTGCACTACGAAGCAGCTAGTTAGATAGCTCCTGCGTTTTCAGGGTTACAAAGGTGGCTTACATCATTTTTTTCATTGGTGAAAAGATATTACAAACACAATATTGACCTCAAAAATACACCAATAGACAGTAAAAAGGAATTATCTAAAGTAGAAAAGCAGTAATAATAATTACAGTTACAAACATGATGTTATTATAAATACAGAAGGATAAGAATAAGTGTGTATATGAAAAATACAATTAAAGTGTGTTTACTGTACGTGTGTGTGTGTGTGTGTGTGTGTGTAGCCTAGTGCTGTTGGCTCAACACATGAGGCAAACCAAACTATGTATTGTGAGTGTGAATAGGGCTGTGTGGCAGTACAGGGGATTAGCATGAGAATGGTGTGTGAGTGCTGGAAGGCCAGTACTTCATTTCGGTCTCGCTGCAGCTCCAGCTCTCTCCCCTCAGCCTTTTGCTTCTCCACACAATCTGTTGTGTCTAAACCCTGCTCTCCACCTTCACTCTGATCTCTTCATGCTCAACCCTCCTTGTTCTCTTCTTGCTTCTCTCAGAAACTGGCATCGACATGGACAATAACCGCACCTTCCTATACTTTGCATACGGTAGCAACCTGCTGAAGGAGAGGCTGCAGCTCAGGAACCCGTCTGCAACAGTACACTGTGTGGCCAGGCTCAAGGTACTGTCTTATATCAAAGGCATCAGGGTTCCGTTCAGAAATGTGTGCACTTACTATTTCTGTCTCTCTGTTTCAGGACTATAAATTAGTGTTTGGGAACCATAAAGGCCTTGCCAGTGACCGGTGGCATGGAGGTGTGGCCACCATAGAGCACAGCCCAGGGGGCGAGGTGTGGGGTGTGGTGTGGAGGATGAACATGTCCGATCTGCAGTCTCTAGACAGGTTGATTTCATGTATCATTTTCTTTAATGCCCAGAATTCTTCAAATGTTTTCCTGTGAAACTAATGTGTTTTTATGTGTACGTGTGTGTGTGCACACTCAGTCAAGAAAACGTGACATTAGGTGCATACAGCCCTGTGGAGCTGTCAGTGAACACAAAAGGCCAGGAGGTTGACTGTCGCACCTACATAATGAACAGCTGCGTGTACGCCCCGCCATCTCCACAGTACCTACAGGTAAGACTCCTTTCACTGCATCAGTGCCTGTGGGGCTTAGAGCATTTAGTATTGGAGGAGAGATTCCTTCTAAGCTGATGTGGACGTGGACGTAATCAAATTCATTTAACTTTAAAGGAAAAGGTTGATAACATTCTAACGCAACAATTCCCATAACAACACCAAAACCATCAACATGTTAATGTGTCTCCCACTACTTTCTGACTTTGCTAGTTACATATTAAAATATAATTTTGGGGAGAGGAGCTGCAGTATCAAGGTTATGCCAAATCATGTGCTTGACCAATCGCGAGTCAGTCTCAGCTGTCATCATTAAGGTTTTATCCTATTTTTATCCCAAAAAACTGAATCGAATCCAAATGTACATGCAGGGAAACATACATCAGTGTGATAACAAGAAACAAAAATGATGATATATTTATCACATACTGTGATTTTCTTTAATTTGGCCAATGTCCCGTCTATTATCATGGAGCAGGCAGGGTGACCTATATGGCCTAAACTACATTCAGCCAAGAGGAGGCAATCAAAATGATTTGGCTTCACATTGTCATGTAGTCCATCTGTATATGCAGTACAGTTATGGAGCATACAACAATGGAGCTCTGTGGATCAGAAGGAATCAGGCTGTAAACACACAGTACTTGTTAGCAGGAGACAGGAGATACTGGCATGGTTCTTTTCATGGTCCACCTAACATAAATCAATGTCCTTTAACAGCTCTCAGTAAATACTTCCTCCTGATGTTCAGTTTTTGTCTGAAGTGTTAAAAAGGTGTTGGTCCGATCATATGACAACAAGACAATAAGATTACTGTACCTATCTCAAGCAAGTGAGTTACACTGGTCTCTGAGGACATTATACACTAACCTGTACACACTACTTGTTGCTATGATAAAGAACAGATCATATGGGTTAAATTATACATTCAATTTAAATAATAGGACAAGGTAGCGCAAAAAAACTGAGACACTGTCATTGAAAAAATTAGTTGCAAAACGTCATCCAGTTTTCATGCATGAAATTGTAAATGATCTTTGAGTGATTTCAGACATGTTGTGAGTTTGGAGGAAAACAGATACGATCATGAAACAGGTCGGGAGCATCAACTGTTCCCTCCATCCTGTCTATCTGTGAAGCATCTGGAATAGGGATCAGTCTGCTCACAACCCTGATCACCTGACTGTGTGATCAACAGGTCAGAAGAGTCGGGGCATCCCCCACTGCCATGCTACATTTTATAGATCTGACAGCTTGTGAGTTAGAATGCCAGATTGTTCATGTGTGGGCTCCAAACATGCCTGAGAGAAAAACAGCATGCTGTGAGGGACGCCGTGGCTTTGTCTACTAAAGTGTAAATGCAAGAGTCCATTGCATTGTCCCCTGTGTTATACTGGGCATTGTGACCCTAAAAGCTGCTAGGTGTTCTCAGATTTATTGTGATCTGTGGATCCTGACACACTGTAGCTTACATGGCTGTAACAGACAGAATAATAGAGACCATGCAGCACAGAACAGAGGTGGACAGACTACTGACTACATTTACAGTCTGAGTCAGCTAAAGGGAATAGGGGATGTGACAGACAGATCCACAGACAGATGTCTGCTTCTTACAGATGTATGTATTAGCAAAGAAGAAGAATTCCAACATGAAACATTTGAAAACCTCAACTACTGAGTATAGCTGTTGCTATGGATGACATTGTTTCATAAATACATGCTCACTATGTCTACATCGGCTGACAGGTGATGACAAATGAATGGATGGAAGAATGGATGGATGGATGGATGGATGGATGGATGGATGGATGGATGGATGGATGGATGGATGGATGGATGGGATTTAGCTGACAACAACATATTGACCTTCATCAACCACTGCAGGTGATCATGATGGGAGCAGAGCAGAACGGCTTGCCAAGGGACTACCAGGAGAAGCTGAGAGCAATCAAGACCAACATGTATGAGGGTCCTCTCCCCATGATGGCCGAACTAGAGAGAGCCAGAAGAAGAGCAAAGGAGAAGGCCAACCATCGCTCTGACGCCTGAAAATTCAGTCTATGTCAGGTCCAGTTTTTATCATAGGAAAGAACCTGTAACACTGTTCACTTCATGCTTAACTTAATTCCACCTGCCAGGACTTTGACAAGACCACTGTTAACTGAAGATATAATAAAGGATTTATGGGTTCAGCATGGTCATGTGTGTCCTTTTATTGGCCCTTAAAATAATTCCACCATTTGGTTCTTCAAATGAAATATGAATATTGTGCCAAGGCAAAGCTGTAAATCTCATCTTATCTTTCTAATCGGTCGGTTGGATCTTTGTTGTACATACTGTAAATATCTGCTCAAATGCCCTGTCCAGTGTTTGAGCGTGGTCCATGGATGGGCGAGATGCAGTTTTTTTCTGCTCCATGTTATGTCAGGAAGGCAGGTATCATCGCTATTTTGTCCCTTTTCTTTTTGTTATTTAGGTAATTTAATGGAACCATTTATAAATGGTTTGTTTGTTGTTTTCGCCACGCTTACCCAGATACCTATTTCGACTGTGATGAGTTCATACATTTTGTTGGACAGCAATCTGCTGTGGCACTGGTCATCCATGGGAGGGGGTCAAGAGGGGGGGAGTCATTTTTTTAATAACATGCTCCGGTTCCCCCTCAACCCAGGAATGTTACATTACCTTTGGGTGTTGCTAGGATTTTTATCAGTACAGTCTGACAGTGCTTAAATACATTCTTGGTCTTCTCTCTCCCACATTTTTCTCTTTTCGGTTCAACTGGGCAGATGGCTGCTGATCCCAAATCTGGTTCTGATGGTTTCTTTTGCCTTTAACAAACAGAGTTTTTTTTCTCTCCACTTCTCAATCATGCTTAGTAAAGGGTCTTTATATAAAGTATGTTTTGATTTGGCACCACTTAAGTACAATTGAAGATAATCATATATAGTTATCGTATCGTAATATATAGTATACTACTTAGACTGGCCCCAGTTCTCTCTTTGAAGCACATGTCTGATGGGCCTTTAAAGTGTAGAGAAGCTGTTCTGGGTTATGGAAACAGGACAAATTATTGGCCCCCACGAGAGTCGACCCTTGTAAAATTCCATGTCTGTTGACAAAACATGCCTCCCATGCCCCCCTGTGTGAGCCGCACTTTTCTGCAGCATCTTTCTCCAAAAATGCTCTCTTCACTTCAAACATGCTTTCCAGGACTCTTTCCCACCCAAGCAGAGTTCTGACAAAATCCCAAACAAACACAGCATAAGAGACAGAGGAATGAATCTAGAACAGACGGCTGTCCTGTCTGTGGGGATCAAGGCAAAACAGATTCTTCTCTGTGGTGCAGCTGCAACTTGCATTCATAGATTCAAATGGTCTCGAGCAGCACAGAGTTGCCTGGAGACTCCCACTGGGTTTCTGCCACAGTGACCAGGACCTAGCGAGCAGTCAAACGTTCTTCTTAGGATAGAAGTGCTTTATCTATTTTCTGATTCTAATTATTTTTCAAGCCTCGATTAAGTCTCCAGAACAGTGTCATTACAAATACTAACACTAAATTCTAATAGTAGAAAAACCAGATCTACCAACCAACCAATTAGGAATGCACCTTGTAATGATACACTGAATGAACGATGTATCTATTCATGACTGGTCCATATTCTCCTCTTCCTCTTTGGATTTACTTTATTAAGCATAAATACCACTACTGCAGGGACTTGTTTCTTCATTACTGATATATGCCGAATGCTGATGACATTTTACTCTTCTATATTGACACTCATCGTAACATACAATGTTACATACATGTTGCAAAGTGTGGCTTGCAATAAACTTGTTGAATTCTGACGGTCTGTAGGCAGCTTTATTATTATTATGCTTAATGTTTTTGATTCTCATTTGTTGGATACTTTACAGGAGTTTATTCTGATATTTAAAGTCTGTTCAGCACAGAGCAGTTTGCTGAAACAGTTCCTTCTTTCATTCTTCTTGAAAGGACGGTTTCTATTTAGTTTCATTTTGGACCCCCTCTTGCCCCAAACCTCCCACCCAATCCACACCTACCGTCCTTTGTGGATTTTAATTATTGCTCATCATACAGTGAACAAGACCACAAAACAAATTTGTTTTAACACGTCTCAAAGAGGAATTTCTGGAGTTGTCATAAAACAAATACTGCATCCAAAAAAATCTTGAAAAATGCTTTGAACCTATATTCAAACGAATGTATACTGTGCAACTGTTGCAAGTATTACTGACAGCCCCTTCTCCCCTGTCACATTTTAACAATGTTTGACTTTCAAAATATATTTGTCCCTGCTTGAATCAAACAGCGGGAGTAGAGTCTTCATTGTGCATGAAGGGTCTGTCGGATGAGATTACTGAAGCCCAGACTAAATGAATTCTTTTAGGAACAGCTTATTCAGTGGAGAAAACGCAGTGTCTTAAACCAGAGTTATATTGCAGTAAGAACAGTGCTCTTGTTGGACACTTTTTACTACCCTTTTTCATTCAGTTTGTTCCAACACATCTTGAAACAAGAAAAAAGTATCCTGTCTTGTCCTAGAGTCGTAAATGCTGAGCCTATCGGCCCCCAGAGGCCCTGACAAACATGGTCTCTCGTGTGGGTTGGACTCAACAACAGTTAAGTAGGACACAGCAAGAATCCACATACGGGTCATTACACAAGCAGCTGCATCACCATCTGAGAGCCATGGTGGCCTGAATGGGGCAGTTTTCTTTGGGACAGTTAGTGGTGGGGGGGGCTTCAATGAAAACAGTGAGGCCTGTGAATTATTAAGAGTAACCGAGACATCCAAAAAGAACTGCTTTTGAGCTTTTCAAGTATAAATTTATAATGTTTGAGACACTATTCACGTCCTTTTGGGATTTAGTGGGAGGTTCTGTAAATTTAGAATAACATCTGAAAGGTCATGCAAATCACAAACCAAAGCTACAAACATACTGTGATACCCTGTAATGATTTCTGGGCCATGGAACAAGTAAGAACAAAGTAATGATGATGGGTCACTAACCCGAGTGGAGAAGGTATCAACACGGATTGATAGGCATACCAGACTGTACAGAAGGTCCTGTGCCTGAAAATAAAGCAAAGAACCAGTTAATGAATATTTCATTCCAACTGGGCTGGCCCAAAGGAGCTCAGACATCTGGAAGGAGCTGAGAGTAGCACCACCTCTGATCCATGTATGTAAGTGTAAGCTCTGGGTTTAGAACTCTGTGCCTTCTGAGCTGTCAAATGTCTTCTGGGATCGATTTGCTCAAATGACAATGTGCGAGTGAAAATCACAAAATGTATTGTTTTACACAATGAGAGCAAACCCCAGCAACAGCATGCCACTGATGGGGCAATGTGTCATATGTGCACACTAACTATTTGAATGACTGTAATTCTGTAGTGAATTAAGATATGAAAATGAAATCAAAACTAAACATTTACTGTAGACTCTTATTATTCAATAATGGATTGGGTTAATGTGGGTAATGTGGGACATCTAAGCTTCAGTTTCTTTATTTCCTGATCTAACAAAATCCAGGCAACAGGACTTGGACGATAATTTAGCATGGATATCATGTGACTGAAATTACATGACTTCATGGTAGTGATGTCACAGAAGGGGGCAAGCCAAGTGACAATCAGAAGCCCGCCCCTTGGCATAGCATGGCAAGGTCAATGACATCAGATACTGACAAGATTAATGTTAAGGAAATAAATCTGTCACTAATAAAACAATGTTACTAGTTGTTATTAAATTGTGTTTGTGTGTATTCAAGCAACAAAATATGCACTGAGTTGTTTAAAATGTGTTTTTAAAACATTTTTAGTTGTACCACTTTATCAAATCTGATTGGTAATGTGGGACAGCATGCTTTGGGTAATCTGGGACAGTCATTGAAGTTCTATTAATGAGGGAAATGTGTATTTAGGGACTGCCTGAAGTAAAAAAAAAAAAAAGATAAACTAAACAGATGCAGCATATTGTCTCTAGTGTCAGACAAGAGTTGATGGTAAATACAGTTGTTCCTAACTCTTCAAACTGATTGTCTGGTTAGTTAACTAACACATAATCAGTCAGCTCTAGGACAGAGATGATCCTGAGGTCCCCACTACTCAGACAGTCATACCCCACTCATCTCATTTCTGAGGTTAAACAACTTCTGAAAATAAATATTTATAGATTCTGAAAATTTGGGGACATTTGTGAATAAATGTCCTAATAATAAACTTAAATTATTCATTTGTAAGACCTAAATAGTTATTTTTCACTCAATGGCCGTTGTTCCCTAAAACTATTGTTATTACACAAAAGACCAAATGTCCTTGCTCCTAGCTGTGGGCCACTTCAGGCAATGCTGTGACCCTTCTGACCTTCTAGTGGCCGGGACAAAATCGATGTGAGCACTTGTAAAACAGCAAATGTGGCCCAAATATCCCAAAACAAATGTGGGCCTCTTTGGAGGAGCTCTATGCAAGATGTGATCTGAATGTGAACCTAAGCGAGGCCCAAGTGGAAAACGGTGAATGTGGCCCAAATGGCACAAAACCTATTTGGGCCACTTTTGGCTCCTTTGGCCCAGATCTGGCAAAGTGTGGGAAATGGCATGTGGACCAAATGCCTCCTCTGCTTCAATATGAGTGTTTGTTTTCTTTGATTTTGAAACACTGGCCTTATGTTGATGTTATTTCTTTAGATGCCTATTGCATTTTAAATGAACGATTTGATTTGATTTTTAAAACGTAATTAACAGCCCCCTCAGTCAACTCATCCTGGCGCCAGACCTGAGGTGAAGTTATTTAGTAACACCAAACTAATCGTATTACTAAGGACCCTCCTCCTGACAGTCGGGGGCCACGCTGCAGCCACGGTGCGCGTATATAAACGCAGCCAGAGCGCGCGGCGGCACACACCTCCACGCACCGCGCATTGATCCGCTGCCTGTAATCAACTTCACAGAGCCTCTGAAGTTTGACTGCTGTGCTCAGACCTGCACACGATCACAGGACTTAACCATGGAGAAAGACACAAGACCCAGCTGGGACTCCCCCCTGCAGTTTCTGTTGGCCTGTGTGTCTTATGCAGTGGGACTGGGAAACGTGTGGCGGTTTCCATACCTGTGCCAAATGCACGGTGGAGGTGAGTGATCGATTCCACAGTGGAGACCACTCAGGCTGCATGCTTTATAAACAGAGTGTGTCTGATGAGTTCCATTCAAACCAGAGGGGCTGTGTTCGCCTCCAACATGCTCGATCCAGATGTGACACATCAGGCCCTGAATAATCTTCTGACTCATCGTGTCAGTGTAAACAGTGTTCAGTAGACACATACACAGGGCTGGGAAAAGTACATTCAAAAAACAAATTGTCTAAATAAATTATTGTAAAGAATCTCAACCTCTGCTTCACTGACGTCTTGTCAATAATCTGAGTCATGCAGGTGGGCTGTCTCTGGTGGTTAATATCCAAACGAATCCTTATCACACTGAATGAGCTATTGTTAAACACTCAGAGTTTAAACTGGTAATAACTAACTGGAGGTCAAAATAGGGAAGCACCAGTACAGATGTACACAGTGTAAAAGCCATATTCACAGACAGTTAAAATAACAAACATGTATGGTCTAGTCAAGGACAACACAAAGATGGATGGAGGCTAAGAGACACATTAAAAATAACTTATAGGACAACAATCGTGTAACATTAGAATTTCTTGAAAATTCTGAATTGAGAATTCTGATGTTAAGTTGTGTATGAGAATGGACAGATAGTTGAGTTGTGGATTGTACAAATCCACAACTCACAATGTACAAATCTATTATTGAAAGGTAGATGCAAGAACATGATACAATAACATAATGTAATATGTAATAATAATAATAATATTAAATCAAGCAGGGACACAATTACAGGTACAAGTTTGGATATTTCTCTGCAACAATTATATTTAAAATGTATTTACTTACTTGTTATGTTTCCTATAAAGAAATTTTTTTTGCCTCATGCTAGAATATTTTCATATTTCTTACATTTTTCTTACATTTGTTCACATGGTGAGTTTGCACACACATACCATGTCAGATTCAGCAACGGTTCAAACTTCAGATAAGACTGTAAATAACCTGAGAAAACACCACCTGCATAAAGTGCACAAGGGTAGCATATTAGCATAATCAGCACTAAAATAATACCATATAAGGTCATACCTCCTGCCCCATATGGCAGAAGTTCATTCATGAAAATGGCATCAAAGAGTAAAAGGAAAAATGAGTTGATGATTTAATTCCTGCTTTCATAGACCCAGACAGGAAAGATTATAATTTTAGAATTTAGAGACTGATTTAAATGTCCAGTGTGTAAGATTTAGCTGAAATGGATCTATTGGCAGATATTTAATGTAGAGTAATCCTCATGATGTTTTCACTAGTTCATTTCATCTAAATTGTATGAGTTGTAGTTTTCAGAAAAGGCCCTTTATATTTAAAAACGTTATATTTACATTGACGGGACCCTCTCTACGGAGTTGCCATGTTTTCTACATTAGTCCAAACTGGACAAACTAAACAATTTTTGAGTTTTTATGACAACTGAAGGCTACTACAGTTTCTTTTTCATGTTTGGAAGGAGAGGGTGAGGTGAGGGGTGTTCAGCTGCAACATGCAATTTCAACAGTAGATATCACAAAATTCTACACACTGCACCTTTACGCATGTTGTTGATATTGTATCAAATGTTGGTCGCACTCACTGAAATAAAGACACAGTAGTTTGTTAAGGAAATAACTTTTAAATCGATCAATTCACATATGTGCTAGTTTTGGATCAGGCAATGGAACACCTTCGTTCACTGCAATATTATTTAAATGCAGCATGTAAAAACAATTTGACAAAACTATAATTTGACTTCATGCGCCACGAGCAATCGGCTGTTGCCTGGAGAAAGTAGTGATCGGAATGATTGCTGACTCCCACTAGATTTCCACCAGGCTGGAAATGTGATGGGAGTCTGCAGAATGTCAGCAACTGTGACATGTCTGAAGCGTGTCTGCGAACGGTTGGTCAGCCTCTCTAATCGTGTCTTCTCAGAGTTCACACAGCTACTGATTGCAGGCTTTTGTTGGCTTCTTGCAAAATTCTTCAATGACTTGCTATCGAGCTGAAAATCATGTTGTGTAAACTAGGATTGACATGTAAAATTTAACCAGTAACACATAACATGTAAAATATTACATGTAACATTTAAGGTATAACAAGTAGCATGTAAAATATAAGGAGTAACAGGATACATGGTCGTCTACAGGCTAGTTTGGCTCCAACTGATACTAGAGAACTAAAAACATAGTTACCTCGTTAAAGCTCTTCATGAGAAAGTGGAAGTGAACAATGAACCCCCCCCCCTGAAGTTGAGGAAAAAACTTAGATGGGATCAAACAGAAAAAATTAATCTGGACACTTTTTATATGTAGGTCCAGACTAATCTCCGATAACCTTGTATTATTAGACACACGTGAACTGTTGTTGCTTTCTCTCATTTTCCTCCTCCACTTGCCTAGATGACATAAATTTACTGTTTAAATATCATACATACATTTACTGTCATATGTAATATATATTTTAATAATGTAATTATGATAAGTACATGTGTAGGCTGTGTAATTACCTTATTTCTAGTGAAACAACATATCTGTCCATCTCCAGGGGGGTTCTTGATTCCATATCTTCTCATGCTGGTTCTGGAGGGTGTGCCCTTATTCTGCTTAGAGCTCGCCATTGGTCAGAAGATGCGTCTTGGAAGCATCAGGGCTTGGACTGCCATCAACCCTTATTTGGGAGGAGTGGGTAAGTGCTGACTGAACTAAGTGACAGTTTGGAGTGTAAGGATTCTGAGACCAAAGCACAATACAGACTGCAAACATCCACAAACTGCAATACAGGAAATATGAACAGAGATCTCTTCACCACGGCTGCAGCTTGTTGAGCTCTCATTACTTTAATAATGGACGTAGCCACTGTGATAAAGCTTCACCCCACAAGAAAAAAATGACTTAGAAGCATTATGGGTTAAGAGATGGATATAGAACATTTAAAATGGCAAACAAATGGTATATAACATCACAATATTTTAATAATGTATCTTTTTTTGTATAATTCTCTTTTTAGGTATTGCTAGTATTGTGACATCCATGTATCTGTGTCTCTATTACAACGTCATCAATGCATGGAGTTTCTGGTACCTCTTTAATTCATTCCAAGTGAGCTGCTAATTTACAAACTACTGGCACTTTCTAATGTTTACAACATGTCAGTTTGTAAAACTCTTCTGTGTTCATATCTAACCCAGTCAGTCCTGCCCTGGGCAGAGTGTCCCATCAATGCCAACCGAACTGGATTCATAGAGGAGTGTGAAAAGGCGACACCCACCCAGTACTTCTACTACAGGAAGACACTGGATATTTCTTCTTCTATTGAAGTGAATGGAGGCATCCAGACAAGCCAGGCAATGTGTCTTGTGCTCGCCTGGGTAATTTCCTACCTGTTCGTAATCCGAGGGGTAAAGTCAACTGGAAAGGTAAGAGGACCCTGACGTGCACAAATAAAAAGTTCTGGAAACACACACACAGATATGCCTCATTGTACAATGTCGACTTTGATTTGCCTGTGTGTTTGACTGATGACATTTAGGTGACACTTGAAAAATCAAGGACTGTGAATATGATGAGAAATACATGGCAACAAAGTTATCAATAATTATCAATACTCCATCAGATAGTAAAATAACACAATTGTCCTTCTGTGCTCATATCCATCCAAACCTGTAGGGTGTGAAAAGATTACAACCCCCACCCAGTACTTCTTCTACATTTGTATTTCTATATTATTACAGAAAATGAACTTGTTTGCTTTTGTTGTTCTCATGAACTAAATATAATAAATAGTTAATTCATAGTTTGATTAAGCTTGGAGAATAAAGTATGTTCATGTTACCAGTTGTCCGCCAACATTGAAGAATTTTACCACAAAGCCACTATGAAGACCTCCAACTGAAATCTGAGTGATAGAAACCTATAATTTCTCAAAATTAGAACAATTATCACAACTATGACAGAAGTCAAAATGTTCTGTCCAACATGCCACCACGGTGCTGCACCCGTTCCCTCCCATATTTGAACTTTAACGTTTGGCTCCATCCTCAGGTGGTGTACTTCACAGCCACATTTCCATATGTGGTCCTTTTTATCTACCTGATCTGGGGCTTCACTCTTCACGGTGCCATAAATGGTGTCAAATACATGTTCACACCCAAGGTAAGTTTGTGTTGGAGATTTGGCAGCAACAAAAACAAGGACAATGCTAATTCTTAGGTTGCATGAGGTGCATACTGTTGACATGAATTTATGAGTTTATTACCCCATTATATGAAGGGCCACGAAATCAGATTTCTAAATGTCAGCCCATGGTATAGGTCATATAAACCACTGAGTATAGTTTCTACTTTAAATAGAATACAGTGTGGACCCACACAGCTCAGGAGGTGTCACATTAGATTAACATTAGAACCCTCTGCACAACTGTCAAATAAATGTGTTATGAATAGGTCAGTGTATATATCTTAGAATATGCATGAATATATATCTTAGAAATATAACATTAAATGTCTCCTGTTATATGTGTGTGTGTGTGTCCATATCTGATGTGCTTCTGCTTTTAGATGGAACAGCTTGCCAACCCCAGCACATGGATCAATGCAGCCACTCAGATCTTTTTTTCTCTGGGTTTGGGTTTTGGGTCACTCATAGCTTTCGCCAGCTACAACGAGTACCACAACAACTTTGAGCGCCAGGCCATCGCGGTTTCCATCATCAACAGTGGCACGTCCATCTTTGCCAGCATTGTCACCTTTTCCATCTATGGGTTTAAGGCCACATTCAACTATGAGAACTGTCTAGAGAGGTGTGTGTTTGTTTTGTGCTAATGTAAATGCCCTCTATGGCCTTGTATATATTATATAAGCATGATTGTGTATATGTGAACCCCAGAGTAGCAATTCATTTAATTGTTTTTGTCGTTGTTATTTTTTAATTGTTGATATTTAAAGTCGACACAAGAGAAAAAGGCACAGAGAAGTGACAAAGCAAGATAGATACTGCGTATGGCATTAATACATAATACAACAGTAGTGTCGTGACACCATGAGTTACACAAATGTGGCACCAACAGTTACGCAAAGAGCTTGTTTATGTGAAGTGTATCCAGTATGAATTGAAGGTTGTGTGTGTGGGTGTGTTTATAATCTGGATAGATATGGGTAATAGAAGGCACTCAAGGTTCAGCTGCAAGGAGTGGCAGCAGGAGAAGACAAGCACAATGCTGCACAAATCTATACTTTTGCTTTGACGTCACTTTGTTGAGACAGATATGGAACTAACCTCTCCTCTGACATTAATTAGACATTGCACAAGAGAACTCATAGACTTCACATCACAGTTCACTTTCACCCCATTCACACACATTCATACTGTGCTTAATTCAAAGCACATTGTTCAGAAGTACCTGAAGCAGAGCTGGTGATAGTATTTGTGTAGTCATAATCAGAATATGGTCTGTAACATGTAAACAAGAATATAAATGGAATACTCATTTGCTCCCTAACTAACACTGATATGATGCTGAATCACAGCGAGCAAATATTTAACTTTATTTAATTCATTATTATTAATTATTCAATTTAATGAGGTCAGTGTAGTGTTCATGTAACAGTCTTTTTTTCACTTTTCCAGGACACGCTTACTGCTGCTGAACACCTTCGATCTAGCAGAGGACACCATCTCCATCGACACTGTCTTTGAGTGGACTGAGAAGCTGAATGCAACATACCCGCAGGAGTTTGCTGAGATCAGCAGCAAACTGGAAATGTGTGACCTGGAGAGGGAACTCGACAGTGTATGTTCCTCTTAATTACACTTTTGTTGTATACACATCGTAGGCACTTATGTTTTTATTATTAGATAGATAGATAGATTACTTTATTCATCCCCAAAGAGAAATTAGGTGTATTATTTATTATTTAACTTTTTAGAGAATGGGCAATATCAACTGCAGAATCACCAAAAACGCGAAGTCTTCACTGAACATCCATGTAGTTTTACACAAATAATTAGTCCAACTCAAGCAAACAGCACCAGAGTGAAACATGAGAAAGAGGCAAAGTTTTTTCTAACACAAAAGGGAAAGAGGATGAACAGAAAATCTAGTAAGGGAATGTGGGAAACAAGAAAGTAGGAAATACAAGGTCGTCTAACAGAAAAACAATAGAGGCAGGTCTTGAGGATGATGGATATTGGATATGTAAAAAAATGAATCTAATGAATTGGTGACTAATATTTGTTATAGACTCTGTGACATTAAGTGATCAGCAGAAGGTGCTTCTATTCGCAGTGGGGAAAAAGTAATAGAACCAAAATGAACTAATACATTCTGAGTAAAGTTCCTTGGAGAGACAATAGTCATATGAATGAAGCAAATGCACATCTGTTCTCTGAGGCTTTTCAGAAAGTCTATGTTAAAATGGGTCAAAGCCCCTCAGCTTCCATTCCAGTCATCAATTGTCTCTTTCGTCTGTTTCAGGCAGTAGAAGGGCCAGGTCTGGCCTTCATAGTGTACAGCGAAGCTATTAAAAACATGCCATTGCCTCAGCTGTGGTCTGTGCTGTATTTCTCCATGCTCCTGCTGTTGGGAATGGGCAGCATGCTGGGTAATATCACCGCCATCATCACCCCGCTACGAGATTTCAAGGCCACGTCCCGTATAAGCAGCGAGTTGTTTAACGGTAAGATCCAGGCTGATGTTGGTGGAAATATATAGTACGATGTTTTTGTATGCATATTGTACACAGCTTATTTATGTGTCTGCTGCTTATAGTGAGTTAATGGTGACTGTTGTGTTTTGCTCGCAGGTCTAGTGTGTTTATTCTGTTTCCTGCTCGGCCTGGGCTTCACTACCACATCAGGGAATTACTGGTTCACCATGTTCAATGATTACGGAGCCACTTTCTCGCTGCTGTTCATTGTCCTTGTTGAGGTCGTAACCATTAGTTACATCTATGGAAGTGAAAGGTTTGTGTATTTGTGTGTAATACAGTAGTATCCATATTTGTTGCCTTTTAGCTCAGATAGTTGTTAGTGCTATCTGCTTGTGTATAGAGTAATCAGCAATGCTATTCTAAATTTTGCCAAATAATATTGGTTTTTAATACATCGTCTTCTATTTTAGGTTTGAAAAGGACATAGAGGATATGCTTGGTCATCGCCCAAACTGGTATTGGAAAATCATGTGGAAATTCATCAGTCCCCTTCTCATCATTTCTATTTTCATCTTCTACATCATCAACTACATCCAGGGAGGGACACCTACTTACCAAGCGTGGAACAAAGAGCTGGTAGGCTAAGGCTTTTTTTCTTTCATGTACAAATATCCAGGTTACTTCGATGGAAAGAGGAGCCTTAAATAACAAACACTGACGAGACGAAGTTAGAATGAAAGTAATTTCAGCATGTGAAAACTACGAATCAACGTCTAGTCAATTAAATGATCAAAAATCTCAGTGTAGGCCACATGAGAACAAAAAGTAAAGGTGCTTTCATCCTGCTGTTTACTACCAACTGAAACCTGCTTGTTTGGAATCAGCTGAAAGGGTCTTACAGAGGCTGTGCACAGAGAAAACTCTCAATACTCAGACAAAAAGCTCTGTTATGGGAATTTCCAGAGACATAAAAAGTAGAAAAAGTGCAAAGAGCATTAGGTCAGACTTGATGTTACACAACACAAGATCCCCTCCAGGTTATGTAAGGTAGTGTGAACTCACCATGGTTAAATAATGGCAGTGCTGGTCCTGATTCCTGATTAATTTGTTATTAAAAGAGATGCAAAGCTGTAGCTCTGTTATAACAAAAAGAAAACAGCTGACCTACGTCCAGGGATCATCTCCAGTTATTTCTGACTTGAACAGTACTCGTTCTAAACCTGCCTGTTTGACTTGCGTTAATGTTCCGGAGCAACCTCGGAATTATTCCCACGTCATTAATGAGTCCTCCTCAAACAATACCCAGTCACTTCTTATTGCTTTGGTGTTGGACGCTGTGTGCAGAGCTTTTAATAAACAGTCTATAGAGCAGAGTGACGTTCATAAACCTTGTGTTTATCATACCTGGTTTATCAGCAATGCAAATGTTATTGTCATTGTTTTTTACATAATAAAACTGACATTGCTTGTCGGATGTATCAGTGATCTGATAAACAACCACACAATCAAAACAGCCAAGATCATATTTTTTCAAAATAAAAGCTTTGTAATTCAGCTCAATCTAAAGCATTGCAGCAACAAAATAAACATACCTTTACTTTGATGACAAATTGCCAAACAGGAAGGGATTGGATGGATCAGCATCCATCACCGGTCAGTCCATCTGTGTCTGTGTCAGTCCGATATGGTGAAATCAAAACAATCCAATAATCAAAAGCCATGAAAATTGCCCTGCTTCTGCATTTGTGATAACAGGGTTTAACACAGATGCATTTTAGTGCCAGCTAGACTGATAAGCATGTGAAGGCAGATGTTAACTGTACTTGTGGTTTCATCAGGGTAAATCCGAGGTAAAAGAGTATCCGGTCTTTGGTCAAGTCTTCATCGGACTGCTGCTGGTGTCGTCAGTGAGCTGTATTCCCCTCACAGCTCTGTATGTCTTCTGCAGGAAGAGGATACATGGAAAGCACAGTGTAAGCACAGTGTGTGAATAGTGACCGCACCATCTCTGAACACAGCAGCAGAACATCATTGATAACTAACACATGAAGGGACAGTGGCACACAATCAGTGCTCATTTGTGTTTCTTTCTTTTATTCCTCAACTTTCACCAAAGTTTGCATTGCTGAAAGCAATTTTTAAACTCTGCTCTCCCTGTCAGAGGGCTTCTTTTAAGAACGGACAGTACATAAACCCATTGAAAATGGAAACAGAACAACTGGAGGCATGGGGCATAAACCCAGAAGAAGGCATCAAATAATTCTGCTCCTTAAGATAAAAAAAGCTGTGTATCTGGTGAATGAGCTGTATTTATATAGCACTTAACAGCCACTCAAAGTGCAGTATGAGTCACATTCACATAACTTCATGGTGCTCTGTGCTAGTCCACAGCGTAACAGTGGAATATGTTCATTAATGTATATAGAGTTTGTTTGATTCCTCAGCTTTTATTTAGCTGAAATTCACTGTATCATATTACACTAGTTTACTAAATGGTCTTATTGTATGTAGATACAGGTTTGAGTGCTGTAGATATTTGATGTTTGAAATCATGTGGTTTAACAGCTAACCTCAAATATTAATATCTGTTAATATCTCAAGTCAAACACGTTTTTGTCGAAATATAAAACTCCACAATGGGATTTTGGTCCAGAGAGAGGATTACAGAGGGTCCAGCTCTGCTGCCACTGGCACCATTTTGTTTCTAAAATGGGTTTGAAGCACGAGAAAAGGGGACGTTCAGTTCTTATCACACCACTCTGGCTGAATGTTTTCACTTGTCTTTAGAATATATGCTGGACTCCATGATTAAGAGGACCTTGATTGTATTGAGTTGTATATATAGTAAGCACATTAATGTTTTCTCTTTGTAAGAATTCTGTACAAATGACCTGTTTTCCTATGTTAAATATTTTTGATAGGTAGTTTTATATCTGTAATCTGTCTATAAAGGGCTGACATCTGCTATCACATCCTCTCTATAAGAGTAAAGCTCAACACTTGTATTAACCAGTAGAGGAGCTTCTGTGCCAAATATCAACAAAATACTGAAATATTTGCTTTGTACACCCTCAAACATGTACACTGTGTACATATTGTAGATATGTTTTCAAACTATCTTATGGATACTCAATAAATATGTGACTTTTGCTTTTTTTCTGCCGTGAAATGTCAGTAATTACAACCGGCTGCCATTATGAACTAGTTAGTTCATTGTTTTTTATGTTGTTATCCATCTATATCATAGTGGTGATGGTGAAGTAAAGTCGAACTGTAGTCTGTGTGTGCATCAGGGTTTAGTTGTTATCACATGATTGAAGTATGGAACTTTGGTCATATGCGAAAGGTGGTTGCATAAGGGGGAGGTGGTTTAAACCAATAGCCTGTTAACAATGTTAACAGCGTCTACCATCATCAGAACATCAACCTGCATATCGAGTTGAGAGCAGGAAGATGATGTTAAGCTGCAGTTGCACAGGAGGCTACAGGATGTGCTCACACAGAAGTCAACCTCTAATCACCACTCTCAGTATCACAGATGAGAGGTGAGGCGACTCCTCCTCCGCATCATAACATCTCACCAGAGAGAGCGAGGTCCAGCCACTCCAGGGTCACAGGGCCAGCGGGAACAAGGGGTGGAGGATGTCATGCACACACTGCAGCTGCTGCTGCTGCACAACCTTAAACATCTGTCAATTTTTATCAAGACATCAGGATACTATTCTAATGAACAAAGTTAAGTCCAAGGCTTGACCTGTGGCAGCGCCCCCTGCAGGTCTCTCCTCCTGTTTACTGCAGACTAATCTGAACCGGTATTTTAAGCTTGTTGTTTCTTCATCATCTGATCCCCATCCTGGCAAATAAGCCAGAAAAACATTAAGGTATTACCAGAGGTAGAAAAAAAAATCAAATCCCCAACAGAAAAACAAGAATTAACACCACAGAGAACATATGGCCTGTTGTCAAATACAGGGATTCAAAAACAAATAGGATATTTACAGTCAAGTGTACCACATGGGTGAAACAATTGTCAAATGAATTATTTGTGAGGGGCATACAAGGAAAGGGTGTTTAAGTAACATATCTAATGATGAGTTACTACAGAATAGAAGTAATGAATAGTTCATTATATCTGGGAATCAGAATATAGACCACTTTCTGTGATCAACTCAGAAACGGCTCCTTTATTAATAGTTTTGTAGTCGCTCCTTCCTGTTTATGTGCGCACCAAAGTAAAGTGTTACCAAATAAAACATGCACTTTAATGTCGTCTGAGATGTTGGTGAAGCTTTGTGAACACACAACACCACACTTCCTGCAGTCATTGTGTTACAAGTTTTTTTTACAATGTTACAAAGTACAAATGAAAATGAAATTGCAAGAGCAATAAAGCACTAAATGCAGCTACAACATAAAAGAAAACCGGCACGGAAGCAATGAGTATACAATAAATGTATCATTGAGGAAGTCAATGTGTGCATCATTTACTGTAAGATCAGGACTTCTCCAAGTACTATTATCATTACAGTGCCCAATCTGACGAGTGGCATCATTATAAAATCTAATAAAACTTGATAAAGGGATCATGAAATAGATTCTGGTAGTAGAAATGGCTCACAAGCTCGAAACCTATTAGCATTTGAAGTGATGGGTAACATCTCCCTCAAGTGTCTGTCCTTCTACTGGAACACATATCTCACAAACTGATCAAGCTTTAAATAATGTCTAATCACATGCAATGTGTTTCTTTACACCTCCGAGCCTACATTGTTTCACGTCATGTCAACAATGAAGCACAAAGAAAAGCTGAGACACAGCAATAATCATCTGCCCTGTTTATTACTGCACCGCTACATCTGTCAAAGAACGCATGTCATCAACATTGTGTTTTTTTACTGACGGAAACACCAGGCAACAATTAATGAATAGCTTTTTACAGTCTCACTTCAGCAGATGTCATGATGATAAAGAGGAACTGACATCGGCAGCAGTAAATGATTTTGTACTACCAGACAAATGTCTGACTACTTCAAACAGCAGCGTAAGGCAGCGGTGAGGCCTCATGGGTAAAGGACAGGTGAATGGAGACATGCAGAGGTGTGGAACTGAAGGGCAGACATGTAGCTAGAGTCTGTTTGTCCTGCATCAGTTCCTGCAGGTTCAGACGCAATGTACTGATGATCTAAATCTGATGTGGTCACAGCAAAGACTGAACATTTTGTCCATCCACTTCATTCTTTCTGTGCACACACATCTTTTGCTGATATAACCACACTTATGGACTCAGACAAATGATGCGAAGCAAACGTTCAGTGAGGGAGACGATCCCCTTTAGTCACATGCACAGTTCCTGCTCTACCTCAACTCCACCAGCTCATCCTCTTTTTATCCAGTCACAGCCTGACCAATCAACTGAGCACACACCATTCTGCTGCTACAAATACTCACTACAGCACCAAATAAAGAATCATCTCTCACAGAAAACAATCTATATATATTTTTATTAAGAGTTTTAAAAAGGAAACTCTGTATTTGAGAGGTTTTTTTTAATAGCATACAGATGAGGACCACTTCACTACTTGTAAAATAGCAAATGGAGCCTAATTATTAAGATAATGTGCTTTAGACAAGGTGTTATCTGGAGATGAACCCACAGTGACTCCTATGGTACAAAGTGGAAATAGCACAAAACAAAACAGGCCACCTTTGGCTGACATTTAGTCGTGCTATGGCTTACCTGTGGCCTACAGTACAGTACATGCTAAATGTATTGTGTATAGGGTTGTATCATAATATCATATGCTACAATACATAAATATAATCAACCTTAAAGCAATAAAGAAGTTTCCTTTCAGCCAGACTACACAACACTGTCCTAACGCAGGTGTTGGGTCCTGCATTGAGGTGGAACCCTCAGAGGACTGAAGTGGTCTGAACCAGTATTTCCTTCCTGATCTTTGTCTTCAGGCAGATTTACATTTGTCCATGAAGTCCATCCAGGATATGTCCACGTGAAACACATTGGACCTCATGCAAATATTTTCAGAAAGATTCATTTTCAAAAATGTTATCGAAGAGTGAAAAGAATAATTTAACTCTGCAGCTTTAACAGACAAAATGTCAACCTGTTCAGAAGTATCAGTTGTCGTAATAGAGGATCTAAAACAATGAACACAGCTGCCCATCATTACTGTGACAGGAATAAAGATGGAAAGGTGTGATACGATGTTTAACAGGTGATGGAACACTGTCAGGTGCAACAAAGGACACTGGAGAGAGAACAGACCCTCAAACACCTAGTTTAATGAAGAAGTTGCTTTGATGAAAAAAAAAGTAAAACCTCATTAATTTGGCAGGTGTGATGATGATCACAACATTCATTTTTATTAAGTCTATTTCATTTATATATTTATTTGAGTTAAATACAGTAAAATACCCAAACCCCCCCAATTCATTCAGTTTAAGGCTTTAAGATTTCAAGTCAGATGTGGAGAGAGTCAGAGTATGTTTGACAGATCTGGACCATAGCTCAGAAAATCTTAGAACAAAAAGAAAATTGGTGAATGCCGAAAATGACCGCAAGTCGCTCATAGAACAAATCTATTCTCATGAGAGATTCTTGCATGAGGCCGATATATAAAGAAGCATAAATCCACAAGCAGAATTAGATAAGAATGTCCACTGGCTGTGTAAAGTCGATTTCAGACATGCACTGAACTCTGGAGATCCTCCAGATACATCGAATAACAAAAGGAAAACAAACAACCCAGGACAAAAAAAGCAGACAACACCAACAAAGACACCAAGAGAGCTTTTGTTGATAAGGGCTGACGCTACTGTCGAAAATAAGTTACATCCTGGATCTGCCAGCTGCTCCACCCATCACCTGAATGCTGCACAGATTTCTGCGTCTCAGCGGAGAATCGCCTGCTGCGTTGTTCATGGGTGAACGGCTCTGGAGTAAGAACAGACACAATTCGCTGGATATCCTCAGGAGTTAATATCTGAAAACGTCTACATTTAAACGGAGAAGGATGGAATTCTTCGAGCCTTTAGACACCTTGACCCATTACTGTTCTGGAAATGCAGGCAACGTGTAACCTGGGACAGAGTAACCGCAAATGGATAGTAACATACATAAATAGACTAAAGGAAAATCAACAGTAGAAACAGTAAATCATTTAACTGTGCTTTGACATCACAGCTTGTGTTGAATCTGATCCCAAGCATCCATTAAGGAATGCAGGAGGACAAACGTGGAATTTAACATGGGTCCCACCACAATCTTCTGAAATCAAGAACAATGACATCCAGTTAGAACAAACACCAGAGGTTCAGTGTCCAGTAAAACCTGTGGACAGACAGTCCTGTCCACGTGATTATCGCTACAGTGTGGACAGCAGCAGGCTCATGCACTCCCAGTCTCTTTCTTTCTATCATCAACGCACATGAGGCCAGCCCCGCTGCCCACCGCCCTCCTCCACTCCCCCCTCTATTAGTAAAGGCTCCAGGTCTGCGGATGCTGGGGGTAAAGTGATGACGAGCTGGTGGATGAGGCGGTGAGCTCTCCGGGGCCTAGCTGCTTTCCACACGCACACATTCAGTCCAGCTTCTCCTTCTGGACCAGCTTGGGGGCATCTACAAAGTCACGTCCATTAAAGAGGATGAGGCCACCCGTCACCACGCTGGCTGATCCCCAGAACAGAACGTAGGCCAGAGTCTCAGTCCACGTGTCCCCTGAGGAGGGACAGCAGGTCAGTCAGTGGACGATCAAAAACAAACTTTTCATTCAACAAATATTAGGGAAACTTACCAAAAATACTAATTAGAGTCTGATACCGATTCATTTGAAGATAAACAAACCCTAATAATATGAGCATAAACATTAGATGTAGTTTGTCTTACCAGCCATCAGCAGGCAGATGATGCACATGGAGAACGCTACCACCATGACGATGGGCAACTGGAAAAGGAGAAAACCAGGTTCACATTAAACACACTGGGAAAAAAAGATCGATCGGTGCAACTTCCTGAGCCTCTCTTACCGTCAAAAACTTCCAGTCTTTGGGGTCACGCAGTGGGGTGGTCCAATCAGCTTCCTCTGCAGCATAGTTCCCCAGGAACAGATCAATGGAGTCCTGTGTTAAAACAGACAAACCGTCTTCTACTGTTTCACCAGTTACTCATTCCTGCATTAAGAACTACTCAGCTGCGCTGTGTTCAATAATACCTCTGATTAAAGTGGATGCGCTCTGACACACGTTACGCTGATCCATGGGAACAGCGTTTTCAGTCCAGGTGTGGTTCACCTTACACTAAAATCAATTAGATATGATGCCCCTAATACTAATACATTACTCTGACTATAAAATACACATCACTATCCACATCCACACTTATACTTTAACACTCAAATCTATGAAGGTTTGGACCCACCTGTCTGAAACCATCAGAGAAGTTGTTTTTGTAATATCGAATCATGGAGTTCCAGCCGTCCATCAGCAGGCCCCACTGAGTTCTCTTCCCCGTCCTGAAAGATCAACGTGTCAACACCACATAGAAAATCTCCACTGTCCAGAGGATGAATCTGAACCGGGCATCTAAAATGAAGCTTGTTGAGCACATTCATGCTCCCCAGAGTATACTCTTTCTACATGTGAACACAGGTTTCTATGACACTAAGATTGTATTCAGATTTCTCACTACAATTTTGCCCCTGTCAAGTGTAGGGTGGTCAAAGGTCATATAGGCAGATTGTAATGAAAGGTGGCATTACACCGGACATGTAGACAATCTAACCACAATGGTTTCTATAGCGTTGTCAAGCAGTGAGCATGTGTTTAACTGGATGTCACGTGTGAAAACTCACCTGGTGAAGTCTGTCTTCAAGGCACCAGTACCAGCATACTGCTTAGCACAGGCATCAGCATTGTCTGCCCAGGCTGCATAGGAACAGACAGGGACGGACAAAAGACAAACCAGAAAGAGAATTAGAAGAAACAGATCATGTTAATATATGACTTCATATAAGAGCATAATTCAAATGAACACTACTGGAGCCACTGTTGTGTGAGAGCCCACCGTTCTTGTACAACTTCTCAAAGTCCAGCTGCTGCTCAATCTGCTGGCCCATGTTCAGAACTCCCATTCTCTGCAGGCACAAACATCCAATATTAACCTACTGACTCATCTGTCAAAAGGCTATTAAGCTAAAAGCTACAGGTATATGTATCATGACATTTTCCTCCCCATTTTCTTCCCCTGTTTTAATTGATATAACAGCAACACTGGAATCACAGCTACTGCTCCCCCTTGCTCAGTGGTTATCATTGGGTCGTACCTGCAGCTGTGACTGCAGTGACCTTCGGGCCAAAAGGCTCTGGATAACATTGGTGCGGTCCAGACAGTCCATGCAGTTACTCCGAAAGATCCCCTCCTGACTCAGCTGCACCCTCCCATCTTCATCCACCAGGAAATACCTGAAACCAGATGCACAAGATCACGTCTGATGTTAAGTACGTATATGCGACTGCTGTAATCAGGTGGTAGAGCGGGTCTTCCGAAAAGCGGCAGGGGAATCGTTTGATCCCCTGCTCCTCCAGTCTGGCTGGATAGGCTACTATACTGTATTAACCAACAATAAGTTGGTGTTCAAGTTTGTTGCAGTGTAAAACGTTCTGAAACAGGTGTAAATTGTTGTTGGCTCACCCAAATTCATCCTGCATGTCAGCAACCATGTCCAGTAAGATCTGCAGGCGGTGCCACCTCATCCGGCTGCACTCCTTATGGAAGTCAAACGCGATGTACCTGCAGAAAAGTAAACACTCACTTAAAATACAACCTCAACATAACCTGAGGTAGAATAAACCAGAGGCCCTAAAGGACTGCAGGCATAAATGAGGGATATTATGGAATTGATGATCTTACTTGATCATGCCATTTCCCAAGTTGGTCACCATCTTATCAAACGCCAGCTCCAATGGCTTTTCTGAGCCCTTTTGGTTGATCTGACAAAATCATACAAAATGTGTGTTTTTATCTAAAAAATAAAACAAACAATCATAAAACAACATGCGTTTTTGTTATTGCATTATTTCCACTGATTGCTTTTTTTTATCCAGGATATAATAACGATATCTAAGGCAAATTAATCGCATAAAATAAAAATGCAGTAGAGTGAAATGTATCTTTTTACCCATCTTACCAAGTTCAAAATGACTTGTCTTCCATAGAGAATAATCTGTGAGTCAAAGTGTCTCTGGAATCCATCCAACTACAGAGAGAACAGAAACTGCATGAGAAATAAATTCCAATACAAACACAATGAGGGCCTTGTTTTGTATTACAGCTTACATGGTTGACTGTTTTGCTGATCTGTGGTTTTGGCTTGTACTTGAGATTGGGCCTTTGAGACCAGTAGAAGGGGATGGAGCCTCTTGTCTATGAAGAAAAAGGGCACAATGCATAAACATATATATATATATACTATAATCCAGCTTTCATTCATCCCTCATTTCAGCATATAAAACATATTCAAGACACAATCTGCAGTAGGAATACAGCACCCTGTAAGAGTTTCATATCACTGTCTTCATTCTAATGGGGCCCATTTCAATGTGGGAATGACCATGAGACACAACAAGAATGTGAAGTGAATGAAATGATCTGCACAGCAAAGTGAACATAGATGTGGAGGGCATCAACACATTGTTGGGGGAAATCGAAACACAAAATGGGCACAAACTTAAGATATGCTCAAATTGTTAATAGAATATTTTGAGGGGTGATGTTTTAATGCTGTAGTTCTTATGTGTGTGCTGTCAGGATTAAAACTAAAAAGAGAAACCTGAGCAGTGAGAAATCTTCACTTACTGTTACTCCTTAATTATTTTTCAGTTCTTCCTAATGGTGAGAGTGAACAGCAGCATTACTGACGTGAGCATTTGACTCACCTGAACAAATGAAGCCTTGGCACTGTTGTACTGCACAATCTGCTCTGTTTCTACATAGTTAGCAGCGTGGCCTTCAGAATCGATGCCTGCAGACAAAAACACAAAGACCCGTTTAAAACGTTCTATGTCGTAAAGCATCAAAGTCCCATCACTGCAGAGACAGTCTTCTCATCTTTGACTCAATGTCCACCACATGAGCCTGCAGAGCAGAGATATGCATGAAACTCACTCCAATGTTTGTTTACCAAATATTCACATGAAACTAATATGTAATGAAGTTCTTCATTTGTTGTTTATTGTCTTCTCGTATATACAGAATAAGTTTTTTTTTTGGTCAGAGCTTAACTGCAGATGTGTTTGAAAAACAGTTGTAGAAGAGAATATCAGGATGTGGGCAGAACAGCTGTGACACAGAATGTGAAGCAGTAGATAGGAGTGTGGGATGCTTTACATCTATGCATTTAGTGTTGTGTATGCCGTATAATATGCTTGACCACAGTTCTGTCTCAAGTGATTTACCGGAGACACTTAAGGGGATGGAATGTTGTGTTTTTGTGTTTTGTGTCATCCTAAAATTGAGATGAGTCTCATCTGTCAAGAAGGTAACAACATATGGAGCTGTTATAATGAACTCATATTTTACTTATATTCAAGAATGAACAAGTGAGAGTGGTCAAGTGAATCCTTGTATTCAGCACGCTGAGAGGGATCATTTTTCATCAAACACATGAATACGTTTTTTCCTTCATCAACAGCAGTGTTACCTCGGACATAGTAGCGGACACCGGCTCTGAAACAGCTCCTCCTGGAGATTATACTCCACTCAAACACCTTTCCATTGATGCAGCTTGACTTCATGATGATGACTAGTAACAAATTGTGTTAAGAAAACACCAGTGCTGACACAGGTAATAAATGTAAAAATAAAGTAATACAATCTTCAATAGACCCACCTCATTTAATGCTTCACTCTGATAAAACAGTGAGAAAAGACAGGGCTCACACTCTCTTACCTGAATGGCACAGTCATACATTTAATGAAGATAGAAATAGACTCTTGCAGTCAGTCAAAAAAAGGATACAGCCATGGACGACAGGATACACAAACTTGTGTAACTGTAAGATTAGAGAAGTGTTAAATGATTAAATGCTTTACTGTTGTGCTCATTATCATTCATTTCAATTCAATTATTATGTGCAACTCTTCTGAAATAATATTTGATGGTACTTATACAACCATGGCTCTAAATAATAATAATACTAACAGTGCCCCTCTTATTCTCTCCCAAGCACATGCTCTATGACAAGCAGCATGTCTCACTATGGGACAGGGAGACTCATATACTGGTGGACAGGTTTATCTTGAATGATAACTATCTCCCTCCACCAATTACTTCAGGAGCCATCATCAGGGCACTTTTAGCAAGTCTTACAACCTATGTAAGATTTATACAGATATGAGAATATTAAAAGCTGAAGAGATTGTTGGAGACGTCAAGCAAAACACTAATAGTGATAGAAAATCCACATTTTAGGTAAACACTTGGAGAAACCAAATCCTCAAAGGTTGGAGGGTGGATCCAAGTGGGCCTACAGAAACCAGCCTTGCTTTATAAACAACAGACAGGGAAATCTCACTTTCTAGAATAAGTGACCTTTTGAGTGTTTGACCCAGACTGATCAGTTATATGTCTATCAGATCAAGCTTTCTTTGATTAAATCACATTTATTAGCCGACATCAGTCAAAACATTTCCCTGCCAAGAGATTTCAAAGATAATGTCAACAGTAGAGATGTAATAGATTCTTTACAGCTGACCAGTCTTTAATAACATGATGATCAAATGACAGGTTAGTGTGGCATGGATTCTTTTTATATGAGCACGACAAACCTCAATCGTTTCTTGATGATTTGGCTTATACAATGACTGAATGACATTTTAAGTCAAAATGGAAACTAATGTTTCAATGATCAGATAACTGCTATAGGCTGATATAGTTTATAGTTTTATTATGACTATTACTTTAGCCCGCTGTTTAAACACAGCAGGATTATTTTCATTCTATGCTTAAGTTTCAGAAAGAAGTATTACTGAGAATACTCAGGGAATGAGCCCCATAGTGAGACTTGCTATGAAACAGAACATTCATTCTGTCTTACCTCTGGCTGAGCATTGAATTCCCGCAACAGGTGGCCATTCCAGACAAAACGCTGGTCTGCCTGCAACATGGACAATTAGCAGCCATTAACATAAAGACAAATACAGAGGCAGAGAAGGGTGTAACTTACACCTGGAGATGAAGGCAGCTGAATTGAAGATGCCCCCAGAAAGAATCTTTAGATAAAAAAATGTCTCTAAACATAGACACAAATTGTACTTAGAGGCTTATTAGTAGAGATAGAATCAACTGAAATAATGAATTATTATTCAACTATTTATGTGAATTTAGCTGTGATTATATCATTTGTGAGAGGGACTTATATAAACAAAGGTATGTCTAACCCTCTCCAGAAGGCTCATCTCCTGAAATTCAGGGCTGGTGTTGGCCAGGCGCTGCAGACTGTGGGTCAGGTCATAGTCTGTTGCAAAGTAGAAGCTGTCTGTGTGAAGCACACTGTTGATCATCGACAGGAAAGCCTTGTTGTCCTGCATCTGAAACAAGAGACGTGTCCAGCAGACAGACACTTCAGCTTTTGACAGACCAACATACAATCTTTAGGCCCCCTGTCAGCAGGGAGACAATATGAGAGCAAGTTATGATCATAATACATATTGCTAAAAAAATAGGATGCTACCTGGTTGTCTGTCAGGTGTAGTATTGTCTTCTTATAGGAGATGATTTCAAAGTCCAGAGCCTTCCACACAGCATGACCCAGCAAATCTCCCACCTTCTGCTTCTTTGTGATGACAACCAGGTACATGCCTAACAAAGACAGGTGGGTGGAAATGAGAATGCACAACACATTGCTTGAAAGTCCCATTTCTCCATTAGCTGATAGTTTAAATATTTCAGGAATGGGTGGAACATAATCTCCCTGCACTACAAACAGAACTTACCTGCCACCAATCGTACAGTCCCCATGACTCCACATATTGGTCTGGTCTCAGCTGAGACAGGGATGTCCCTCCTCACTAAGGACATAACAATGGTTAGTGTCAGTGTGTTCAGAAGACATGGAGACGGACGGACTCAGGGACAGACACAGCCTTGTCGTGAAGAAACTTAGGGACAGTAAAGTTGCTTAAAAACATGCACTGAACTCCAGAGAAACTCCGGACATTCTCTGGAGGCGCTGAATGTGTCAATGCAAATGTCTGAGCGAAAACCTGTTATCCCTGAAGCAGAATTTATACATTACATCCTGCTTCTGTCTGCTGCCCCACCCCTCGCGTAAACACTGCAGAGATTTCTGTGTTGTTGTGAACGTGTCTGAGCGAGAAGCTCTATGTGAGAAATGCAACCTCCAGAGAAAGTCCCGACCCACTTCTCCGGACATCATGTCTTAAAACAGCTTATTAGTCTCCTTGACATGTTCTCTTGATCTCATGATGATTTCCATCAAGGTCAATGAAAAGTGGTGATGAAAGGAGATTTGTCATTTGTGATCTCTAGATTAATTAAAGCAAACATGACGCCCCTGACCATCCAAAGGGTCTGGATGTTGTAAATGAAGGAGTTTGGGTTTTTATTTAAAATGTGAATGAAAACTTGTTGGAAACAAAACGTAGGATCAAGTAAAGCGGAAGGATCCGAATGCTTTGTGTCGGCGCTGACCTACTTACCTGTGAGAGTCATCTCTGTTGACACCCTGTCGATGGCCAGGACATCCACGGAGCCATCATCGCACGCCTCTATGTAAAACTTCTCTGGTGTGGTGCGCCTGGTGAGACAGAGGACACATGTAAACCAGCACACAGCAGCAGGGTGGAGGAATCAACCTGTTTGAGCTGTAAAGTCCACAAATCGATACTGAGAAACAGGTGCAGGCAGATCTCAGATCAGCGCGGACACAGTGAAGCTGCAAAGTTAACAGTACGATCAGCTTTTCACAGCCTGAACCGCAGCTTCACAGGACTGAGGTGTGACTGCTGGAGTGTGTCAGGAGGCAGCATTAGTAGAGCAGACTTGTAATGGAGGTGTTAGCGCTGCTGTTAGCAGCGGCACGGATGTAGCCGGTTAGCTGCTGGGACGTTAGCCTGTCCCGGGGACGCGTTAACGGACACCGCGAACGCGTCCTCCCTGAGAAGGAGCGAATACCAAAATAAAATGAAGCGCTGTGTTGTTCACATGCTGTTTACACTTACAAGTTAAAGCTCTCATAGGCGCTCGCCATCTTTCCTGCCGTTTGACCCCAGTGACGTGTCTACTCCGTCTTCTTCTGGGTTTACGGCATTACCGGACAATTGGTTTCCGGCAGCTTGGAGGCACAACACCGCCCCCCTCAGGTTGGGATTAGATTAGAGACAAACTGTTTTATATACATAGAGAATAAAGAGTAAAGTGGAAATAAAAGAGTGAAAGCAACAGTGCTGTGTAAGAAATTAGTAATTGTTTGGTTTAATAGAAGGATGTGACGAGAACTAAGATTTGCAGCAGACATGCAGTTCTCTAGGAGCTTGTTCAGCAGCATCAAAACAACGCTGCCTCTCTCTCCATGGTCCGTCTTAACTCTGGGGACAGAAAGCAGACCTGTTCCCAACGACCTGAGAGGTCTGGCTGGTTCATAACGTGGAAGTAGATCAGAAATATGTTTAGTCTCTAAACCATTTACTCCTCAGGTTTGCATCCCCCCATCCGTGTGCATCTTCCAGAAATGTAATTTTATTGGGTTATCCTCTTGGTGTCCCCTCAGATTATTCATGCCATTTTTAATGTGGGCTTTCTCCCATTTCTACAAGTAAAGCAGGAATCAGGTACAGAAGGCCCTGCATCACATTCTCTGTGTTTTTACTTGCACAACATCAAATCTCCTGAGAGCTTAAGGGCTGTTTTACAACATAAACACTAATGTTCTAATCTTGAGCTTATCATTGTTCTGTAAATCATTGACTGTGTTCCTGGTCAACACCAAACAAACTTCCTGAAAAAGATCACATTTCATTTTTTACCTTTTCAAAACTCTCCATGTTATGGCAGAAAAACTAAATGTACTTTCAAGAGTTAAACATTTACTTTTTCAATTGGATGCACATACAGAAGTAAATCATCACATTCAGTCCTTAATATATTTTGTTTTCTCTACCGATATCATAAAACCCCACATCAGCTTTTTATAGGGCTTCCTGTATTCTCTCTGTTTCTGCCTGTTTTGGCCTCTTTTCCAGGTTACTCCAGTGTCTGCAAACAAAGAGAAACTAAACCCTGCCTCACAGTTTTGAAGGACACATTATGATGTTAATTATAACTGGGCTAATTACACCCGCCTCTGGTGTCCCATTGTTTATGCCTGAGCCGTTAAAAGAAGCATCCAAAAGTCTTGAATCCATTGAAAAATGTGCTCTCATATTGCAGCTTCATAAAGTTTTATAAGTCCCTCCTTCCACAACACATCATATGCCTTTTCTTTTTCAAGTACCAATGTGAAACCTTCATTCATTCTTTGTTTCATGATGCATTGTGGGATAAATGGCCATGAAATGTCAAACTGAGTGGTGCCTTTAGGAGGCCATGTGGTTTTACAGGTTTCCTCAGCTCGACATGAGTAAAATCATGGTTCCCTCAACATTTTTCACATTTTCCTCCGCATGCAGCCGCTGCATTTCCAAACTGGTGACACAAACAACACAAAGGAGGGCGTGTGTTTTCTCATTTGAAATCTTATTTATCTGAGATTTACCGTTTGTCTTGTATCCTGTTTGAATGTTACCCACGCTATGCACAGCTGCTTTCAGACATTCTCCAGAGGGGCTGCATGTGAGAGCCTCTCGACTTTTATTTATACTTACACAAACACACCACAGCAAATTTCTCATTCCTTGTATGTTTGAACCTTGATTCTGATTCCAGAGGAGCCTCCACACAGCTGGTCATTTATTAGTTCATTCAGGTGAGCTACTGGTAATTTTATGGACCGTGTGTTGGACAGTTTCCCGTGTTTGGATTCTGCAGCCGACTTGTTTGCTCTGAGATAAGGAACACCGAGGGCCTGCCTTGACCTGCTGCAGGAGATTTGGTTCTGCTTGTTTAGGCTTGAGAATAATATTTAAAATTTGGGATCTGAATGATGATTCATCAGTTTTTATCACCAGGCCATCAGGCTTCTAAACGCATGGTCAATTCACATCTAACAATCCTCTGCATATCTGTTTATCTCTGGAAAATGTGGAATAATTTATACTAACAAAGGCATATTCCTATAGTTTACACTTGCCACTTTGGTTTTACACTTGCATCCTCGAATACACAGTTTCACATTATCTTATTTGACTTTTTATATATCAACCTCTTTTAATGTTTTATTTAAATTAAATTATTGCTCTAATTATACTACTGAGCTGAACTTTTCTTATTGTCCAACACTTTTAATTGTACTTTTGACCCTGTGTTAACTTACATAATAAAACTGACAAAGTCTTTACCATTTGCAAGGCAAATTAGAGCTTCAGTGGCAAAAGGTGTATGTGTGAAAGGGTAGACATTGGTAAAAGAAAGAGGATTAGGATAAATCGTGGGGAAAGGAATGATGTTGGTTTGGTCCAGCAAACCATTTGAAATTCAAACATTCACATGGTCTAACATTTTTTAACTCTACTGGCCTGTTTAAAAATACAGGAGAACCGATTTGATGGAACCACAAGTTCTTCTCCATTATTTATTGATGAGGGATTACGTCAGGAGGGGCACCACACTATTCTAAAATCAAAGTGTTTCCTGCACAGAGAGACAGCTTTTCTTTTTGCAAGTGGGTTAATCCATAAGCTTTTTTATGTTATACTCTAAAAAACTGTGGCAATAGTGGTACACTTCATTTGTAGCAATTATGGGAACATGAGCTGAATGTCGACATCACAGATGAGCAGTGGGACAGTGTTTGGGTCATTGAAAATTCTCTATCAGTAAACACAGTTTTTAAGAAAACAGGAGAAAAGCTCTATAACATGTTTCTGTATCTGCTCTGTTGCTGTGAGATCTGCAGCATGTCGGGAAATCATTAGAGTAAGAAGAGCAGTTGCTCTCCAGTCCAGAAGGTGGCGGTAATGCTCCTGTAAGCTGGTTTGCCAACCGCCAATAAACAGCACAGGAAGAAGAGTCCCGCACATGTGGTCCTGCTCACAGTCACAGTGCGTGTGATCGGAGCGAGTCGAGGTCCAGAGACAGAAGAGTTGTGCGAGCAGCGCTGGTTCAACGCGTCCCATCTGAAACATGAGGCCAGGTACAGTACCAACATGTCGCCGCTTTCTATCTGCACGTTCCGTCGCGCGGTGCCGCCCCGGGTCTCCGGTCACAAGTTGTGTCCGTGCGGCCTACACCGCCACGCTGCTGCCCGAGCCTCCCCGAGCCGCCCTCGTGCGGAGGAAGGAGCCGCCGCGACACTTGCTCTCGTTAGCTCCGTCACATGCGAGTTAAAAGCCGGCGATCGTCGAGTTGAGGTAACGAGTTAGCGCGAAGCAGCGAGCCGCCGCGCACACGTGTTGAGCTTAAGCCACCACTGTTAGTGCGACACAACATGGAGTCACCTCGTGTGTGAGTCTGACTCCACCTGCAAGTTATTCACGCTGAGGTTAGATCAGTCACGGCGCCGCTAACGTGATTATCAGCCGCGGTCGATCGGACTCAGGTCCGCGTTGTACCCGCAGACGCGACGAGAGGGTCCGTGTGTACACGGTGCTGAGGAAGACCCCGGAAGAAGCACGGTGCTGGTGGAGCCGTGGCTCCACGTGGTGGTGAAACAGCAGCAGGTCTGCAACGGTGAAGAAAAGCACCGCGGCCCCTGAGCTCTTCCATGGGAGCCAGCGAGGCCATCCTGCAGGGGCCACGTGAGCCGTGTGTCGGCTCACTTTGCAATCTGTGTGTGCGTCCTACAGACTGTGTGGAGTGTGTGTATTTCCACCCACATTTCAGACAAGTACAATAATAATAATAATATCCTCCCTCCTGCTGCTCGTCTGTGCCAGTGTCGTAGCTCTTGTAGTGTTTTGACCCCAGCACCACTACTAGTCCAGTCTGGTGTCACGCTGCTCCTCCATGTTGGATGGTTACTGGCCTGTATCAACACAGCACCTCCAGTCCCACGCTGCAGACACATCAGCTATGTGGTTCAGTGTCTTACCCAGGGACACTTCAGCATGCCAAGTGGGGGATTAACCCACTCACCCTCTGGTTCGAGGACAACCCGCTCTACCCCCTGAACCCTTAATGCTGCAGCCCCAGTAATTTGGCACATGGTTTACTCGCCAGTCAGATTTACCTTTAGTCTCAGTGTACCCTCCACTTCGACCTGTATCTTTGATTACAGGCCAAAATATTTGATGAAACTAAGATGCACAACTGAAGTTATGTCCCTAACATCTGCTAGTGCTCAAGAGATATTCAACACCTGGTCCTATATTCTAAATGTAGTGAAATCAACCAACTGGTTTACTCTTGTTAACTCCTCCATAGATGGTGCAGATGCCTGACATCTTTAAGAGTTGTTTACAGAGGAGGGGACTTTTCCTGACTCATTGGTGGAGAGTAATCAGTCACCTTTTGTCAGAACAACCTTAAAATATGAATAATATTATATATATATTTATAAGATGTACACAGAAACTCCATCAAAGTGTGTAGCATTCAGGATGATCTTTCTGTATAAGATTCATATTTATGTTTCTACAGAAGTGACAAACCAACACTGTTTCCAAAGTGTCTCATGTGTTTTTCCATGTTGCTCGCAGTTTGTAATGTCACCACTAGATGTCAGTACATCCCACACACTGATCCTTCCCAGTGTACTGAAAACTCCAGATCTCACATCTGTATTTAAAAGGGCACTGCATTAACTTTACTCCTGTGAGTGGATTATAGCTACAAGTGTCAGAGAGAGAAGTTTCAAGGTTCCCATTTGTCTCGGTATCTTCCAAAAATTATATTATCATGCTGCAGCAGACTGGGGACATCGATACAAGGAAAAAACTGAGCTACCAAGTCGAATACTTATAAAAATATTTAATGCATCAACAGCGTAGTCCATAACAAGTCAGGAAAATAAAGGTGTGCGCAGTAAATTTAAGTTGCTGATGAAAGACGATCAAAGCGTAGACGGGAGAAACAGTTTGCTACACGACCAGAGAAAATTTAGCTTCAGCTTAATGTATATTAAGATATGTGTAACTTCTGTTAACGTGGTTCTGCTTTCTGTGTTTTTATCCCACAGGGTTCAGTCCTCGTGGCGATCGAGGAGGAAGAGGAGGACGTGGTGGTAGAGGAGGATTTGGTGACCGAGGAGGGTTTGGTGACCGAGGAGGGTTTGGAGGACGAGGGGGATTCAGAGGAGGAAGAGGTGAGGCCGTTGGTTTTAAACATGGTGGTGTGTGTTATTACATGTGGTGTGAAAACAGCTTCCTCAGTGGGTTATAAGATTTGTTAATCATTAGAGAACACATGTATAGAGTTCCTCAGACTGCAATGACAGAGCTCTGTCTCACAGGAAATCAGCTTATCACTATGACCTCAACAACTTTTGATCTGACTTTCCTGAATCACTTGTTTTTCAGGTGGATTCAGGTCCCCGGAAGGTGGAGGATTTCGGGGGAGAGGCGGTGGAAGAGGTGCCCCAAGAGGGAGAGGAGGCGGAAGGGGCGGTGGCCGAGGGGGCTTTGGAGCAGGGAGGAAGGTCTTGGTTGAGCCACACAGACATGAAGGTTTTTATTCCACTTTTTAGTTATTAGCTATTATTTGGAATGCAGACTTTGAAAGCTGGAGTCCTGCTGTTGCTGGGATTAAATGTCGAGCTGCCAACTTTCAGGCTGAGATTACGTTCACTGGCCTTTAATCCATCGTGTGTCAAGTGATATTGTATCGGAAATGAATGCTTAACTCCACCTGTAGATGTTCTATAGATGCACTGCTGTCCCTTTACTGTTTGTGGAATTGCTTTCTGTCTGAATAGATTAACAAGTGATGTGTGTTCGATAGACACTGACTCTCTGTGTGTGTGTGTGTGCGCCCACTCAGGTGTGTTTATCAGCAGAGGGAAGGAAGATGCCCTGGTGACCAAGAACATGGTGGTGGGAGAGTCTGTGTACGGAGAGAAGAGGATCAGTGTGGAGGTAAGGTTTTGATTGACAACAGCACAGTGCTTAGGTAAAGGATGTAACAGGATGCATTTAACTCTCAATAGCTGACTTCTGTGGCTCTGCATTAAAACCCTCATATAAAATAGTGGATTGCTCTCCATGTCTAAGACTGTAACGCTCAGATTCATTCTGTTTCAGGAAGGAGAGACGAAGATTGAGTACAGAGCCTGGAATCCGTTCCGCTCCAAGCTGGCAGCAGCCATCTTGGGAGGAGTGGACCAGATCCACATCAAGCCTGGAGCGAAGGTCATGTACCTGGGAGCAGCCTCTGGCACCACAGTGTCCCACGTTTCTGACATTGTTGGACCGGTGAGTACAGAGTAGTACAACAATGCCTGTATTTTAATACTGTTTACAGTTTTCGCATATATAAATTAGACGTGTAATTAATAGAAACTAGTGATGAAGAGGAGAGCACAGTTAAAGCAATTTCATCATTAAGCTGACACATGAATGTCATGTTATTTTCCTACGTTGAGTGCATAAAGGCCAAAGGTTACATTGGTCACGCTGCCTTGTGTATTACAGGAAGGACTAGTCTACGCCGTGGAGTTTTCCCATCGATCAGGCCGAGACCTTCTCAATGTTGCAAAGAAACGCACCAACATCATTCCGATCATCGAAGATGCTCGGCACCCACACAAATACCGCATGTTAGTTGGTGAGTATCCCTGAGCCGCAGAGGATGAGTTGTTGAGCTGTCACCACATCTTCAGAGGTGTTCCCCTAGTTCAGGCTGGTAACGATATGAGCCCTCGATTTTCAATTAAATAAAGACTGACTTCATGATCATTTCACAGCGGATGTAAGCCTCTGTTGGTCGTGTCTGTCAGACATCAGAACCTCACTGGGGTTAAGATGTTTTATATTGGTTTAACACAGTTTGAGCAGGAACAAACAGTGGGTGACATCAGATACACTCAGGTTGTTGAATGAGATTCGAGACAGCAACGCTCATCTTTACATCTCTCTCACATTATTGTTAGTACATGTCATTGTAGGTTTTAAGGTACGTACAAGTTTTGCCTTGTTTTTTGAAGGTGCAAAAAAGCAAACTGATGAGGTATTAAAAAAATACTTCCATGATAAATAAAACCATGATTTTATTAAATACACAAGGAAATGGAATTATTATTGGCAGTTTTACGTTATCCTGTCACACACAGTTTCTCTATACAGTCCGCTGACACACAACACAAACGGCAGCGTTACGGCCCGTGTGTTTACATGAGTGGGTGACACCGAAAGCTTCAGTTAACTTTACTGACAATCTGTTCAGTTAAAAGAAAACACATTCTAAAATTCCCACATCATGCTCTGAGCTAAAAGATGACATGCGTTGTATTTGAGGTGATGTTGTGTTGACAAGGTGAAGATCTAGTAAATCAAATGGTTTACTTCCATCAGGTTAGCTCAGAAGTCTTTGCTGTTAACTATGTTAAATCAGTTTTATATTATAGCTTTTCAAATACTGTTTTACTAATTCACATTTTATACTGTTGCCCTAAAGTCATTCTCGCTCTCTCTCTCTTTAGGCATGGTAGATGTGATTTTTGCTGATGTTGCTCAGCCTGACCAGACAAGGATTGTTGCTTTGAATGCTCACAACTTCCTGAAGAACGGAGGACACTTCGTTATCTCCATCAAGGTACAGCTATGACTGCCTAGACAGCTCCTCATCCATGATCAAATTAAGTTAAACCTCCAGTTATGGTGGTAAATTAATTATGTGGCAGTAAACTCATGAGATTTTTATAAAAACATGGTAAGACTGGTTATTGCACTAAGAATATTATGTATATATCTGCTGGATAAAGTTATATATTTTCAGATGGTGTCTTTTACCCTATTAAGCTCTAGCTTGACTGTTTTGAAAAGTGATTTAGTACCATTTCCCAATGTACAGTGCTTGTGAGTGAGACATGAAAAGCATCATTTAATGAGAATAACAATGCACACACTCAGAGTATCTCCTGTAAGTCATGTGGGCATAGTCACCGAAACTTCAATCTCGGTTCCTCAGAGAAGCAGGAAAGAGTCACAGCTGGCAAGTTGGCTGTTGATGACGTTTCTCATTTGCGATTATGCAAACCTGAAAAAGAATATCTTCGGGATACAATGAGATTTGAGACACTTTTGTGATGATGGTCAACATCAGCGGAGACATGCTTTAAACAAAACCACAATATTTCTGCAGGGGAATTCATACGTTGTGTCCTGGTTTCTAATTGGTCTCCTTAACGCTGCAAAATGTCTAGATTCAATTTTGGGGGAAATTCATTTCTAAAAATATCTGGAATCAGTTCCAGAAATGAGTAGACACGGCGCCCTCCCTTCCCCAACTGCGGATTAGGCTGATAATATAATTCCATGTATTCCAAGTGTTCCCTGAGAGTTTTGTCAACTGTGTGGACTGTTTATTTCTTACTGCAGGCCAACTGTATAGACTCGACAGCAGCTCCAGAGGCAGTGTTTGCCTCAGAGGTGAAGAAGATGAGCTCTGAGAACATGAAACCACAGGAGCAACTCACACTCGAGCCCTATGAGAGAGACCATGCTGTGGTGGTGGGCATCTACAGGTACGCCAACATACCCCCATAACTCTATGAACATCTGCTGTGACTTCCCCAGTTAGAGGTCCACAGTTAAATTTAACTGTTGGTCTTGATACATTTTTAGGTTTATCTATCAAACGTAGTTCTGCATTCACAGTCAAAATGGTTCAATACATTAGCTCACTAAACTGTTTACAAAGGTATGGTCAAAATTCTTATTTATGCATCAAAAATGTATTAACTTAAGTACCACCAGGTTTATAATGTTTATAGTTAGAACCATAATTTCTATTGTTGTATTAGAAATGATGGCCCATTTTTATCAAGATGATTTAACTCGGCATGCTTTCTCTGGAGGTAGAAGTGAGTACACCAGGGATGTCACTGTTCAATTCACTTGTATTTGCATAGTATGTGATCAAAACATACATCGAACTCAAAGCACTTTGCCCAGCAGGGTTGAGATGATGATTTTAGGATTCATCTTTTTTTCGTCTTTACCAAATAACTTTGTCCATCCTTGGAATTGGTGTCAACCTGAATTCATCTTCTACAGTAGTTCTGCAGTGTGTGTGGGTAGCCCAGCAGCGCAGGAGAAATAGCAGACCCGTGTAGGATTTAAATCAGGACACAGTGGGTTACACATTAATATGGTGAATTTGGAACAACAAGGACATTGTGCTGCTCCACATCTCACTGCAATTGTGAGGTTTAGCAGTTTCCTTTAAAACTAATGTTCCTATAGTTCAGTTGTGGTGACATCCACCCAGACCCTCAGCTCCTGCTTTGTCATGTATTGTTGACATGCTCTTTTCTCTCTCTCCTTAGACCTCCAGCTAAACAGAAGAAATGAAGTGTAGGGGAAAGATCATGGAAATGGATTCCCGTTTTCATCAGCCACCTACTTAACCGTCTGTCTGTCGCCCACCTCTCCACCTGGTCTTTTCTCCACCTGTAGATTTGAAAAGCATGACTAGCCCTCAGGGTAAAATTGATCTGGGTTTCTTTTTTTAAAATCCTTTGACAGTTTAATGACCACCCAGTCCACTGCTGGAGACACATCCAATGACATTTTGTTACAGATAGGCCTCTGAGTTGGTTACCAGATTGGAGCAAGTCATATTTGTAATACATGTCTGATAACGCATAAATGTTCACCTGTACATTTGTTATTCACATGTTATCAGGTCTGTGTTCAGGATGATTACAAAGTAAATGGAAGCAGTCAAGTTTTGTATATGCACAGCCTTCACCAGCTGCTGCCCTGAGAAATATTTCAACTGATTTGGTAAACATCTGAAAAGCTTTGTCAAGACCTCTACTGTCTGTAGATACACAAGTTTTCATAACTACTTTTTTGTGGTTAGTGATTTTATTTCAATACTTCTTTTCTTCTCTGTGCTCCTCCTCTTCTTACAGAATTGTCTTTTCTTTAAATGTTTTCCGGTCCCTTGCTCCGCTAATGTAGAGCACATAGCTGGATGTACCATGTTTTCACACATCACATACCCCACATAGCAGAGTATTTTTATTGTACAAGTTATCTGTTCAAACTTCTTAATGGTACAATCTACTTCATTAGTTGTGTACCCATGGTGTGGAGAGGTTCATGACAATTTGTAGGCAAAGAACCATTAATGCTGATGTGTTTAGTGGTGAGGTGGTAAACTGACCCTGTGTGCCTGTGTACAAATATAGAAAGTGACTTTAGTCACTCTGACTTGTAATTTGAAACTTGTATAACTTTTGTGTTTGCAAAGTATGAAGCAGAATGGTTGTAGATATTTTACAACAAATCATGCTTGAAACTTTATTTGTCATAACCAACAATTTTGTTTTAATAAAATGTTTTTTTTTTTATTATAATCTTTGATCAAACACACTTCCTGACAAATCTTCCTGACTAACGTGTTGGTGGTGTAACGGTGCTCACAGTGACAGCAGATCTCCACGGGTGATGCCTTTCAGTTCAGGGACCCAGTCTTGAAGACATGATGGCCAGATGTGCTGCAGACTAAAACCCAGAGTTAGATGGGCTACAGCAGCAGCAGCTGCCCGTAGGAGAGCCTGCACGTCCCCCTCAGTGTTACCTCTGCCTGCAGGAGAAAACAAACTGCTTTTCTCCAAGTTTCTACACAAATGCAACGAAATCCTTTTTCGCATAGATTGGTGCTGCATGTGAAACAATGTCGGTAACCACAGTTAAACCAGAGCACTAACTTTCGGGAGTAACTTGCGCGACTGTCCGCGGTGGATTTGTTTTGGCAGCCATTTTGTGGGAAATTTCTCTGGAGCGCGCTGGGCCGTACTTGCCTGGTGTCGGGAGTGCGCTCTCAATGCAGCCCCTCTCTCCTTTGACCGATATTACCATCACGGAGGGGCTGGCCGGCACAGAGCTAGCTGGAGCCGCGTGTGCTAAAATACGTCAAGTTTCTCCATTGCTCCCGCTGACACTGTCCATCGGCTGGCCGCTGCCCGCCGAGCAGCCTGCAGTGTGCGGACTGTCTTCAAATTCCAATGGCAGAGTTTTATTAGACAGCTAGCATGCTAGCTAACAGCTAGCTGGCTAATGTTAGCTTCTTTCCTCTAAATTAATTTTTTTTAAAAACCAAACGAGCCTGTAAAGGCAGCTGACCCACGCTGCTGCTGAGCCGTGGTCTCGTGTGTATCTGAGCGTCAACCTCGAGCAAGTGAATTAAGTCTGCTGAACAAGAAGAAGACTTGAGCGTGAGGTGCCCGTGGTTGAGGCGGCGAGCTGCCCACCTCCCCTCAGGCACGGCTAGCTGTGCTGCGCCGGCGATCGGTTCCCATCGACTACCCGCTCTCTGAGCTCAGGAGAATAACGCTTTTTTTTTTTTTTACTGGAAACTAATCTCATCGGGGGGGTTTCTTTTTTATATCATCTAACAATCCTGCACCATCATATTTGGATTTCTGCTGTGGAAGGACGACTGACCCGGGGGAGGGGGCTCGGTTCGTGCGGACAGAGGGAAATAGGGGTTCCGAATATGGCTGCTACGCGGAACCTGGTTCGACACACCGCCTGAGGTAAGACACAAGACGACCGGCGTTGTCCTTTCTTCAAATTATATCATGTGTGCATTTGCGGCTGGTCGGCTCTTGTCTGTAATATGTATGCATTGACAGTCAATGAGAAGCAACAGTGCTTGGTAGCGTGATGTTCCCTCTTCCCTACGTTATTCGCCCCTGTCACCGGCCTCGTGTCACCATTCCTCTGCCGCTGCTCGTTAATGGGTTAGGGGCTTGCTTCAGCCGTAGAGGTGGGTTAACATTGTTGGGCCACGCTGAACAAGTCAGCCTCGGCTACAGTAGCTGAGATGTGCATTATGATGATGGACAACACAATCATATTCAGTTGCAGGCAATGTCCTCCAAGTCCAGTGATCAGCCCCTGTCCTTCTCCCTCAGCCTGATTCTGAGGGGGTTTTAACCATCTATCGCGTTCACTAAAGGGCTGGTCTGTGTAATGATCGATGCCATCAGTGTGCGTGTATCTGGGCAAGTTTCATTAGCAGCGGCATCGCGACCTGCCCTGAGTGAACGCACGGCACCATAAAGACTGGGAGAGGATGCCGGCTGTACAAAACGGAGGGAGAGACGGGGAGGGGGGGATGGATGGATGCGGTGGTACCCTCCGGTTTATGCGGTTACATCCCGGTGTGGCGCGTGGATGGCGATGACTTTAGGTGTCAGCAGCAAACCAGCAACCCCCGACTGTCCTCTGTAGATCTGCAGCATTTCATCTGCTGTGGCAGCTAACGGTAGCCACTAGCTTAGCTACCGCATCAGCCCCAGCCCCTACCCTGCCCTCTAGTATAGAGGGACACAGGCGCTCAGGTGCCGGGAGATGACGGCTCCTCGGCTGGGAACAGGACCACGAAGGGAGCAGAGCTGACGAGGAACCATGACTTGACATCTCTCTGTTTGCCTGCGGGTGTTAGTGGCCCTCTATTTGAGCAGGAGATGCTGTGGTCTGAAATTGTTGGCCATTTAAATAAGAGGTTTGTCATAGATGCTGTGCCCCACTCCTCCCCACCCACCTCGCCGAAGTTAGGTTGCTGTTTTTCCTCAAAATGTCTCAGAACGATCATCTCTCACCACCTCAGCTTGACTTCATCCTTTTTCTATACATTTTTCGATTTGTCTTCTCAAATCACGCCTTGCTAATATCCAACCACTAGTGTACATGACTGTTTCATTTCGTCATTCATCCAATCAAGCAAAAAGGCCACACACAGGCCATGGTGGAAAATTTCTGATGAGAGGAAGGTGCACATTTCCTCAGATCGAAGCTTCTGGCCGAGGTCTTACAGACCACCGAAGATGTGCTTACTCTCTTCCAATTGTGCTACACAGCTCTCCAGCAATATTGTTTGTGTCATGTCACAGTAGATACAGTGAATCCATTCAGTTTGTGCTGACCGCCCGTTAAGAGGCTGAGCTCTGTTCGTCATGAAACCTGTTCCAGCTGAACCTGATGCTAAGCTACAGTCAGCCACCAGTAGGTATAAATGTGAAAAGCACCTGATCGTAGCTGGCGGATTAGCCTCTTTTCCACGGCTCTGTCAATGTGTCACAGCCATTTAACCATCACCACCGTGTATGTAAGCTAAGATTTCTGTGATTACATTTACCATCTGTGGCAGTCATCATATTTTAAAACTGGACAGAAGGCATAAAATAAGTCACAGTAACATTCTTGGATGTAATTACATTTGAATGTACAATGAATGAATGTCCTGGTGTTGCAATACTGCTGCATAATGCCACAATGTACACTAAGCACAAAAAGGACTTCAATTTCTGTCTGTTGGAGCCCCGACTGGGTGCACGGTCCGAGCACATAGGAGTGGCTTGATCAGTGTTCTTTTTCACTGCAAGATAATACCTCATCTCACAGACCCTACCCTAATGTTAACTAATTTTTTTGGCTTGCTTTTATGGAGCAGTTTTCCAGTCTGTGTCTTTTGGCCACAAACAGCCAATGGACTTGTTCCCTGACTGACAGCAGCTGTGGCAACAAGCTTAGACCGTGTGTGTGACAGCTTTAACACAAATTCAACACTTAGTAGACTCTGATAGACCAACTCCAGACCTTACCAGGAAGTCAAGTAACGCCTATTTTCCCCCATCTTCTTATTCTTCTCTCATGGTATCATTCCTCTTTCCTCCTGTGTCCCCACATTCATGAAATCATCTTGGGATTACAACACGGTGAAACTCAAGATGAAACTTCTCACTTAAGTAGCTGCATCTTTCCTTCAACCTCTACCATGTAGTGCCAGTGGTTTTGTGTTTTTTCCTGCATTCATATTCCCTAATAATACAACTAAATTCTAGTACTCACCATATCTCATTTGGAAATGTGGGTTTTGGGCGACTACGGTATGTGGAGAAGATGAGGATTTTTTTCTTCTTAAAGTAAAACAACAACCAAAATGCAGTTTTGAGGATGAAACACCCTGTCAAAGGTGGGTGTGGAAAGTTTTGCATGTTCAAGAATATTTCCTGTTTCTTTTTTTATGTACTCTTTCAAACAAGTACTTTTTTGAATATACATTTTAAAAGAGTAAGGGGAATTAAAACTGCACCTAAAAACTACATCTCTCTATCCTAGTAACAGAGTCTAAATTACATGTAAAAGCATAACTTTAACAACATGGCAATACAATTTGACAGAATTGATTGTGCATTCTGCAGAGCACTGCATTGGGGCTGCAACAAATGGTGATTTTTGGTATAAATTGTTCTATCATTATTTAACTGATTATTTGATGAGCTGTTTAGTGTAAAGAAAATCAGAAAATTGCTGTTTAAAATGGCAACAGTAGCAGATTGGATCATCTACAACTAATGCAATGTTATTCTTTAATGGCCTAAATTAAACATTTGGCTGGTCTCTTGTTAATATTGGCATTTTTGATCATTTTCTTGATTATGTGATTATTTAATTGTGTTTAAAATGTCTGGAAATTGAGAAAATCCCCAATTACAATTTCTCAAAGCCCAACGTGACGTCATCAATTGGTTGTTTTCCCCAGCCAGCAGTTCACTACTAGACATATTTTTACTGTTGAATATGACAAAGACAAGCATCACATGATAATTGAGAAGCTGAATCCAGTCGATTGTTATTATTTTCATCTGATGAAGAAGAACCTTGCCCTAAAAATGTATCCCCTTGGATTAGTTAACCAGACAGTCAAACAAAAGATGTTATATTTAGCTCAGATATTGTTTAATAAGATTTACCAGGAGCTGTGTGAGCTACTGTTTTTGGCTGGATTCAACCCTGGGCCACTGTTGTAAGAGCTCAATCTCAGGTGCTACAA